GAAGCTCGAGAGGGCCGAGGCGGCGGGGAGCATCTCGGCCGCCGGCGTCACTGCCGGCACGGGCGGCGCGGCGGGGGCAGCGCAAGCGGGGTTGTCGGGTTCCAGAGGGCCCGGAGGCGTTCCGACGGGCCGCTTCGACACCAACAGCGGCGCAGGGCATGGTGCGGGCGCCACAATCGGTGCAGGGCCCGTGTAGTGCGCGCGAGGCTGCGACGCTGTGTGCCATCATCGGTCCCCGATACACCCCTTTTGCAACTTTGAGCGTCATACCAGTTCGGGAGATGAGCGAGCCAGCCGCGACTGTTTTGGGCTGTGGGTTTGCGGTACCATAGAGCGCGAAGGAAAATCGAGCGCTGACAATGAGGGTTGAGACGTGACACGACGCGGGACTATACACTTGGCGGAGAGAGGCAAAATGGACAAGGGCCGAGGGAATGTTCAGGGATGCAAGGTCGGTATACGGAAGGAGAGGGGCAGGAGTGCGACTGTTGGCGGGGGCCGCCGAGACGAGCTGCGTCTTGGTCGGGCTGAGAAGCGAGCTCATCTTGAGCGTCCAGAAACGACTTGAGGGGAAGGAGCACCGCAGCCGCTGCTGAGCTGGCGGTGCCGACCAACGCCGATGCGGCCAAAGGGCTTGAAGAAACGACGCAAAGGGCGATCCCGCTCGCGGTCCGATCACAGGAAAGCCCAGCCGGCGCCCGCGGCCATCGCGGCTGCGAAGGCGGTGGTGAAGAGTGCGGGCAGGCTGAGCCAGCCAGCGGGACCGTGAGAGGTGGCGCCGGACGAAGAGCCGCCAGGGCTGCCGCCGTCGGACGACTGGCTGCCGTAGCCGGGGATATCAGAAGGAGAGATGATGGTGCCGCCAGAGGGAGTAGGAGTAGGGATGGGTCGCGTGGCAGGCGGCTGGTAGCCCGAGATGGTCTGGACGCCCGTGTAGGTGGTCAGGACGCCGGATCCACCGCCGGCGGCGATCTGTCGCTTATCGAGGGCGAGCAGTGCGTCCGAGTCGAGCGAGCCCATGAGCGCCCGCGCCATCAGGTCGTCGTCGGAGAGATCCTCGAAGCTGCGCTCTTGCTGCTCGGCGGCTGCGCCGGTGACGAAGAGGAGGCAGGCCAGGATGGCCGCCATGGTGGCGATGAGCATCGCAGGAGACCTCATTGCAGGCTGCGGGTCGAAGAGTGGGCTGTGGGGTGTGCGAAGTTGGAGATAGGAAGCCAAACGGGCTCGTGCTGCTGGTGGCGATGCGGTGAGGGCGTGCGAGGGAGCAGTTAGAGCGCTGCGGGCGAGGTCGTGATGGTGGGAGGGCAATGGAACGATGATGGCGGTGATGGTTGCAGGCAGGCACGCCAAACAGGCCAGGGGGCAGCTGCGAACCTGACGCACGGCGAGGGCCCAGCGCCGAGACCTCTGGGCTGGCCGACGCCCGCTTGGCGCTCGAGTTCCAAACCCTGGCCTGGCCTGCCGCGTGCGCAGGCAGCCAGACAGACGCTGCACGCGCTGGCTGCCAGACGCATCAGATCGGCCAGCCGCCCGCCTGCCTCTGCGTCGGGATATTTTCCGCAAGCCCACCGCCAAGATCCGAGCAGGCAAGGCCAGGCCAGGCCGGGCCCCGCCAGGCGTCTCAGCCCGCCGATCTGGCCACATTGGAGAATCGGCTGAACCGATCTCGCACGAGAGTTCTGCCGGCGGGTCAACCACTGGCCTGAGAACACCGCAGCCTGGCCAGGCGATCACGGGCTGGCTTCTCGGCGACGGCGAGAAGAAAGAAATTCTGCCGCTGGGTGGTGGGAGGGTACGACGGTGCTGGCAGGCCAGCAGGCTGGGCGAAGGGAACGAGCCACGAGCCATCGTCATCTCCCTCGTGCAACCAAGCGCCTCTTTTCCGTCTTCGCCCCAACCAAAGCCATCCCCCTCGCACCGCGCCCCTTTACATGGTCACCACACTGGCCATCACCGCCATCGCCACCGCCACAGCCACAGCCAGCACCAGCCGCACTCGTCTTGTCTCCCTCGCAACCGCCGTTCGCAACGTCCACCGCTCGCCACTGGCCGTCCATCGCCTCGCCGTAGCCATCCCTGCACCGACCAGCTTCTCGACCACCGCCGCTCCCCTCCGACAACCCAAGAACAACGCCAGGATGCCGCCGAAGAAGGCCGCCCCCGTCGAAAAGATCCGGCTGGGCCGCCCGTCGAACAACCTCAAGATGGGCATCGTCGGCCTGCCCAACGTCGGAAAGTCGTCGCTGTTCAATGTGATTGCCAAGTGCGACCTGGGCAAGGCCGCCAACTTCCCATACGCCACCATCGAGCCAGAAGAGGCGCGCGTCCCCGTCCCCGACGAGCGCTTCAAGTGGCTCTGCGAGCAGTATAAGCCAAAGTCCGAGATCCCCGCCTTTCTCACGTGCATCGACATTGCCGGCCTGACGGCGGGTGCCTCGACCGGCGCCGGTCTCGGCAACGCATTCCTGTCCAACGTCCGCTCCGTCGACGGCATCTTCCAGGTCGTCCGCGCATTCGACGACGCCGAGGTCATCCACGTCGAGGGCGATGTCAACCCGATCCGCGACATGGAGATCATCTCGACCGAGCTGCGGCTCAAGGACATCGAGTGGACGGAAAAGGCCCTCGACCTGGCCAAGAAGAACGCCCGCTCGGCCGGCAACAACAGCCTCGAAGACCGCAAGAAGAAGGAGGAGGTCGCCATCATCGAAAAGATCCTCAAGCACCTCCAGGAGGACAACCGCGACGTCCGCAAGGGCGACTGGAGCAACGCAGAGGTGAGCAGACGTTCCCGCTCCCTACCCGCCTGGCCGCCGTCGGATGATGATAAAGAGTGCGCAATGAGACACTCGAATACTATAACCCAGCTCGTCGAAGGCCCATCAAGCCTGAATGAGAAAAGACTATACACACTGATCCAGGCGCGGCGGCCAGGCCCATCTACCAGCGAATGCGAGACCCGTGCTGACCCGAGCTGGCCATCCACCCCTCGCCGACCCGCCCGCCTCCCGTGCCGCAGGTCGACGTGCTCAACGAGATGAACCTGCTCACCGCCAAGAATGTCGTCTACCTCGTCAACCTCAGCGAAAAGGACTACGTCCGCAAGAAGAACAAGTGGTACGTCCGCCGTGCACGCGGCCCCTCGCAGTCTTCCTCGTCATCGCACGCTCACCCCGCCCACCCCCGCTGACCGCCCCGCAGGCTGCCCAAGATCCACGAGTGGATCCAGAAGAACAACCCGGGCGACCTGCTCATCCCCTTTTCCGTCTCGCTCGAGGAGCGCCTCCTTCAGCTCGGCTCGCCCGAAGCAGAGGCAGAAGAGCTCAAGACGCTCGGCCCCAACGTCACCGGCGCCCTCGGCAAGATCACAAAGGCAGGCTACGACGGCCTCGACCTCCAGCGATACTTTACCGCAGGTGAGTAGTCGACCCTCCTGCTGCATCGCCTGTCGCTATGCTGACCATGTCCATCTGTACTTCACACTCACCGCAGGCGCCGACGAGGTCCGAGGTGAGTTTCGTCCGCCGTCGCGATCGCGCGTCGCGGCTTTTTTTTCCCGACGCCACACCGCTTCGACATCGTGCTGACACCTCTTCCACCATCACTGCGAGCAGCTTGGACGTTCCGTCGTGGCATTGCAGCACCCGCCGCAGCGGGTTTGATCCACACGTGAGCGATTCTGTGCGTTACATTTGCTGCGTGCTACCTGCTGATCCTCTTTGGCCTTTTTCTACCTCATTTCCCGGCATGGCCGTTCGGACACGAACAGAGATTTCCAGGTTAGTGCGGCAGCTTGGGTTTCGGCATGACTTCACGTGTCGATGGTGGCTGACGTGCGCATCGCTCCCCCATCATCGCACGCGATCCTACAGAAAAAGTTCGTCTGCGGCGAGGTCATGGCGTACGAGGATCTAAAGGAGTTGGGAAGCGAGGCGGCAGTCAAGGCGGCCGGAAAGCAGCGACAGGTACGTTCTGCCTCTATCCTGTCGCGACCTGATCGACAAAGGACTGAAACGCACTCGTGTCTTCATCCTCTTCCCCAGGTTGGCAAGACGTACGTCGTACAGGATGGAGATATCGTCCACTGGCTCGCGTCACGATAAAGGAAGGTTTTGGCATCACGCTGCGCGATGTGGACGGCTTCGAGCGATCGAGGTCAAGTCACGGCCATTGGCTATCCTTCACGGAGCCTCAAAGTTGGCGTCGTCCCACGGGATTCACAGAAGACATCGCACTTGCTGGCACTTCGTCGCTTAGACCCGTTTGACGTACGCATCCTCATATCGGTAGCCGCCGAGCACCACTACCGCCAGCAGGGATGAATGAGCAGGGCGCTGCGGCCTTTTTTTCGGCAGGTATCCAGACCGCGTCACCTCGACCGAGTTTTCTCTTCGTTTACAGAACAGAACGGCTACACTGCGATTGCGATTGTGAGACGAAACGTGCAAGCGCTCGTAGGGTACAAGTGCGAGGGAGCGATTGGTATCGATGATTGGGACTATGACTGAGAGGCTCGCTGGGTAAGGATGGCAGAGAGGTCGAAGCTTCGCGTGATCGTGTCTGACGCTAGACGTAGGCGACATGGGCTGGAGGTTCGGCGATGTGCCGTCGGTGGTTGCGTTGCCCTCGCCGTGATGCGGCGGGCCTCGTTGACGTACTGCGGTTGCTTTGATCGCGCCTGCGAACGGCGTCCGGAAGCGTTGGGCATGTGTGCGATCTCGCCCTGTTGCGGGAGTGTGGCCACGTATGCGGTCTCTGCGTCGAGGGATGGGCCAAGCCAGAAATGGAGATGCTTGAAGCGGCAGCGGCGGCGGCGGCGGCGGCGGCGGCGGCATCACTAGTAGCAGCCGCTTCGAGTCTGGCCGATCGCTGGCCAGTCATCCAAGGGCTTGCTGAGGCGTCGGTGGAGGGATCATAGGTCTGGCTGACGGACTGGGAACAAGGGCTATGGCTTTGTGAGCACGCTGTGATGGTACTTTGATCATGTTGGAACGGTTGTCGAAAACGTCGTGCTGGTGCTGGATAGTCGAGCTGGCTGCGGACCGCCAGGCGGATCCTGAGGGTGGTCAAGCGGCGGTGGCGGAATTCTTCCCTTTTCTGGCGGGTCCAGGCTCCAGTTGGCTGGAGGTTGCGGCGAGCGTAGCTGGTGTGCGGCGAAAGCGTGGGGCGAGCAGAGAGAGATGCCGAGTGGAGCGAGGAAGTGCACTGGCGGCGAGGTCGCGGCCGACCGACCATTATTGGCAGCAGGAGGGAGGGCTGCGCCTTGTGCCAAGCCCTAGGAGCGAAGGGCTTGGCCGTTCGCTATCACACGGCGGCTCCTCGCGCTGACCGTGTTCCGAGGACCGTGATCCGAGGGCTCTAGATACGAGCTGGAGGCGGGCCAGGCTAGGCCAGGCGACCCCGCACGATGCGGGTGGACCGCTGCGTGGAATGCAGCCTGGCGGCGAAGCAGTCGGTCGGTTCTTGGCCTGGGCCGGTGGACCGGTTCCTCTTTCGGCTCCCTCCCCCTTCCGCAGGAAGGCTGGGCTGCGAGCGCGCTTAACCAACCAAGCCTTAAAAGAGGACCGAGCTTCCCTTGCGTCCTACGCCCGTTCACCATCACCACCATCGACGCCCGACGTCCATCCACCATCACCGCCATCGACGTCAGGCCCATCCCTCGATCCTCAACAACTCTACTGCCACTGCCACTGCCACTCCTGCCACCTGCACCATGAGCCACTCTGACGACACCGAGGTTCCGCCGTTCCGGCACGCCGCTGCCGACACCAAGGCGGTGTTCAAGGACGACATCTTCAAGGGCAAGGTGCTGTTCTGCACGGGCGGCGGTTCGGGCATCTGCTACGAGATGGTGCGTGCCGTCATGGCGCACGGTGCGCACGCCGCCATCCTGGGCCGCAAGGCCGAGCGGCTGCAAAAGGCGGCCGAGGCGCTGTCCAAGGACACGGGCAGCCGGTGCATTGCCACGCCCGGCGACGTGCGCGAGCCGGCCGACCTGAAGCGCGCCGTTGAGCGGACCGTCGCCGAGTTTGGCAAGATCGACTTTGTCATTTGCGGCAGCGCGGCCAACTGGCTGGCGGGCATCGAGGAGAACAACGAAAAGGGCTTCAAGACGGTCATCGACATTGACCTCCTCGGCTCGTACAACACCGTCAAGGCCACGCTGGGCCAGGTCAAGCTCAACAGGTGAGTCGGCGGCGTGACTGGCGGCACGCCCTCCTTTGCGCGACGTGCTGACCTCCCGCTGCCGTCCTTCCGTCTCTTGCCGCGCTGCGCGCAATGCTCTCCTGCCGTCCCGCCTCTCTGCTTGCAACCCGCTTCGACATCCGCAGGGGCAGCTACATTTTCGTCTCGGCGACGCTGCACTACTTTGGCCTGGGCTGGCAAGGCCCGGCGTCGGCGGCCAAGGCGGGCGTCGATGCGCTGAGCCGCGTGCTGGCCGTCGAGATGGGCCCGCACGGCGTGCGCTCCAACGTCATCGCCCCCGGACCCATCAAGGGCACCGAGGGCATGGACCGCCTCGCCCCCAAGGGCGCCGGCGACATTGTTGGCGACAGCGTGCCGATGCAGCGGATGGGCGAAAAGTCGGACATTGCCGCGGCGGCCGTGTACCTGTTCAGCGGCGCGGCGACGTACGTCACGGGCATCCAGCTCGTCGTCGACGGAGGTGAGTGCCGGGGGCGAGGTTTCCCTCAACCCGTGAGATTGTGTGCTGACCGCCGGTGTCGTATGTCGCTCATTCTGCAGGCGCCTGGCAGACGATGGGACAGTCGCTGCCGTACCCGACGCTGGCCCTCGACAAGCAGAGCCTCAAGGACATTGTCACGGGCTCGCGGCTGTGAAGCGGCGCCCGTGGCCCTGTATCCAGCAGAGTCGTTTTCTTGAAAGCCGTGGCAGCTGCGTGCATTGCAAGCTCTGGAATTGTGGTGTGAGCGGTCGTGGTGCAAACGGCCGTATGCGTTGCGAGGACTGCGCGGCGGCCGCCAGAAGTCACATGTGCGGGGGGGGGGAAAAGGATCGGGCGGCGCCTGGGCCAACGACGCGCTGCCAAGCAGGCCACGCGCTGGCCAGTCAGGCGAGGCTGTGTTGGTCTGTCGGGCCTGGCCTGTTGGTGGCCTGTGTGGAGTTGGGCTGGTTGTGCGGGCGCGGCGGGCGGGCGCTCGATCCTTCTTCAGGGTCCGGTCAAGTCAGGTTTTCAGGGGCCAACCTGGCAAGCACCAACCCACTCCAACACCGACCCAAAGTACCAGCCTGCTTTTGCTTGCTCCATCCCTCGCACCTCAGCCGCCCCTCCTGCCCTGCTACGTCCATCTGCACCGTCTGCTTCCCTTTCCGCCTCTCCTTACCGTCCACTGCACACCGCGCCGTAGGCTCTACGCGGCGCACGATCACGACCCGACCCCGCTTCCAGCGCCCCACCGCCAGCATGGCCTCGCTGAGGACCACCTACTTCGCAGCGGGCTGCCAGCATGGCGGCGAGGCCTCCTGTGACCGCTGTGACTCGCTCCCCGCGGGCAAGATCAAGTCCAAGGGCGATGCAGGGGAAGCTCCTGGCTCGACGACTCGGCCGGACCGATGGGCCAGCAGGTAAGCACACGCACGGCGCACCAACGCCCCGCAAGTCTGGCGGCCCGATCATATGAAGTCGTGCCGCTAAGAGCACAGGATCGAACTGACCCAACCTGCCTCTCGATCACCACCCCGCCTGCTGCCATCCCTCGACAGATACGTGAGCGGCACGTTTACGCCCGACGACTCGTACCTCTCGAGCAGCACGAGCGGCTCGAGCGTCGCCTCTGCCAACGGCAAGGTCCCCTTTCGAGCCAGCACGGACCACAACCTCGGCCTCGGCATGCCTTCTCGCATCTCGCGCGATCTGAGGTCCAGCTTCAGCAACCAGCCGCGCCCGACGCTCGACAGCCTGCCGGAGCGCGGCCGGTCGACGGAGCGGACGGCGTCGCAGTACCTCTCGACGCCTCCGTCGGCCGGGCCCTCCAAGGCCGCGCCCTCGCGCGACCGGTCGCCCAACGGCGGAGACTACCGCGCGCCGATCCTGCAGGGCTCCGACGGCGCCCTCTCCAAGGTCTGCGGCAGCCTGGTCGAGCCGTCCGAGAGCCGCAACAAGTGGGCGTGCCACGACTGCAAGGCCGTCTTTGCGCGCGACACGACCATCTACGCGCCTCCGAGCTCGGCGGCCGACCTCAGCCCGGACGGCGCCTACTTTTGCAAGCAGTGCTACAGCGCGCGGTACGGCCTGGGCAAATGCAACGCGTGCCAGAGGGACGTCCTCGGCAGCACAAAGGAGGACGGCAAGTTTGTCAAGGCCAACGGCGGCCTCTGGCACGGCCGCTGCTGGAGGTGCGTCCACTGCGGCAAGGGCGCAAAGGACGGCGTCGAGGTGCTCGTCGGCATGGACGGTAGGCCGTGCTGCGAAGGCTGCTTTGACAGACCAAAGCAGGCAAGGCGGCCGTCATTCGACGCCAAGGCTGCGGAAAGGCCGGTTCCGTCGGCATCCTCTCGCTCTCACGACGCCGACGTGCGCAGGCTCAGCCGGTACGGGGCCGCAGGCAAAGGCGCCATGGGCGCAACCATCGCCGAGCTGTCGAAAAAGTTCAACAGGGGCTGCTCAACATCGACGGCGATGCCGACGTCGCCGACGCTGCCCTCGAGTCCGACGATGGCCTCGGACATCTTCCGCCGGGGTTCCACCTCGACGGGCTCACTCGCCGATGTCGCGCGGCCCCCCTCGCGAGGGACGCTGCCGTTCCCAGACCTCGTCTCGCGCTCGCCCACCCGCGGCAGCACCGGCATGAGCCGCAGCGGCAGCATCACCGGCAGCCCGCCCAAGCCTCGTCCGTTGACCGCCCAGTTCACGGGCGATCTCAACCTCGCCGCCTTCCGCACGTCGTTCGGGCCCGGCTCGGACCCGGAGCGGGGCCACCTTAGCCGCAGCGACTCGCGCAGCCGCAGCTACAGCCCGACCAAGCGCACCCCGCTTGGGAGCGGTGGTGTCACGCCGGAGACGGGCTCACGCGGACGCTTCGACTCCTTCACCCGCGATGGCGCGGGCCCGTCGACCACCTCGGCAAAGGTGCCCGGCAGCCCCAACGTGAGGGCGAGCTCCAGCCTCGGCGGTGCCGCTGCTGCTGCGCCGCGATCTGCCGAATTCGGGCGTGACCGCACCGCCAGCGGCTTTCCACGTCCGCTCAACACGCCCTTTTCCAAGGACAAGAGCACAAAGGAGCCTCTGCAGGGCGACAAGCACTCCGACGAGCCCGACTCGGAGCCGACTGTTGAGCCGACCGCCGCGGACCCGCCCGCGGCGGATGCAGAGGTGCGATGCGTCGTCTGCCATCGGCTGCCCTTCGAGTCGTCTGCGACCGGGTCCGGGCCCGCGCATGAGGTGGTCATGATCACGCTAGCAGGCGGCCAGCACCTGCACGCCGACTGCTTCACGTGCTGCGTCTGCGCGGCCAAGATCGACGGCAGCCGGACCTTTACGCGCCTCGAGGGCCTGGACGGACAGTACCGCGAGCTCGCACCGGGGCTGGAACCGTTTGCGCACCCTCACTGCGCGCCCAGCGTCCGCCTCCAGCGCGTGGTCCGCGCGCTCGACGACCAGCCGGCCTCGCACGAAGGAAGGACGCTCAACCGCAATTTGGACCCGGAAGCGTCGGTGCGGAACCACGTCACCCACCAGCGAGAACTGCGGCCGAGCCCGACGCCCTCGCCCGCCGCGACGCTGCGCAGTCCGTCTAGCTCCTCGTTCCCCGAGCGAGGCGATCTGCCATTTGCGCGCGGCACCAGCACGGCGCCGACGTCGACGTCGACCCGACCCACCGACGGCAGCGTTCGTCGCTTCCAGCCATCGGCCGGCGCCGCCCCGCCGACACGCTCCACGATCCTCTCGCGCTCGGCCACCGCTCCAACGAATCCGGCAGCAGGCATCTTTTCTCGCCAGCCCCAGCCGTCCACGTCTTCATCTTCCGGCCCTTCGAACGGCCTGGCCGCCCTGCGCGGCGCCACAGGCTCGGGCTCGGGCACGACGGCCGCGGGCGGGCCGACGCGGCTGGGCGGGATGCCGTCTTGCGCCTTTTGCGGCGAAAAGCTATCGGCACTCGAGAGCGTGACGGGACCGCGCAGCACGGCGTGGCACCGCAACTGCCTCATCTGCCGCGGCGCACCAAAGGCGGCGCCGTCGCCCCTGTTCGTGCGCAACCTCCGCGCCGCTGCGCCTTCGATCTGCGGCAAGAAGCTCGACTCGGGCGCAAAGGTCAACCGCGACGGCGAAGTCAGGTGCCGCGACTGCTTTGACCGCGAGTGCTCCGCCTTCCGCGTGTCGGCTTAGCTTTACGCTGCTGCCCCCTGCGCCACGAGCGACATTGGCTCATGTGCTTAGCGCTCGACGGACCGGCCACCCGGACGGCCGGCCGACCGCCCTTCCTGCTCGCTCGCCCACCGCGATGATAGAGACGACTGCAATGACGACATGCCCACTCGATGACCCGATGAGCCCGCGGGAGAGGGAGGCGCAGCGAACATTGATGCTTGCGCGGATGAGATGGGAGACGCTGCTGGCGGTGCTAGTGGTACACGATGTGGATGCGGTGGGATGCTAGGTGAGGAGAGGAATCGTCTAAAAGCGATTGCTGCGCGGCGTGGCGCGGCGCGGACCGTTTCCCGGCGTCAGCGTCAGCGTCGCGGAAGGATGGGCATGGGGCGAATAACGGACGCCGCGGTACCTGCTGCCGATCTCGAAGTCGAGGCCCGCGAGGACGCCCCGGCACCCGGCCGCGCCGTAGACGACGAAGAGGTTGGGGGCGCACGCCTGCTCGCCGCCGCCGCCGTGGGGCCCGACGCGCCGCTCTTGCTCCTTGGCGGGCTGGGGTCGTTGTACGAGAACGACGACAGATCGATGGCGCCCTTGGCCGTCGCGCCGACCGCTGCCGCTCGCGGTGCGGCTGCCTTGCCGCCGAGGCGGTCCTGCTTCTGCCGGTAGTCGATGCAGACGGCGAGGAAGTCAGAGGACCGCACGTACCTCTTGGGCCCGGTGATGCCGATGGCGTCGCGCAGCGTCATGTCGTCGCGCGGCAGCATAGCGCTGAGGACTTGGAGCTGCTCGTCGGTGAAGACTTCCGACTCGGCGCACCCGAGCTTCTCGATCGTCTCGCTGCGCAGCTTGGCCAGCGCCTCGTAGCACTGCTGCGACACATCCCGCTCCTCCCTGGTCCGGTCGGCGGAGCCGCTGCCGCTGCCGACGGCCGAGCGGGTGTTGACGACGTTGCGGCTGAGTGGCGCGCGCTTGGCCCTGTCAGCGTTGCGCGGCGCCCTCGCCTTATCCGGGCTGAGGGGCACGTTGCTGATGTCGTGGGCGTCGTCGGCAAACTCAAAGTCGCTGACGGCCACCGGCCTGGTGGCGGCGATAGGCCTGCCAGTGGACCGTTTCGTCGCCGCCGTCGTGGTCGCTACCGCTGCCGCGGTGCCCTTGCCCGCCTTCTCTGGGCGGATCTCGAGCTCGACCTTGAGCGAGCCGTTAAGCACGTCCTTGGCCCTCGGACCCAGCTTGAGGTAGAACTGCGTGTACCCGCCGATGCTGCGGGTCTCGTCCTCGAGCGCGTTGAGGGCCTGTAGGCGCTGGAAGAGGCGACGGCACTGGTCGTTGGAGAGGTGGGCGCCGGTGCCCCAGAAGTAGGCCTTGGGGTCGTGGTGCTCCCGGGTGGCCTGGGTCCTCGCGCCGCGGAAGACGTCGGCGCAGTAGATGAGCGTGACGCGCTTCTTTGTGGCGAGGATGGCCTTGACCAGCTTGATGGCCACCTTGGCCAGCTCGGTAAAGTCGTGCTTGACGACCTTGCCGTCCTTTTCGATGCAGACGTCGCAGCTGCGGTGGCAGTTGGCGGGCGAGAAGGTCTCGTTAAAGTAGCGCAGGATCTGCATCTTGCGGCAGTCGGTGCGGTTCTCGCAGTAGCTGAGCACCTCCTTGAGGTTCTCGAGCTGCTGGTCCTTTTGAACGCGCGGCAGGTCGTCCTCCTGGATCTGGTTCTGCAGCTGCCGGAAGTCGTTGTACGTGTAGTAGAGCACGCAGACCGACGTCTTGCCGTCGCGCCCCGCCCTGCCAGTCTCCTGGTAGAAGCCCTCGACCGAGCGCGGCATCGAGTGGTGGATGACGAAGCGCACATTGGGCTTGTCGATGCCCATGCCAAAGGCCACGGTGGCGACGACCACCTCAAACTCGCCCGTCTTCCACTGGTTCTGGATCATGGTGCGATCGGCGTCCGAGAGGTGGGCGTGGTAGTGCTTGGCGCGGATGTCGTGCTTTTCCGACAGGTCGTGGGCCACCTCCTCGCACGACTTGCGACTGTTGCAGTAAATGATGCCCGTCTTGCCGGCGTGGTACGTCTTGATGAAGCCGGCGATCGCATCGAGGTGCTTGGCCTTGGTGCTCGGCTTGTCGCGCACGTGGTACTCGAGGTTGGGCCGGTTGAACGACTGCTGAAGGGCGACGGGCTTGTCGAGCTGGAGCTGGTTGGTGACGTCCTCGCGCACGCGGATGTTGGCCGTCGCAGTCAGCGCCATGAAGGGGATCTTGGGGTACTCTTGCCGCAGCCTGCCCAGGTCTTTGTAGTCCGGCCGGAAGTCGTGGCCCCACTGGCTGACGCAGTGCGCCTCGTCGACGACGAAGCGGGCGAGGCGTTTGGTGCGGTAGAGGAGGCCAAAGATCTCGGTAGCCTTCGACGACTTGCCGACGAATTCGGGCGTGAGGTAGAGCAGGCGGATTGACGTCTCGCGCTTTGTCAGCTCGCGGAAGACATCCGCACGGTCCCCGGCCGACATCTTGCCGCTCAGCGCGACGGCAGGAATGTCCTTCTGGACGAGCGACTGCACCTGGTCGTGGATCAGCGAGAGCAGGGGCGAGATGACGATCGTGACGCCGTCCGTCCTGCCCTTTGTGACGACCGCGGGGATCTGGTAGCAGAGGCTCTTGCCTCCGCCGGTCGGCATTAGGCAGAAGACGTCCCGCCCGCTCAGCGCCGCGTTGATCGCCTCGAGCTGGTGCTTGCGGAAATTTTTCAACTGGAACAGCTCGCGCAGCGCGTACACGACCTCCTGCGACCACGGGTACACGAGCTGGTCTCGGGTCTCCTTGGACTTGGGCAGCTGGTCCATCGACGGGCCGAGGATCTGAGCCCGCACCTCGGCGGGCGCATCGTCGTAGTCGATGTCATCGCCATCGCCATAGAACTCGTCGATGTCGATGGCGTCGTCCTGCGGCGGCGGCGGCGGGGCAGCCCGGACGGGCGCCGCAGGTACCATGGGCGCAGGCCGCGAGGGTCCGGCGATTGGCACGTCGGGCACCTCGTTCCACTCGATCGCATCGTCGTCAAAGTCGGGCGTGGGCGAGCGCGGTCGGCGGGAGCCATCGTCCTGGCCCTGAGGTCGGGCCGCGAACGTGTCGCAGCGAGCCGATGCCCCGTCGGTCGGTCGCGAGTCGGTCTGCGGACGATCGGCCCGGCTGATCGACCCAGGCCGAAATAGCTCGTCGTGCCCGGTAGCCGCGTCTACCCCCGAGCGGGCAGCGGGCACAAATACGTTGCTGGCCGAGGCGCCGGTGCTGGTCCCTGAAGACGGAGCCTGCTGCGGCGGCGAGGCAGCTCGGAGCGGCGTCGCTGAGTGGCCGGACGGATCGACGCCCCTGGCATCCAGCTCCTCTTGAATCTGCTTGACCCTCTGGTTGAGGAAGCTCTCCTGCATCCTCACGTACGCCTCATCGGCCGCGTTCGGGTCCTCGACCAGGCTGACGAGCTCCAGCCGCACCCTCTTCAGGTTGGCCTTGGTCTGCTTCAGCAGCTCGACCAGGTCCCGATCCGTCCTCTTGATGAGGTCGCTGGTGGGCCGACCGGTGCTGCTGGTCGAGCCGGGCGCTGCCTGGGACGAGGCGGGATCCTCGTCTCGGTCTCTCTGGCCGTGTCGAGACGAGGCGGCGTCCGAGAGCGTCCCCTCTGCAGACACCCTAGGGCGCTTGACATGGCCTTGGCCGCCTCGCGGCGTGATGGGCCCGGGCGAGTCGCGCTTGACAGGGATGACCATGGAGTCGTTTGATCGGTCGGCGTCTCCCACAAGCCTGGCCGCTGCAGCTGCGTTCTCGGCCTTGATCAGGACAATATCGTCGTGGTCGTTGCCGTAGTTCTGGTCTGGAGAGGGGCGGCGACGGTGCAAGGGCCGGTCGTCGTCCAGGTCTTCGTCGTCGTCAAGGTCGATGGTGATGGCGGGGCTGGAGCCAGGAGGTGGCGGTTTGACGTCGAGAGCAGCGGTCGATGCTGCTGTCAGCCTGGCCGGCAGCCGATCCGAAGAGGATGCGGCGTACCGCCTCGGCACACCCGACGCTACCGATGGCGAGCCAGTGCGCATTCCTTCTGCTCCTTCCACCTTCGGCGTTACCGCATCGACATCGACCGGCACTACCCCTGGTTCGAGCTTCGGCAGTCTGCGGTTCGGCATGGCCGAACGATCAATGCTGTCAGTGCCGCGATGGATGTTGCTCTGGCGGGCGCTGGGGTGGCTGTCGATGTGGGAGTAGGCGTTGTCGCTGCAGTCTATGGTGGTGGCGACTCAGGCGCCTCCGTGATGCGCTGACAAGTGCATCAAGCTCTCTGAGGCTGGGCAGGAACGGGATCAACTGGATGGCTGAGTCGCGCTGCGGACCAACGACGGTCGGATCAAGCCCCCTGTGCAGAGAATGAGGCTCACAGCACAGCCGGACGGGCGCGTCGCCGCCGAAACCAAACTGGCAGAGGGGCGGAACGAGAGCGGAGCGCGGCCGACCAGGGAGGACCAATATGTGCGGGCCAGCGGAGCAAAGCTTAACCTAGCTCGACGGGCCGCAGACGTAGTGCGGCAGCAGCAGCAGCAGCGGGGTTGCCGTCAGACCGGGGTTGCTGGCTGTGTATCGTGTGATGGTGTGCTGCGTGGTCGGGCGATGGCGAGAGGACGTGGTGATGGTGGTGGTACGAGGGCGATGACGGCGATGGTGGTGGCGAGCAGCTGGCACCAGCACCGTGCCGTGCATGCGCGGAACCCGGAGTCCCACGCCACTCAACCTCAACGACCGCCTTGCCCCACCAGCGGGCGGCGCCGAAAAATCTCCGGGTGCCGTCGCGAGCAGCCCTCAGGGTCTTGACTTGGATTTCGCGTTCGTGTCGATGTCTAGGCAGGCAGGCGGGCTCAGCCTGAGCTGGCTTTCAGCTGGCTGGCTTGTCCTCCAAAAGCAACACTACTGTGGGGCACGTGATTTCGAGAATTTTTTGGAGGCTCGACTGCCCAACCGACCGCTTTGGCTGCCTCGACTTTTCTTTTCCTCGACAGAGGCCTGACTCCTCGTTGCGGCCACTCCACCTCCTCTTCTCCCGTTGCCCTTTGACTCGCATTCTCGTCAAGCCAAACCTGCGGCAGCGCCGACGTCCTTACGACTACGACTACGGTGGATCCACGCACCTGGACGCCTGGCGAGACAGCCAGCGTGACAGAAAGCGCCGGCGAGGCTTGGCTCTCTGAACTCCCCAACCTCGGTGAATAGGTGAGCTTGGTCTTGCGGTTTCGGGAGGCCCGAACCGGCTCCAGGACAGTGGTGGAACCCGCCGCCCGCATCTGCACGGCTGAACGTTAGTCGCTGATCCAAGGCACACTACTCGTCCGGCCAAACCCCGCATTATCGACAGCACCTTCATGGCTGCCTGCTCGTAGGCGAGCCGTTGAGGCCGCGCAATCTGGCCAGGCGTCCCCTCTCGATATGGGCTTGCAATTCGCCTCGTCCGAGGCGGCCGCCGCCGAGCGCCGCCCATGGTCTTACGGCAGTACCGCTGACACCAGCACGACATCGCAGGCACCTACTCCGGACCTCGCCCGATCGCAGGTCGGCAACACGGATTCGGACGACGAGGATCCGCCCGGCGTCAGCTCGACGCCATCCGATACGGTGGTTCCCGCGACCTGCGCCGTCACTTCGGAAGATCTCCGTGTGTTTCAGGACCTGCTCAGCCGATGGTCGCAGAAGCAGCCCGTCGCCGCGGTTACGGGCGGCGACGAAGACGAGACCAGTCGCATCCACGATATCGACTTGCTCTTCGGCGACACGCCCGAGCCTCAGGCGGCCGATTCGCCAGCACCTCCCACAGCAGGAGCCGCGGTCCGGCCCGCACAGGATGTCCAGGTTCACGCCTCCCCCGCTGGCCAGCGACGACAGCCCGCGCCTGAGACTTGCGCGGCGCCACCCCGAGCCGACGGGATCGCAGCGGCATCTGCTCCGGCCCTGCGTCTTCCGGGCATGGCTGCGCAGCAACAGAGCGGACCGGGTCGAACTGACCCTCTTCTAGCTTCCGGCGGGCAGAGAGGGTCAGACTCTCCGCTTCCCGGGCCAAACTCTGGCGGGGAAGCTCTCGGTCCGGCAGCACGGTTGACGGCGTCTTCGTCCGCGCCGTCGGCAACACCGTCGGCAACGCCTACGGCCGCACCGGCCGTGCCCATGATCGGACCAGCGAAGCGCCCTCGCGGCAGACCCCCAAAGTACCCGCGACCCGATGGCACGGCCGCGCCAAAGAAGAAGGCGCCTGCCAAGAGGAAGGCGAAGACGGCCGAGGATGGTGACGCGCGGAAGAAGCCGACGACTAAGGCGGCCGCGCGCGGCGCCGTCCCGATCACGATCGCCGACCTGGGACGGATGATCCCCAAGAATGCCCCTCCCGCTGACATCGAGGCGTTTATACGCAGCAACGTCAAGCTCTTTGCCGACCTCTTCATCGCGCTGCAGAAGCAGGCCAGCGAGGATCGCAAGGTCAGGGAGCGTGCCAAGGAGGAGCTCAAGGGCATCGCCCGCAGTCGCTCGGTCGGTGCCAGTCCGGCCACCTCGACCAGCGCCGCCGCCACCCCCGCCGCCGCAACAGCGCCCCCATCGCGCGGACAGTCCGCACCGCCGCCCCTCCTGCCGCTCGGCACCTCGACCGGTCCAGGCCTCTTCTCGTCTGCAGACACCGGCGCTGCCCCGTTGCCGAGCGCCGACCATGCTCGCGCTTCCTCTGCTGCAACATCGACGACGACACAGAAGTCGGGCGGGCGGGACTTTTCGCAGGTCCTGGCGCAGGCCTTGAGCGAGCTGCTGACCAATTCGGCGGCGCCGTCAGCGGCCCATGCTAGGCAGTCGAGCTCGACGGCGGCTCCGCCGCGCGGGCAACGCTCGGCATCCGTCGGAGCCACGGAGACGGGCGCGACGCCCGCCGCCAAGCGCCGACGATCCGAGGCCAACGTCGACCTGCACGCCACGGTCAAGAAGCGCATGGCTGATGTCTCTTCGAGCCACAACGACCTCCGGCAGGAGATGCTGCGCCTCAAGGTGGACAAGCAGTTTTTCGACAATGCGCAAAAGACGGTCGACGAGCGCATCAAGGTGCTGCGCGAGCGGATCATGGCCCGGAGCAAGGACCTCCAGCGCGAGCGCGAGGCCAACCGGAAGGCGCGGGTCGAGGCGCGCCAGGTCAAGAAGGACCACCGGGCGGCGGAGCGCATGCTCCGGCAGTCGCAGAACTTTGAAAAGACGCTCGAGGCCCAGACTCTCCTACTCGAGGCCGAGATCGCCACCGAGGAGCAGGCGCGGCGAGAGAGGGAGGAGGCCGAGCGCTTCGAGCTCGACGCCGCGCTGTTCGATGGGCAGCACCAGATCGACTTGGCGGACTCGGCGAACGATGAAGTCGTTGTGCCCATCCCTGCCGCGCTCGGCGATCATCTGGACCCGTCCGATGGCAGCGGCAACAGCGGCAGCGGCGACGCCATGACGGACGACGACCTTGCCCGGGCGCTGGGCATCTCGCTCAGCGATCTTTCCAGGTTCACCCGCGAGGGGCTCGGCTCGCCCATGGCTGCGTCGATGCTGGCGGCACCTCCGGCTTCGTCCCCGCAGCCATCGCTTGCACCAGCGGCCTCGGAAGCCACTGCAGCGATGGATCCGCCCACGCAGCCGGACCAGGCGACGGACCAGGCCTCGAATCTGGCGTTGGACCCGGCGGACTCGGTGATGGATCTGTCCCACCTTCTCGATGCCGCCGCCGCGGCCGAAGCAGCCAGCGCACCTGCTGGCGACAGCGGCCAGGAGGCCGCAAGCTCGCTCGATGCGCTGATGGACTTTTCCATGCCGGACTTTGACCTCGGATCCTTGTTCGAGGCGAGCGCTGAACCAGCGTCGCCGAGCGCAGGCGCCAACGAGTCCAGCGCCGCCGTCGTCGAGCAGCAGCCTGACGAGCAGCAGCAGCAGCAGCAGGAGGTTCAGCAACAATAGCAAGCAATCGTCAACAAGCCATCGCCACTACCCAAAAGCATTAGCAATCCTCCTACTCACCGTGTTCCCGGCATCAGCGCCAAGCGGGCCAAACGGCGCGGCATCCTTGTGCCGACTCGTCCTGGTCACTCGTCCGCTGCGCTGTCAGCAATGACACGTTCAGCCAAACGACACCCGCGGATCCCCACCCAATTATCCACATCGCATCAATCAACTTGTACTTTACCCACAATCGCAATCCGAGCTTCCGTCGTAGTGACATGACACCTTTGAGATGGTAGAGTGCAGGCAGTGGTATGGTACAGCCGCCAGAGGGCATCGCGGGCGATATCGAGAGAGGAGATGACTGTGTTCGATGGGTCCGTTGAAGAGAGGAAAAAGGCAGGCTGGGAGGCGCAAGCGCTAGAAGTCGGTCGCGCGACCTCCATAGGTCCACTCCTTTTCGTAGGTGAGGGGATCCTTCTTGGGCCCGCCGACTTCACCGGTGACGGGGTTGGTCTCGCCCTCAAAGTCCGGTTGGGGCTTCTTGCGCGCGTCCGGGTGGAACTGCTCCTCGGCCGACGTGAACTGCAACGAGTCTGCCGTCGTGTGGCGCGGCGCCATCGTCGTAGGAGTGGGTAGTTAGCATGGTACGTTCATCCGACAGCGCAGAGGACGTGCGTGAGGCAGGGTGACGGCGACTCACTCTGCTTGTCCTTGACCAGTCTTTCGAATTCGCGCTGCTCCTTGGCGGGTAGGGGGGGCGGACCGGGTCGGTCAAACTTGCCACTTGATGCGCATCTCGTCGTGCTCAGTGCGCGGCGGGTAGCGACCGTCGAGCGGGTCATTGCCAGCGTCGACGACGGCATCGTGCGGGCAGCGAGGGTGAGGGTGCGCGGTAGCATCTTGGAGATTGTTGTGGCGGAGGGCGTGGTGTTGGTGGTGGTTTGGTACGGCAATCGACGGTGGACTGGGTGTGGGGAGCAGTTTATCAACGAGAGAGGCCAGGGCCAGGCCAGGCCAGACCCGGCGAGAGCGGGGCAGCGCATGTGGAGATTTTCTGGCCTGCCACGCATCACGTAAGCACCACCCGCGTTGCCACCCTGCCTGGGCTCGATGCTCGGACCCGGTCCAGGCCGACTCGGGCAGTCTCGGAACTGCACGCCTTGCTTCGCTCGCTCAGCCGACCGGGCGCTCGCCGGCACATCGTACACATTGCTTCTGCCTCAGGCTATGGCATCGTCGCCCTCTTCCGCGGCCATCGCCGACTCCTGCTCGTTCCCTGCGCCGCCCTTCCACTCTGGCTGGCTTCGAAACACCCTGATGACCTCGACGAGATCCCGGATGCTCCGCACCTGCTCCTCGCACCGCTTCGCCGTCTCGCCCACGGTCGGCAGTTCTGCCGCGGCCGCCTCTTTCTGGTCCTCTACGCCATGCTTTGCCTTGCGCTTGCTTTGCTGATCCTTGCGCGGCGATGCTGCTGCTGCAGCGACGGCCTTATTGGCCTTTTCCTCGTACGTGTGCATCGCATCGATGGCCAGCTGCACCTCGTCGACGTCTTGCTGGATGGCCGCCTCGAGACCGGGCAGCGTCGATCGGATCGCGGCCTGGATCGAGGTCACGTCCGAATCGGCGGCGGCGGCGACAGCGTTCACCGGCGACGTCGGTGTCTGTGACAGGTCCTCGAGCACGGTGGTGGCCTGCTGGTGCATCTCCATCAGGCAGAGGAGCACGAACCACTTGATCTGCACCGTCCGCACCTGCTCGGTGATGGTGTGTAGGCGCAGCAGCGCGCCGACCCGATGCGCCGTGCTGCGACTGGAGCTCTGCGACGACGAGAGCGTCGAAGCCGGGCTGGCGGAGAGCGCGGTGGTGCGCCTGTCGTGCTTCATCAGGGTGCGGTAGGCGAACCATGCGATGCCCTCCTCGTCCTCGTCGCCGCTGTCGTCGTCATCATTGCCGCCGCCCGCGTTGGTCGGTGCAAACACGTCCGTTTGCCGGTAGAGGGCGGCGTTGGCAGGCTCGTCGATCCAGCTCCGCACGTCGGCGTAGACGACGTCCTGGCGTGCCAGGCGTCCCAAGGCCGAGCGGAGCCGATCGGCGCTGGTCAGCTCTTCGACAAAGCGGCGGCGGACGTAGAACGCCGTGCCGTGGAGGCGAAGTACGAAGACGCCCCGGCTATCCTGTCGACCGCCGTCCTTGCCGCGGCGGCCGCTGCCGCCACCGTTGGCCCTTGCGCCGTCACCTTCAGCCTTCGAGCCCGGCGAACCGCTGATGAGGGCAAGGTGGGCGAGGAGGGACTCGGCCAGCATGCCCGGCTCGACGCGCTGCAGCCTGATCGCGAGACGCCGGACGTCATCTGCATCGAGGCTCGATAGGCGGATCGCCGTGCCCCGAATGACGGCGCTCTGGTCGAGCAGGCTGCGCCGCGCGTGGGCAAACATGAGGGCCAGCAGCGCCGTGGCGGCCTCTACGCGACGCTGCACCGCCTCTTCCAGGTCGTCCTGGGCGTCCCTTCGCCTCCAAGCTAGCTCGGCGCGGCGGCGTTCGGATGTTGCGGTGTCCTGGTCGGCCTCCTTTGCGGCGGCGGCGGCGTCGCGCCACCAGAGCGTCGGTATGGCGCCAGGGAAGGAAAAGGCGACGTCGAGCGCCTTGCGCACCTCGGAGCTGCCGGTGTCGGACCCAACAGCGTACGTCTTGGCCCGCTGCCGCCAAGGCGAGCTCAGCAGCTTCTTGCGCTGCTCGCTCGGCGGGAACTGATCCACAAAGCAGCCGCGCTGCTGCTGCTGCTCGTCGAGCGAGCTCTCCAACTGCCAGAGCTCGACCAAGACTCTGAGCGTGCGCCAGGCGCCATCTGTCAAGCGTAGCGCTGGGTTCGCCCCGTCAAGATCCTCGCCATCGTCTTCGTCGTCGACCTGGCGGCCTAGCCCCCTCCTGGACGTGCGCATGGGCCGGTTGTTTTGGACAGGTCGCGTGGCAGCTGTGTGCTTCGACGCGCGCCAGCCTTCCTCGGACGAGCTGTCCGAGTCGCTGGCGCTGGCGTATGGCCCACTGTGGGCCTGCGAGGCAGCGTTGCTGGAAGACGCCGCCGGCTGACGATGCGAGGTGCGCGAGGCTCGTGCCTGCACCTGCTCTTCGACGAGCCTTCGTTCGCGATCCGACAACCAGAATTCATCCACCAGTCTGCCCTGCTGAGACCGAGGGTCGGGCGACGCGGTGCGGCCGCCAGAGAGGAGGTCCCAGACATCCTCGGCCGTCTTGAAACGCTCCTGCATCCAGCGGGCCAGCGGGGTGCTCCGATCGCGCTGCTCGGCATAGTCGGGCGATGCCGAGGCCCGTGCGGGCCGCTTCGCGGTGTGCGAGGCCGTGTCGTCTTCGACGTGCGAGGGAAGCGTGGACAGGATGTACCGGGCAAAGTGGGCGTCTTGTGCTGCGATGCGTCGGGCCGAGGCGACCGTCGGATGGAGCCAGCTCTTGCCCAATTGCAGGAGGAGGCGGGATGCAGTCGAGATGGCGCATTGCGACGGACGATGCCTGGACCTCAGCAGCTTGATTTGGCGCCGCTGCGCTGCATCCCGGTCGTCCTGTTCGAGCGGCGCCTTGGCGTTGGAAACAGGGAGCGTGGTGGGGTGCGCGGGGAGCGAACAGAGGCTGAGGGCGAAGAGCCTGCGTACCTGTGACTCGGATGGTCGGATGGACTCGGCGCGCAGCTCGTCGATGAGCGAGAGTGCATGGTCGTACTGCTCCTCGTCGAAGCAGTCCTCGACGAGCTGGTAGAGGCCGTGTGGCAGCTGCTGGATCCGCGAAGGGCCGGCGACGTTCTTGAGCTCTTGCTCGGCCGCCTGCATTTTGCGCTGGGTGCGAAGATGTGGGCAGCAGGGGAATGCGCTCCCGCCGTCGTCGTCTTCGTCGTCGCCAGTCAGCCGAGCTGCGCCACTCGTTTCGTCCCTTGTCGAGTGGCGCGAGGAGCTGGGGAGGGGAGGGGTTAGGAAGAGGTGGTGGGCACGAAGAGGGCCGACTAAGCCAGAAAAAGTGACACTCTTCCTGGCACGCGCCCTCAGCCACGCAGGGCCCACCCGCCCCGTGCGTCGGCTCCACATGCACACACACGCGAGCTCACGGCGCGCCTCGACTCCAGCAGGCCGGGCCGGGCCAGGCCAGTCCAGCTCGCCGACCACGAGTTAGCCCTAGTCTGGACGCTCTCACGGCCGGCCATTGCTCTGGCTCACACGGACAGTCTGCCAGACCAGGCCAGAAGGGTCGTCTAGGTGTTTCGCATTCCAAGGCGTGCTGCTGGGAAGAGGTATTGTGCGCGGGTAACGTAGCGGGGGTAGCGTGCGAGCGCGTCGGGGCGTCGTGCAGAAAGGATGACGATGAGGGGGATGGAGAGGTCGGGTGCGCGTGCCGGCAGGGGAAGAAGGCAGGGCAGGGCAGCAATGGAAGGTGCGGAGGGCCAGCGAATGAGAGGAGAGCGAGAGCCAAGAGCAGGAGGAGCGAGGAGAAAGAGAGTGTAGGCGAGACGTCGAGGCAAATTCATGACGGAGGGAAAAAAAAGAGAAGGCGAGCGAAGCTGAAAAGGGGGCGTCGTCGGGATTCTAGCCCGTCCCCGCAGCGGCTGGCAGAGGAGGACGAATCGACGCGGTGAAAGTGGATGCGAGGAGGCAAAAGGGGGCCGCGGGCGAGGTCAGGCGCCGCGCCGCGCCGCGCCGAGAGAATACAAAACGAAGTGCGTGGCTTCGGAGCAAGAGAAGAGCAGGCTGAGCGTCAAAGAGCAAGAGTCCGCCAGGGGCACAGAGAGGGAGGCAGCGAGAGGCCGAGGCGGCTACTCGTCCTCGATCTCGGTGCGGGGCTGGAAGGCCCAGAGCTCTTCGCCCTCGGCGTTCTTCTCGTGGACGATGGTGAGGCGCTGGAGGTTGGTGAAGAGGTCCTCGATGATGGGGTTCTTGACCGAGCGCTGTCGTCGTCCGAGGTTGTCGAGCCATCGCCAGCTGTTCATGATGTAGTAGACCAGGCCGATGATGACGGTGACGCCGAACGAGAAGATCCAGACGCGGATGACGGTGACAATGTCGGTCCAGCCGCCGTGGGGGGCGGTGATGGGGTTGCGGTTGGGCGCGCCCGAGAGCCAACCAAAGAGGGCGAAGAGCGAGGCGATGATGTCGACGGCCAGGACGGCGCCAACGAGCTGCCACGAGGGGAGGGTGATGTCCGACTCGCCGCCGCCGAGGCGGGTGATGAAGATCAGCCAGTTCTCGGTGAGGGCGACCTCGAGGTAGAGGATCTCCTGGGTGTTGCCGAAGTTCTGGATGACACCGCCGTTGTTGAGGAAGAGGGTGCCGCGGAGGATCCAGGTGCCGGCGGCGAGGAGGACGCCGAGGACGACCGAGATGATCCAGATCTTGGGCAGCTGCCACTCGACGGGCTGCTTGGCGTGCGGGGCGTTGTCGTAGGCGATGGCGATGGTGGCGACGTCGGCAAAGAGCGCAATGAAGACGATGAGGTTGGAGCGGATGACCTCGTCGAGGATGAGGATCGAGAGGACGAGGTAGATCTCGAGGTGGAGACAGAGCGAGATACGGTACTGGATGTAGGCCTTCATGCGGTGGAAAATCTGGCGGGCGACCTTGATCGAGGTGATGATCGTCGACAGGCCCTCGTCGAGGAAGACGACGTCGGCGGCGGAGCGGGCGGCGTCCGAGGCGCCCTCGACGGCGATACCGCAGTCGGCCTTCTTGAGCGAGGGGGCGTCGTTGACACCATCACCCGTCATGGCCGTCAGGTGACCACGGTGCTGGAGCATCTCGACGACCTGGTACTTGTGCTCGGGGAACACCTCGGCGAAGCCGTCGGCCGCCTCGACAAAGTCGTGGATGGCGGAGCCGGCCATGCCTCCGGAGCCGATCAGGCGGTGCGAGTCGTAGACCTTGGTTCCGAGCGCGAGCATCTTGCAGGTCTCCTTGGCGATGGCGACGGCGTCACCGGTGAGCATCTTGACCGAGACGCCGAGCGTCTGGGCCTCGGCGATGGTGGCGGCGGTGTCGGAGCGCGGTGGGTCGAACATGGGCAGCAGGCCGAGGAGCTTCCACTGGCCGTCGGTGTTCATCGCGACGCCGAGCGAGCGGAAGCCGCGCGAGGCGAAGTCGGCGGCGACCTTGCGGTACTGCGAGGCGGTCTCGGCGTCGGGGGCGCACAGCTTGAGGATGGCGTTGGGCGCGCCCTTAGCGGCGATGTACTGCTTTCCGTCCTTCTCGACCTCGGCGGTGATGCGCTTCGAGACGGGGTCGAAGGGGGTGAAGCGGTGCGTGGTCCAGCCCGAGGCGAGCTCCTGCTGGGCGCCGGGGTAGTCCTTGAGCGTCGAGATCGTGACCTTGTCAATGGGGTCGAGCGACTTGACGTTGTGCGACGAGGCGAGCGCGGCGACGGCCATCATGTAGTTGACGTCGACGCCCTCCGAGGTGAAGGGCTCGTGGATCGACAGTTTGTTGGCGGTCAGGGTACCCGTCTTGTCCGAGCACAGCACGTCGACACCGGCGAGCGACTCGATGGCGGTGAGCTTCTGGACAATGGCCTGGCGCTTGGCGAGGTAGGCGGCGCCGACGGCCATGGTGGTGGTGGTGACGCAAGGAAGACCGACGGGGACGCCGATGATGAGGAAGATGAGCGTGTAGGTGAGCAGGTTGTTTTCGGCGGGCGTCGAGATGCCAGTGTTGCGGAAGAAGCCTCCGATCCAGACGGCGAGCAGGAAGACGAGCACGAGGACGAGCAGGGCGAGGCCGATGGAGCCCATGACCTTCTGGAAGTGGCCCTCGGTCTCGCCACCGAGGACGAGGGCGGCGGTGCGGCCGACGAACGTCTGCTTGGCGATGTCGGTGCAGAGGACGTAGCCCTTGCCGCGCTTGCAGCCGGTGGTGTAGAAGACCGTGTCGCCAATGTGCTTGTCGACGGCGAGCGACTCTCCGGTGATGGCCGACTGGTCGCAGGCGATGATGGCGGGGCCCTTGTCGATGCCCTGGTCGTCGTCCTCGCCTCCACCGCCGGCGCGGCGCGAGGCCTCGGCCTTTTCGCGGATGGCGGCAGCGGCGGAACCGTCCTTGTCATCGTACTCGGCGAGCAGGCGTCCGTCGCAGGGGACCGTCTGGCCATCCTCGATAACGACAATGTCTCCGGGCACGAGCTCACGGGCCTCGATCTCGACCTCCTTGCCGTCGCGGACGACGGTGGAGCGGAGCGCGATACCGGCCTTGAGCTGGGCGACAATGTCGCCAGCCTGCTTCTCCTGGTACCAGCCGACAAAGGCGTTGAGCAGCAGGATGGCGATAATGACACCGAAGTCGATCCAGTCACGCAGACCGGCGGCGAGGACGACGGCTAGCTCCATGACGTAGAGGACGGGGCCGCGGAAGAAACCGATAAACTTGAGCAGCATGTTTTCCTTGGGCGACTCGAGCTCGTTGTAGCCGAACATGGCGCGACGCTTCTGGACGTCGGCCTCGCTGATGCCGCGCATCATGTCGGTCTCGAGCCTGCCAGAAAGAATCGCGGGACGAGCCGTGAAACGGGCGGACGCATTACGAGTCAGTCTTTTGTGAACTCCAGGAACGCGCAGTGCCACCGTGAAGTGAGGGGCGCGTGTGCATCCCGCAAATGCTGCGAAACCGGCATCGCCGCTCCGCTTCCCCGTCGCCAGTCGACCACTCACCAGGATGCGGGGACCTTCTGAGAAAGCTCCTCGACCTCGCCGTGCTTGTTGACACGCTGCTCGGTCACCTTCCAGGGCATGAGCCAGTTGCGCTTGCGGACGACGTGGGATCCGTCATCCTCGCCCTCGTCGGCCGCATTCGTCTTCTGGGCGCGGATAAACTCAATCAGCGCCTGGTACTCCTCGTTGGCCGCCGACGTCGAGGGGCCCTTTTCGTTTCGGACCTCCTGAGTGGCCGAACTGTCAGACATCTTGGGCGGATGCGTGTATGCGCGTCGTCGATCGGTAAGATGGGGGGGTTGTGTAGGGAAGTCGGGACGCTCTGTTTATGTAGGGGGTCCAGCTCTTCTGCCTGGATCGTCCCGCAACAGTAATCACACCGTCCAACGAACGCCGGGGTGAGCGGGAGGGCCGGAGCGACGTGGCCAGCGGAAAGCACTGGGGGAAAGGGGGTATGCGGCACGCGCGAGGGGAGAGGAGGAGGTGCGAGGGCCGACCGCGATGCTGCTGATTCTTGACGGGCCTGTGGTGGTGGTGGTGATGGTGGTCGAGGGGAGGGAGGAGGGAGGAGGGAGGGAACGGGAGAAGGGCGTGGCACTTTAGGGGAATGGGGCGTCGATGGCTGTTTATGTTTGCCAGGTGGGTGCGGCGGCAGACGAGGGCGGAGGGCAACTCTACACCAGCCGCAGGCGGGCGGGCAAGACCAGGCAGGCAGGGGCTCTGGGTCGAAAGGCAGGCAGGCAAGGCAAGGCAAGGCAAGGCAAGGCAAGGCGAGGCAGGCAGCGGCGGATGGCTGGATGGAAAAGCGACGATGCGATGGACGCGATGGCCTGCTTGCTCGCTGCCTGGTGCCGGCCGGCCGACCACAGAACGGCGGGGCAGGCAGGGGGGCGGGCCCACGCCCCGGCGGGACAGGCTAGAGTCAGAGAGAGAGAGAGTGGCAGGCCTCGCAGGCAGGCAGCCAGGCCGGGCGGGCGTGTTTTGTTCGGTCTGCGAGCGGGGGGCCTGCAGGGCAGCGCAGCCGATCGGAATCGCACGCACAGCTCACGCTTCGACGCACGCTTGCACCCACGCACCCACCCACCCACACACCCGCCCGCCCGTCGGTCGACCCACGCACGTCCCCTCGCCTGCCGCTCGTCATCGTCAGGCAGGCAGGCAGGCAGGCAGGCAGGCAGGCACCGGCCGGCATAAAGCGCGCTACGGCCAGCGGCGGCGGGCCAGACGCAGCGTGGCCAGGGCCTGCCCTCCCGCCTGCGTCGCCCTAGCCTGCTTGCCTGGTTGCTCGGGCGGGCTGGCCGGCCTGACGCACCCGTCGGTCATTCGGCCGTTTCGGTTGATTAAATTCAGAAAACACGAGACCTGCGCAAGCCTGGCCGGACCCGGCTGCCAAAGCAACGGCCCGAAAGATCGGCCCTCGCACCGGAAACCGCTTTCTTCGACGCAGGCGAGGCCCTGGCACATCGGCCAACCTCGACAGAAGAGAGGCTGGCTGGCTCGTCGGGCTGGTTGGTTTGAGACTTCCCTGGCGAAAGCGTAGCGTGGGCCTCGTTCTTCCCTCGCTCGTCGGCAGTTTGCGCGGACCTTTCCCTGGACGCCTCCTTGTTTTGCGGCGCCTGCCTAGGGCAAGCAAGCAAGGTAGAGTTGGGGAGCTGCATCTCGCCGGCTGCGCTCCGCCGAGTTCCTCCTCTCGGTGCTCGTCGATCGTGACAGGCAAGTCAACGCTACGGGTACCGCTACGCCTGTGGCCTTGCTCTTGCAGGGTTGGATCCGGATTGAATCTTCTTGCCTTTGGGCTGGGCGAGGCTGCTTAGAGACGATGACTGCGTCGGCCGCCGTCCGCAGCTCACCATCGACGGCCCGCCATTTCGGCGCTAAAGCGTGTTGGGCCGTCGACGATCAGCCTCTCGTTCTCGCTCTCGCTCTCATCCAAGCAGAGGCTGGGCTAAGAAGAGAGTGAGCTGGATAGGCGGGCAACCAGCTGGCTCGTCGACCGCGTTCGAAACCATCTGACACCTGGCATTCTCGACGCCGTGCTTCCGCTACCGGTACCGGTAGCCCCCTGCGCACCTGCCAAACGCAGCTAGGCGGCGACGGCGACCATATGCATATGCATCCCTCCCTCTCTGTGCCATCGGCCGAAGGGGCAGCCCGGCAGGCGGCGACGAGCCATCGACGGAAGAAGCCGAAGGACGAAACCGCCGTTCCCGAAGCCCCGATGGCGACGGCACGCCTTGACCTCGGTTTCGGCCGCCGTATGTACGTCGTGGTCAGTCAAGCCGGGCCAGGCGTGACCACGCGCCGTCGCCAGCCCGTCCGTGCCGAGGGTTCGCTCGCTCGCTCGCTCGCTCGTCTGCTCGCTCGTCATCTGGCCTCGACCGCACCACGCGACGAAAGCGATCCACGGGCGATCAGGCAGATCTCTCTTGTCTCCTGACCTCTCCTGCGTATCGGACCGGGCGGCGTTGGATGCCGACCGCAGACCAGCCGGCAGAGCGTTGCTTCCGCCTTCGACCGGCGCCACCGGGAACCAAGTCAGACGATGAGCATCCACGGCGACTTTCTGATGGCGATGGCGAAAGGTGGACAGAGAACGTCGTGCGAGCACGCTGCGATGTCCGGTTGCGGAGGCACCGTCTGCCTTTTGCTCCCGTGTCGTCGATAGAGAACGGCAAGCCCGACGCAGAAACTTGACAAGCCTGCCTGGCTTTTTGCCTTGCCTTCGGCACATCCGCTGCCTCTCTCCGCCTTTGTATGTTGTCCCCGCTCGGTGCGTGAGTCGTCGTCGTCGTCCCCCAACTTCCTGCCCGGACCGCCAACGCCAGGCAGGCAGGTAGGAGCGATCTCATGCGTGCTGCTGCCTTGATGCTGCGTCGATGGCGACAACCTGCAGCAAAGGCGGGGGGCCAGGCAGCAGGTTGAAGTCAGTCTGCATCGTTTCCCATGCACCTTGGACGGCACGCGCACCGGCCTGGCCTGGCCGTCCTGGCGCGGCCAGAGCGATTCACCAGCAGCTCCGCCGGCGTGATTTCGTTTGTCGACGGCACACGCGGCGAGCCAGAGCCAGAGCCAGAGCCAGAGGCTCGCTCGCTGGCCGTTTCGGATCCGACCCGTCGGCCGCCATCTCTCTGCCATCTCGCGGGATGCTCTCGCTGGGCCGCACAAGGAGCGCGCGGAAGCGTACGTATGTCTCCTCCGGCCTCGGTCGGTCCGACGACGAGAGAAAGGAGAAGGGAGCAAGCCACAGCGCGCGGGAGTCAGATCGCCGTCGCCCTGCCCCGCCCTGCGCTTCCGGCGATCGCCAACAAAGCAGCCAAGGCTGTCATCCACCCGGCCTCGTCTTTTGTGTCTGCATCCGTCCGTTGCTTGCGATGGAGACGACTTTTGCGGTGCGAACCAGCCCCACGCTAGTTACGTCCATCTGTGATATCTGTGATGCCACCGTTGCTCATCCCGCATGCTCGCCAGCGTCGGGCCGTGTTCGTCCCAGGCCCTCCTCCTGCCCGGAGATCCTCATTCGATTCCGCCACCGCGACGCCTGTTGCGGCACACAAGGGCCGCTATCCACCTCGAGCCATCGTGGCTGCGTCCGCACCCTTGGGCCTCCCGTATCGCTGTTCTTGATGGTGGCGCGACGGTCAGACCTCCTCCTCATCTTGTCGCAAAGGACGTGCGAGCCCTCTGTTGGCTGTACGTACAGCGGGCGCAGGCGCAGGACAAAGCGGCACTCTGTCGATCCGTGCATCGACGCCGAAGCGACGGCGGATTTAAAGCCCCTCTTTGCAGCCTAGACGACGAGGGAGCGTGCGAGACGACAACAGCGAGCAGAGTAGGTGCGCCACGGGCCAAGATGGTGAATCAGACGCCTTCGGGTGCCGTTTCTGAGGCGTAGACGGGGCCAAAGGAAGAGGACCACTTTGGCCCCTATCCCGGTCATCTCTCTGACATCGGCTCCGGCTCGTAATCGTACCAGAGGCCGAAAGAGTCGTCGAGGTCGCAACGTGCTCCCTTCGAGTATCGGTACGCAGGGCGCTCCGAATCCAAGGTCCGGACGGGGTCGGTAGGAGAAATGATATCTTCGGCCCGGAAGGTGACGAGACGTTCGAACGTCTTCGGACGTTTTATCCCGACCTGCCTGCTGCCCACCCTCGCCCTGCCTTTTCGTCGAACAATCGATCTCGTGGCGTCCATACCATACCATACCCTTGACGTCGTCCTGCAGTGCACGGCGAGATACATACGGTGCATGGTCGACCCTAGATGCAGGCAAAGGTAGGCACCCGACCTGCTTCTTGCTGCCGGCGGGTCGGACCAGTCGTACCGGAGGCAGACAACAATCTTCCGGCTCTCCGGGAACCCATCGGCCGTAACTATACTGCTTTTGGATAGAAGCAGCAGAGGTGGTCATCGGAGCCAAAGAGGTTCCGAATGACCGGGATGAGAACAAGGCAGAAGGTAGCCGGGAACCTAGCCTTGCCTGCTAGCCATCGTAGTTGATTGAACCGCGAGACACAGAGGATTCGGGCTGTTGCTTCCGGTCCACGGTCGTACATTCAAGATTGCCTGACGACGCTAGGTACGTCCACACGAACGCCTTCTACACGCCGTCACCTGGCCCACCTTGCAGCATTTATCGTTTGGACCGGCGAACGGCCAAGTAGGACGAGAGGTCTCCAGTCCATCGCAGGGCGGAGTAGGACCGGAATCGAGTGCCGAAGCCACGTCTCATCCGTCGATCAGGAACGGGGCCCTTCAGCGGCCGTCGGAGCCGGCAGAAGACCAGCCGACAAAGACAGATTGCCGATCTCGTTGCCTCCAGCCCGCCGACCGCGACGACGGCGTCGGTCCGGTCTTTCCGACCCGGTTCGATCGCAAGCCACCGAGCCACCAAACCAGCATCGACGGGAAGACCGATGCTTGCCTTGAAGCCGCTCAAATCAGTGCCGACAACTCTTTCGGGGCGAGCTTGCTACGACGCTGGTACTTTGCGTGTGCGGTGAAGTTCGATATAGCCCATCGGACGCCTGGACGTGCCAGGTCGCGGCGCGCTCTTGAGCTGGCCTGCAGGCGGATCCCGCCTGGGCTAGAAACGCTTGGCGCGTGCCGCTGCTCGAGCTCAAGGCTACTGCACCACCGCTGCCGCCGCCACCGTTCTTGCGATATGGGGCCAGCATGGCACGTCGGCCCGATTGACTTCTGACGGACCCCGCTTGTCGTCGGAGCCGAGTCGTCGACGACTCAGCGCTGCAGGCGTATCTCGAGCAGCTCCACCGTCCCGTCGCATGCCGGATCGTGGACAGATGGAAAGAACGGCACAGGTTCCATCCCTTCCGCGTCGTCGAGTGGCGGGTCCATGTACTTTTGCTCAATGGGTATCGCGCTAAACATGAGGTTTTCGTGGACTGCAGGAGCGAGCCAGAGCGGAGAGCGAGACGGCAAGAGCTCAGTCGGACTGCTGGCAGGGAGATCGAGCACGATGCGAGGACAGCCAGCGACTCACCGAGAGCGTCAAGGAAAGTCTGGTACGTGGCCGGGTTGCGGATGGTCGAGGCGACCAGTGCCTTGGCGTCGCTGCCGTCGAGCGCCGACTCGAGAGCGACTCGAATCGTCTTTGCCAGCGGGCCTGTGAGGTCTGGATCGTAGACGACGTCGGCGGCGAGGACAAGTTTGGGTTTGATCCTGGCGAGAAAGTCGAGGATGTCATCGCCGTCGTCGTCGGCCGGAGCAAGCGCGGCTTCTCTGGCTTGAACTTGATCTCGCAGCTTGACCCAGTCGAGCGGGTAAGCCTGGTACGGCCCGTGCCTGCTGAGCCCGTCTACTTGTGCGAATCGGTAGTCAGCAACCATGCTAGCAGGGCAAGCCGCCGTACGGCTCTGCAACGCGCGACGCAACTCACTCATTTCCATAGTTTCGGTGAGCCTGTCGAGCACCTGGCCGGGGACGTCCGTGAGCCATGTCTGGCCGGTGGGTCGGCACGAGCTCGGGCTGTCATCCGGTCGGCTCTTGAGTTTCTGTTCGATTGCGCAGACAGTGCCGAGCAGGCCAGCCCCGCTGCCCAGCTCGAGTACGCGACGGTCGGGTCCGGCGATGAGCTCGGGGTGGACGAGAAGGTAGTTTGCCAGCCTCAGGCAGGCCTCCCACGTCTTGAGTCCGGTGGTGCCCTTTGAAATGGCCGAGCCCTCTTCTCGTACCGTGACAGCTGCAAAGCCGCGCAGCAGCGCCGACCTGTCCTCGCCTTGGCAGATATCGTGATCGCCGAAAGGTAGACTTCTGCTCGGGGTCTGCCACAGGTAGGTGACGTGCTCGCATTCGGGCGGGAGCATCGATGATGCGCCGTCTCGCGTGGCCGGTTGCGTCCCTGCGATGGAGCCGCATGCCATGAGCTCTGCGTAGCGCTCGAGGAGGGCTGCGTCAACTTCTGGGTACTCTGTCTCGTCTACGCCGCCGGCCGCCTTGAGGCGAGCGGATTCCTGGTCGACGGCATCCTGCAGTCGCGACGTGAGCTCGCGCAGGAACGTCTTTTCGTACTTTTGCGTTGCGCGGTAGGTCTTTGTTTTCGGATGCACGAGTAATGACGACGAGGCGGATGGCGGCTGTTGGGGCGAGGGGACTGGAGGCGAGGACGAGCTGGCGGGGTCGAGGAGGTCGCTGTAGAGGTGGGGCTGGATGGCGAGCAGGGTCCGGGCGTCTGGCCAGCGGAAGCGGGTGGAGCGTGGCGGGAGGCGGGCGTTGTACTGTACGAGGAGCAGCCTGCGTGCAAAGCGCTGCCTGTGCGCCGATGGCGGGGTCGGTGATGGCGCGCTGGCCATCCTGTCAGCTGCCAGAGTATGGAGTGGTGAGGAAGCAGACGAGGCGACTGTCGACGTTGAGAAGACGAAGGCCAGTTTGCCTCCACACATTCTTTTCTGCTTTTTTGTCGCCGTTTTGACCGGCCTTTTGGCGGGGGCGGACTTAGGAGGCGCCCATCAACACAGCACCGACCTCTTCTCGCAACACCAACACCAACATCAACACAACCACCACATCAACCCTCGCGCAACATGCCGCAACGCACAGACACCCGGCTAATCTCATAGCAAAGCACACCAGCCGCGCAACATGTCGGCAACTCATCCGCAACGCCGGCAGCGCAAACACGTAAACTACGCGGACGCGCTCAACGACGACGACGATCAGGGCGAGGGCAATCCCACCATGTCCGACCCGAGGAAGCGGCTCGCAGCTGGGCCCAAGCTGTACCAGGTCGCCCGGATCACGCAACTCGCCATGGACCAGGACACGGGATCTGCAGAAGATGCCGACGCGTCGAGCAAGCTGGACAAGGTCGATGCCGGCATCCTCTCGCGCATCCAGAAGTCGCTGCGCCTCGCAAAGCACCCGGGCACCGGCGAGGCAGAGGCGCGACAGGCGCTCCGGCTCGCCACCCGGCTCATGGCATCCCAGAACCTCACCCAGGCGGACCTCATCGCCTCCGAGGACCAGGAAACCGCCCAGGCCCGCGCCGGCATGAGCGAGGTCGAAATCACCTCGACCACCGGCGCCATGGTGCGCAACGAGAGCTGGGCCAACCGCATCGCCATCGCCATCAACCTCTTCTTTTCCGTCAAGGCGTACTCGACCTCGCACGTCGGCAGGCACAGGCTCACCTGGACCTTCTACGGCCTTGCCATCAACACCGTCGCCGCGGCCACGGCGTTTGAAATGGTCCACAACCAGGTCCTCACCTGGGCCGCCGACAACCGGCTCGCAAAGGGCCGCACCGGCAAGAACTCGTACTGCCAGGGCGTCGCAGCCGGCCTCGTCGACATGGCCAGAAAGGAGAAGAAGGAGGAGCTGCAGCTTGCCATCGAGGCAGAGAAGAAGCGGCTCCGCCAGGCAACCAAGGAGGAGAAAGCAGCACGGCAGAGGGACATCGACCGGCTAGATGGTCCCACCGCGTCGCGGCAGGCAAAGGTCGAGGAGGCGGACGAGGTCGACGATGTCAAGGTGAGTGCCGGCGGTATTTCCTCGCAGTGCAGCGCGGAGTGAAGGCAGCGACTGTTTGACTGATCGCTGCTTGGCCACCGGTCTGCAGCCCGTTAAACGCTCCCCTTCCGAAGAGCGAGGCGGTCTGGGAGCCGGCGAACCGGTTCGTCGACGCGTCAAACCGGAGCGGCCCGACTATAGCAGCGGCCTGAAACGCGAAGGCACGCCGGGCGACTACGGAGATGACTATGACGATGGCGGCGGAGGGTACGATGACTCTCCTGGCCTCCCGCTCGAGTCCGAGGCCGATGTCAAGGTACGTGCAGGCAGCGACGACGCGATTGTGTCTATGCGACTCACCACCCGCCCTCTCGCACGCCATTGCTGCAGCCCGACTTTGACGAGGAGCTGGAACGGGACATCATCGATCTCACCAACGACAGCGACGACGAGGTGGACGTCAAGGTCAAGCCCGAACCGGGGCGAGGCTACGGCGTCAAGAAGGAGGAGGACGGGTTGCAGGAGCAAGAGGCGGAGCAGGCGAGCTGGAGGGATTCCGGCCAGCTGATCCAGTTCCGACAGGTGCGTACGAGTGTCCCGTCGACCTGGCTTGCCCTTTTCGCGCCGCAGCTGACATCTTTTGCGCCGTCGTCACGACGCCAAACGCTCTTGACGAACACGGGCAGAATGCGGAAAAGATCGGTGCGTCTCATCGGCTGGTCGCCCGGCGATGTCGACTCGCCCAGTGGCCTCGACTCGCCCTCTCGCTGCTGCGACTACTGACCTCGTCCACCTGTCTGCGGCCCCCCTGACCCGCCCCCCGCAGCCGACGACTTCCTCCAGTCGCAGCACGGCGGCAAGCTGAAGCTGCGCAAACGTCAGGCTTCCTCATACGTGTGCGTTCCTCCCCGATCTTTCTTTCTGCCCTGCTCGTGCGCACCCGGATCCCGCTGCTCACACTGTCGCCTTCATCGTTGTCCATCTGCGAACCTTTGAGCTCCACAGCAAGGACGCACAGGCCTATGAACAGGGCCGTCGAGATGCGAGCAAGATTGACGTTAAACGACGTCGGATCCAGGGCGGTGATGCGTGATGCCCATAGCCGGCGAGGTGCTGGTTCGTGATCGACTGTGACGATGGGCGCCTTTCCTCTCATCGAGCACCTGCTTCGAGCGACGCGATCGCATCGCAGTCAACTCAGCCTGGCCTGCCCTTCCGTGGGCCGCGTATTTCATGGGTGCCAGTCTGTTCGGTGGCAGCCCAGGTCTTGCATTCTCGATGCCCGACGCGCGGTCGGACCTTGTCCGCCAGCCTCTCCCGCGGTCCTCTTTCCGACGCCCAAACATCTCATGTATGTATGCCTACCTTAGATCCAGCGAGCGTAGACAACCGCACTCCAGTACGAGCCTGTTGTTTGGTCGGCCCGTGGACTGTGAGAATGGCTGAACGAGATCAAGAGGGGCGAGGCATGCATCAGGCGCGCCCGACATCAGACCACGTCGAAGCGAGCAACGAGCACACCACAGACATGATGTGCCAGGGGAAACAGAGGTGATGGGTTGCGTTCGTCACACTACAGCGATGCACCGTGCACGACCCACCACGGTCAGCAGGCAGCGACCACGGCCAAGACCGCGCCGCCACACCACAGACCTCCCCCCCGATCGCTCCAGGAGCGTCCTCAGCGAGCGGATACGGCAACAACCGGCCGAGATGCTCAGTCGAAAAGCCCGAAGCCCATGTCGTCGTCCTGTTTAGGAGGCGTGGAGGATGTAGAGGAGAGGAGGGGCGAGGTGTAGGAGGTCAGTAAACGATGGCGAGGGCATGGTGGAGTCGATATCGAGGGCCGAGGTGGAAGCAGATGCGTCGGGCGGCCTCGGAAAAAAAATCCGACTTCGGGAAAATCCCCTGTGCCCGAGTTGCAGACCTGGGCTCCGACCCCGAAACGGGCCGCTGGGTCGTGGAACGGGCAGCCGTGGGACACCGGCGATACTCACGGACTCCTCGGCCTCCTCGGCCTTCTCCTCGGCGGCGGGGGCGGCGGCAGCCTCACCACCGGCAGCGGCAGCAGCGGGGGCGGCGGCGGCAGCGAAAGCCTCGGGGTTGGCGAGGTACTCCTTGGCCTGTGTAGCGTCGGCGTCGTGATCGCAAGGGCAGGGATGGCAAGGAGACATGGTCAGCTCGGGTGTCTTCTGCGTCGAGTGACTCGATGGGTCCTCGTGACCAGGTTGACCGCCTCCCTCCCTCCCTTCCTCCAAGCAATGGGCCATCATCAAGAAGCATCAATAGTGCCCGGAGATTTGTCAAGGTCCTTGGCCTGTCGGCCCGTCCGAATTTTCAGTGTGTGTGAAGCAATCACCTGGCCGCTTCTTCCTCCGTAGTCGTCGTCGTCGTCGTCCTCCTGTCGCTGATCTACGACCGCGCCATCCTATCCTCCGTCCTTCGACCCAGCAACAGTGTCGCGCCCTTGGGCAACGAGGACAGCTACGACGACTCACCTTCTTGGAGCCCTCGAACTCGAAGTCGGTGGCGAGCGAGACGGCGATAAGGTTCTTGTAGCCGTTGACGAGCGAGTGCATGACGGAGGCGATGGTGGGGTAGTTGAGGGCGAGCGAGATGCAGGCGACCTGCTTGATGCCGAGGACGAATCGGTCGACGAGGGTCTCCTCGCTGACGTCGAGGACGTCGGACTCGAAGCACTGGCCCTGGTCGTAGATCTGGACGACCGTCATGCCGTAGGTGAAGGGCGAGATGTTGAGCATGTTGAGCAGCGTGGCCTCCGAGGTGCCGACGCGCGAGCCGGCGTTGACGACCTTGACGTCGCCGACAATCTCAATGGTACCACGGGCAATCTTGGTGGGGACACCAAGGGCCTGGAAGAACGACGTCTTGCCGGGCTCCATGCCGGTGTTGCCGGCCTTGACGTAGATGTCCTCGGGGGCGTAGGCGCCGGCACGGGCGGGGGCGGCGACACGGTTGTCGAGGATCTGGCCACGGACGTCCTTGAGGTCGCCCGAGGTGAAGACGAAGCCGATGTTGCCCTTGACGTGGGGCATGAGCTTCTCAAACTCGGGCCTCTCGGCGAGGACCATGCGGAGCGCACGGCGGACCATGGTGTTCTTGCCCATCAGCACGACGGCCTTGCCGCGGAGCGACTGGCGGATCTGGTGCATCTGCTGCGAGGCGACATTGTCGACGTTGACGATGAAGATCGACGGGTACTTGTCGAGCAGCTCGTTGAGCCTGGAGAACCAGGCCTCCTTGGTAGCACGGGAGATACCCATTTTGTCAGGGAGTGGGTGGTGTTGGCGGTGGTGTTGGGGTTGGTGTTTGATGTAGTGGGATGGAAGCTTGAAGAGTTCGGCCTACCTATCACCTCTGGGATTGAAAGGAAGTTTACTGAGGACGGGCGGCGGTCGAAGGACGGTTGCGACCGGTCAGCATGCCATCGCCGCTTTCCCATTTTCGGATGTCTGCAACGCCATCATGGCCAGGCAGAGTGCCCCTTCGCCGGCAGGGCGATCGCAGGATACTCACAAGGTCGAACGACGATCGATGGATGATGTGGAGACGCGAGAGGGGAGCAGATGGTGCGGACAGCTATCTTCTTCCAGGCGCCGGGGCGGCCACCTCCGTCCGAGGGCTGCCGTCGAGCCCAAAGGTGCTGCGGCAATCACCCGGCAGCCTTCCGAATTTGCATCCTCGGCTCCGATGGTCCGTCGTCTAACTATCGACTCGCGCGGGAGAAACGGGCATCGCCCGATTAGTTTCGCTGTCGTGCATCGGGCTGCACCCCTGCTGGCGAGAAGAAAACGCCAGGGACAGGCAGGCGCCGGCCTCGAAGCGCTCGTGATCGAGCCAACCAACTCGACCAACTCGACCAACCAACTCTGCCATCTTTAGCTTGCCCTGTCCCAGATCACCACTACGGCCACCGTCATCGCCACCGCAGTTCCACCCTGCCTCGCATCTCCCTACACGCCACCGATCGCTGTCCTTCGACCGACCGGCACGTAGACCAACGCGACGCACCCCTCTTCCCGCCCAGTCTTGCCTGGCCATGCCCTTGCCGCTCGGACCCTGCTAGCTTCTTCACTCTTCTCTTGCCTTGTGCCTCGCCTTTAGCCACCTTGCACGGAGCGTACACACCAGCATCGTCAGCCGATCTCGTACGACCACCGCACGGCTGTGACAGCACACTCGACACTGACAGCACGGCATGGCATGTCCAGCAGCCTCGCCCTTCCGCCCCTCGTCCTCTCGGCACGAGCAGCGGCAGCGAGGCATTGGCGGAGTCGAGGACCTCGCCCTCGTATCGCGCAGCATGGTCAGCCGGCATCGCCACGCTTGGCTCTTCCCGGCCTCACGATCAGCAACAGCAGCAGCAGCAGCAGCAGCAGCAGCAGCATCCACAACACCCGCGGCGGCATCAACGTGGCTGCTGCCGCCCCTCGCATAGCGCCGCCTTCGGGCCACGCACCCCACGGACGGGCCTCGAGGTCAGCCGCTGGACCATCTCGCTGCTTCTGCCAGAGCCACGGTCCGGCCAAGAGCTCCTCCTCCGCGGCACCCGCGCTCCTCGCCGACGCCTACGATCCTTCCCCTTACGACGCTCGCGATGCATACTTCGCGGCCCCCTCGCGGTATCAGCAACCCAGTCTCGGCGATGCCGACGAGGACTTACCAACTTCAGCTCCGATGCAGCTGGCAACGTCCTCGACATCGCCCCCGCGACGATCGCCCAAGGCCGACTTCTTCACTTCGGCACTCTCGGAACCCGCTTTCATCGATCGCGACCAGGATGAGGGCAAGGGCATGGGCAAGGCCAAGGGCAAGGGCAAGGCCAAGGAAGCGGAGCGTCTGCCCAACTGGTCCGACCAGCTCGCGCCCGACATCGTGAACAGCTACCTCGATCGAGCTCGGGTTCTGCTGCGATCCGGAGAGCGATCGCTGCCCGCCATCGCCAAGTCTTTCCCTTCGTCTAGCGAGTGCTCACGATCCCAGCTCAAGGAGCTGCAGTGCCTGGTGCTTCGCGACTGCATGGATCGGGAGGTCGACGCTGGCATCGTCAGGGACCTCTACCGCTCTGCGGCTGGCGACCGGGAGTTCATCTGCACTTCGGACCATGGCATGCAGCCCAGCCTGTCTCTCAACCTGCAGAGGTCGACGGTATGGCTCTGCTTTCGCTACTTTGTCGTCGCAGGACTCCTCAGAGACGCCGTGTGGATAACGAGCGACCCCAGGCTCAAGCGCTCGCAGGCCCGTTTCCTGATCGAACAGCTGCTCTTTGGTCTCGAGGAGCCCGAGGTCCGAGCCCGGGTCGAACTCGATCCCACCACCGCCGCCATCGACTCCTTGGTCAACCCACTACCACCTTCCTCATCGCCTCCGCCCCTGTGCACGCCCGAGCAGCGCGATACGCGGCTCGCCCTGCAGGAACTGAGCGAGTCGATGCGCGGCTGGATCGACGCCGGCGTGCAGTTCAAGAAACCGGCGCTGCAGCGCGCCACGATGCTGCTGTGCCAGGCCCGCTCCTACAGCCACCTGCTCCGACTCGTCCGCTCCCTGCAGCAGCGTGTGCAGCGAGACATGGATGCCTTGCGGCAGGACATGAGGACCGCCGGCGGCCTCGTCAGGCTCAGGGCCCAAGACGACTCGGATCCGCCAATCTTTCTGCCCGAGAGCCGCGTGGTCCGGATTATCTCGTCGCTATGTTCGCAGGAGGGCGACGGTCCTCGAACGGCCTACGAGATCTTCAGGATGCTACCGCCGGTGAAACGGTCCCGGCCGATGTACCACTCGCTGATGGAGCGCTTCGGCGAGGTCTCGATCCTGCCGGCGGGGATCGCATCTTCCCCTTCCTACCTTGCGCAGGCCTGGGATGGCGAGGACGTGGAAGAGGTGTCTTCAGGGTCCCCACCGCCGCCATTGCCATACTCTCACCAGCAGCCGGCACGATCCGAGGACCGAGAGCTGTGGGACGACTACTGCCGAGCAACACAGCTGGTCGACGGGGATGCGACAGCGACAGCAGCAGCGGAGATGGCGCACATGATCTCGAGCCGGATGCTCTCGCACGCGTTGCACGACAATCTCGGCCTGATCCGCGAGGACCTGCTGTACCTGCACCACGCCGCCGGCTCGTCGACGACGTTTCTCGACCTGACCGAGCCGAGCCAGCTGGCGGTGTTGAGCTGCGCCATCCGACACGGCGACATGTCGACCGGGTTTCGGCTTGCCCGGCTGCTCCTCTCGCACGTTTCCGCAGTCGACAGCGGCGGCGACGGCAGGACTGGGGCCGAAATTCGGAGGCAACGGGAGGCGCTGGACCGAAGGCGGACGCGCATCTTCAACGCGCTGCTCGAAGGCGCCGTCGATGTGCGGGACGTGTCGCTGCGCCGGTCATCTGTGGCTGTGCACCGACATGCCCCGGACCCGCCGCCGTCGAGCGGCGCAGCCGGTGCATCGGTGGCGGGCCAGAAATACGCCAAACGACGGCTGAAGCACAAGCGGCTGACGCGGTCGCAGCGCCTGCAGCGCTTCCTCGACCGGTTTCGGAACCTGCTCGACCGGTTCGACCTGCGACCGGACTGGAAGACGGTCGGGCTGGTCGTCCGGCTCCTGACGCGGTGGGACCACGTCGTCGATGTCGACAAGCTCGAGGATGTGACGTGCATCATCCACGAGCGCCTCCTTTTCTCGGCGCGGAAATCCGATCAGCGCACCCTGGGCGGAGCGAAGAAGAAGGCGGACGACCGCAAGGGTGCGGCCATTGTTCTGCGCACCCTCGTCAAGGCCTTTGAGAGGAGAGGCGACGTCGCGAGCGCCCGCGTCGTGCTGGATCTGCTGCAGAGGTGCAGTCGCTACCATGGCGCCTCCATGTAATCAACCAACTCTTCTGCGTCTGCCGTCTGCGACGCGATAGCTGCATGCCCTCTTTCTTACCTTGCGTTCTTCTGGCTCGCCGTCCGTGGTGTGCATCGCGATGCGGGGCGAGACCGCTGTGCTTGGCCCTCAAGGCAAGCGGGGGCTGTCTTGCTGCCCTTCGATGGACCCTCCCGCAACTCGGGGGCACCGCGCCAAGACGGGGGGAGGCACTAGGCAGGCAGAGCACCGGGGGAGGCGACGGGTGGTTCGGACGGGTGGGAAACTCTTTCGAGATGGGCACCGGGACGGCTCTTTGGACGGACGGAGAGGAAGGGAGACGGGGGGCGGATGGAGCGGGAGAGCCGGGGACCGGGGGAGGGGTGATAATTGACAATGACGCTAGCCACAAGGAATGAGGTCTAGGAGAAACGAACGGCGACCGAGCGCAGCAAAAGGGGCGTGGAAAGGGGGAATGGCGGGGGCGAGAGCAGGATGGGTGCGGGTCCCACTGAAGGAGGAAAGGATGCAGGTGGAAGATCATCGGCGGATCAGGCCGGACAGGGTCGAGGCAGGAAGGCTGATCAGCCCGCCGATCGACACTGGCGAACGGCAGAACTGACGCTGGCCGGCGAGCGCGCGACGACGACCGCAGCCTGGCGCTCCGCTGCGACCGAGCCGGCAGAGTTCGATCTCTCCGCGGACGCCCGCCCTAGGACGGGTATTGCTTTTGGACCGCGTGCAGGCAGCCGGGGCCTCGAGGGGATGGCAAGCGCAACACCTGTGGCAACGCGCCGTCTAGGCGTCTGCCGCCGGCTTGTTAGCCACGGCGCCGTCGAGGCTTTTGTGGCCGGCCAGCTCGGCGAGCACTGAAGGGTCCATCGGAATCACGCTCTTGCGACGCACGTGCGGGCTCTCCTGCTTGCCGACCTGCTGCCGCGACGTCTCTGGAAATTGCCGCATGTCGTCCAGGCCGTCCTCGCCGTTGTGCCGGGGCGTGGTGGGCACGCCGTCCGGTTGCTCAAGACCCTGCTCAGCGTCCTCAAAATCCGTCGTCGACACCTCGCCGTTGCTGCGGTGGCCGACGCCCTCAAAGAGGCTGCCCGCCCCGCCGGCGAGATCGCCCGCCGAGTCAATTGAGTCGGTGTCGGATAATGTCGACGAGCCCGCGGGTGCCGCGTCATCGTCCTGCAGCGTCTTAGGGATCGGGGCGCCGATCGCCTTGCTGTTCTCGATCGCCGACTCGCGCAACCTCCGCCACGCCTCGTCGCGATCCCGCAGCTTTTGCCTCTCCCTGCAAATGTGCCGAAAGGGGCAGGCGCGTGCGATGCAAGCGTCGTCAGCTCTGGATCCATTCGCATCGTCGCGCGTCGGCTGGGACAGATCCACTCACATCTGTCTTTGCTGCTTGAAGTCGTTGGTGCACATGTCAAACAACGCCGGGTTGATCTCCATAAAGAGCTTGAGCGCGTTGTAGACGAGGCCGTGGATCGTCCTGGCGAGGCGGGTCGGAGGGGCAGCGAAGGTTGCACAACGTGCGTTAGCGTCACTGGCATACGCCGCCGCCTTGCGACGCGGTCACCCTTCGGACTTACCGGTTCCAGTGGCTCTTGGAGTTCTGGTAGAGCGCCGAGAAGACGATGGGGAGGATGACCTGGACATTGTCCCCGATGAGGTTGACAATGTACTCGTTGTTCCAAAAGTAGAGTGCGCGCTCGGCGACCTGGAAGTGCTGGCTGTTGATGCAGCGCTGCAGCTGCTGGAAGAGGGGCACCTCGATCTTGACAAACTCGGCGGGCTCGATCACGTCGAGGATCTCCTCGACCTCGTTGAGGAACATGACCTCCTTTGGTGAGTTGACCTTGGGCCAGTAGCGGAGCAGGCCGAGTAGCACCTCTTCGGTGAGCGAGCTGTCCTTTTCGAGGAACTGGACGACGCAGTAGGCCAGCTGCGGGTGGTAGAGGGCGAGGCTCTTGACCTTGTGGAGGGGTATGAGGACGCGCGTGAGGAACGTCTTGTGCTCCTCCTTGAGCGGCAGCGCAAAGCCGTTGATGATCGACCCGAGGATCTCGAGCAGCTCGGCGATGCCATTGTGCCTCTCGGTCTCGTAGATGAACTGGAAGAAGACATTGTTGATCGAACGGCGGATAAAGGCGCGGAGGTTGAGGAACTTGCCGTAGATGCGGTGGAGGGTCGTCTTGAGGAAGTCGCGCTCGCGCGGGTCCTCGCTGTCAAAGAGCTCGAGCAGCTGCAGGACAAAGTGGTGGTCGATGTACTTCTTGGCCAAGTTGGTGTTGAAGTCCGGGCTCTCGACAAAGCGCAGGAAGAACTCGTAGACGATCTGGAGGTGCGGCCATGCCAGCTCGAGCACCGGCTCGTCCTCCTCCGGATCAAACGCGTCGCCGGTCGGGTTGACCTGCGGCGGGATCGAGCGGAACAGATTCGATCCGAACTGTTTTCCACGTCGAGGGGCGGCGGCGCAGGGGAGAGGCGAAGAGGTGAGGACAAATCAGCACGCCGCGTGTGTGGCGAGGTGGGGAAAGCGATCGACGATCCGATGCGCCGCGTGCACACTCACCATCGAGACAACCTCCGGGTAGATGTTGTCGGTGATGACACCGCGGCTGCTGGTGATGTAGTCGAGCATCTCGTGCAGCGTCTGCGCCTTGACCTGCTTGCCCTTGAGCTCCTGGCTGGCGTCGTTGAAGTCAAAAACGACCGAGCACTGACGCAGCTTCCGCACAAACAACTCTGGCCGATCCGCCGGCACGACCTCTGCGGAACGGCGTCGAGGGAGGTGCAGGGATGAAATCGATCAGCTCGGCGCTCGCAAGGCCGGCGGCACGGACCGCGGCCCGTGGGGGACACCACTCACCGTTGAAGTTGGGCAGCTTCTCCAGCTCGACCTTTTCCGTCACGTGGAAGCGGCTGGAGCGCTGCTTCCTTGGGGGCGTCTTGGACGTGATGGGGATGGTGTCCTTGGGCCCGGTGCTTGTTGTTCCCTGTCGCAGCCTGTTGAGCGCACCTGCTTTCGGGGGCGTGGCCAGCTCAGACGGGGCAAGGCCGGCGTTGCTGAGCGAGGCCATCGCCCCTCCGGGCGGCGGTGGTGAGCCGGGCGAACCGGTGTGGTGGAAGGGGGTTACAGACGAAGAGGGTTGCGACGAGGTGGCGACCGCATGCGGGATGGGATCGGCCGGCATCTCCGAGGAGACGACTACCACAGGGGGTGCCGGCGACGTCTTGTCAGCCAGGGTCGGTGCGAAACCGGGGCCCGAGGTCCTCTTCTCCGGCGTACCTTGTCCGCTCGCAAAGGCGTTGCCCGCATAGCCGGCCGGTCCCGATGGCTGGGATGTGATGCTGCTGCTTCTGGACGATGGCGTGGCCGCCGAGCTGGCAGGCGCCGAGCCAAAGTCCTTGCCCTTGAGCGACCCCTGGTACGCCGGACTAGACGGCACCGTGCCACCCTTGGGCGGCGGGGCCGGCACCGTACCACCGCCCGCGGAGCTCGACCTGTTGCTGGACCCGTTCGGATCGCTGGATTTGGACCGAGACAGGTTCTGAAGACGGGCAGCACCAAGCAACGATGCAGAATCGTGTCAGCGCGGCCGACGACAAGCGCTTTCCGCTTTCCAGGGGCCCGAGCAGCTCGGGGAGCAGCGGCAACGATCCACTCACCATTGCCTTTTTGAGACCCTTCATCTTGGCTGTGCTCTACAGGCCGCGCAGCGGGCTGTCTTGGGCGAGTGGTTCGACGACTTTCTGTTGACGCTGCTGTTGACGCTGCGTTCGAATGACGTCGATGCCTGCGATGTGCTGTGCTGGCAGGTGCGACGTCTCGGAGAGTCTCTCGAGATGACGAGGAACGTCGAGAGCAAAGACCGCCACGGGGAAGTGACGGGGGTGTCCAGGAGTAGCTGGTGGTCGGCCGAGTTGCTTCGGACGGAAGGTTATCCAGAACGACGACACCTCTGGGCGATGGGACAACGTCCGGTGGTCTCTTGGCGATATGCCGGAAGGTCGCAAGCTGGTAGACGCTGGCGTGGGATCAGGCCACCGAGCGGCGTGATGTGTGGGTAGCTGGGTCAGGAGGAGACGAAGGTGGTGCCGTCGCTCCGGAACGAGGTAGGGCTCAGAACTGGCGAGCGGCGGGTCGCAGGAGATGTCGCTGAGCCGAGGACTCGACAGCAGCTCGATTTCGGATGATCCGAGGCAAGCTGAGCGGGGCGATAGGCGGGCGAGATGTAGGGGGCGGTCTCGCTGCAGGACGCGTGACGGTCGAGAACGGGAACGACGGGGAGCTGAACGCGCGATGGAAAGGGCGTAACAGTGTTGTCGATGCTGTGAGCAGGGCACGATGCGCCGACGAACGCTGAGCTTGAGCGAGGGAGCGGCGATGTTTCGATACACAGCGAGCGGCGGCCTCAGGGCGGAGGTGGCGACCAGGAGCGGCAGAGGGAAGAGAGGGCGCGAAAGATGGAAGATGCCGATGCGTGCGTGGAGGGAGTGTGGGTCGGCGACGCGGACGGGCGTGGTGGTGTCGAAGTCGAGGTCCAAACCAGGTGGGGTCGATGGCAGAGAGGGTCTGAGAGATCGAGTCGAGGCGGGGAGAGGCGAGCGAGAGAGCGAGAGGCGCGCGGGCGGTGGTGTTGGAGTCGACGCTGCTGCTGCTGCTGCTGCTGCTGCTGCTGCTGCTGCTGCTGCTGCTGCTGCTTGGCCTGGCTGGCCAGCTCGAGTTGGCAGCCAAAAGCCTGGCCTGGGCTGGCGCGAGGGCAACCTGGCCTGGCCTGGCCTGGCCTGGCCTGGCCTTGGGGCCCTCAAGTCACCACTCACCTGAGACGCGGGAAAGCCAGCTGCTGCTGCTTGGCCTGAGGGGCGACCGCCGTCGTCGCAGGCGAGGCCTGGCTGGCCGGCTGGCGGGCTGGCTGGCTGGCTGGGGTTGGCTCGTCGGCTGGCTCGCCCGCCTACGCAAACCCAACGCCGCCGTAGCTTGTGCTGGTGCTGGCCAGTTGGCCACCCGCCTGCCCTCCTGCCTGCCGTTGACCCTCACGCCCACGCACGCACGCACCCATGCACGCGAACCACCTCCGCCCGACGACCGCTTGCAGCCAGGACCAGGTAGGTAGAGAGGGTCCTGCCGGGGCCTCGCCTGCCACCGTACCTCTCTGCTGGCCTGCCGAAAGCCCGCTTCTTTGCCTGCCTGCTGCCTGTCTGTCGGTCGGTCGGTCGTCGTCGCATCGCGCCTGCCCGCCCACCTGCCTGCCCGCCACCTCCTCGCCTACCGCCACGCCTGGTGGGAAACCCACCGGTGCCAGGCCAGGCCTCCAGGCTGGGCTGCCAGCTCTTCGGCACGCACGCACGCAAACACGCGCGCGCGCGCCTCTCTCCCCTCTTTCCTGACCTGAACCACAGCCAAGCCTCTCGTCCTCTGCTCGCTGGAGTCGACAGAGAGGCAGGGAGGCCGGCCCTCGCGTGCGTGTTTGGTGAATGGAAATTTCCGACCTTCTGTGGTGCGTGCGTGCGAGCGTTGCGTGCGTTGGCTCGGGATCGGGCCTGCCGACTTGCCTGGACTGGCCAGGCCTGGCCTCTGGCAAGCCTGTCCGCTGGCCGCCGCCGGAGTGGCAGCCGGGAAAGCCTGCGCGCACAGGGCAAGCGCCACGCCGCCTGCCTCGTCAAACTCGATCGGGCGACAGCTGCGCCTGCGTAGATCAGCCAGCCAGAAGGCCGCGTCTGCTGCGGCAGGTCCGATGCCCGCCAGCACAGCGGGAGCAGATACGTCACGGAATGGCTGACATCGACGTCGACGTTGCTACGGGAGCTTTTTTCACGTCTACCAACTCTCTCTCTAGCCTCCATATTCGATGGCTCGATCTCTCTACCTTAGCTTCTAGCTCGTCACAGGCAACGCTCTTGGCCGGTATCGGGCCGATCCGCTACACATCCCCGAACAGCTTGGCGTTGAGCTCGTCGACGGCACGGCGGGTGCTGCGAGCAGGCGGGCAAAACAGGCTTCGCGGTCAGCCGGATGAGCTCTTTCCTGGGCTGGGTGGTCGCCGTCTAGGGCGCAGCGCGCTGCTGCCGGTGCCCTCGGCCGTTCTACTCACGCAGCGACGCTCTGCTCGGCCCCCGGCAGGTCCGAGTGCAGGCAGATCGAAAACGGCCGGCATCGTCCGCCGTTGTCGCCGTGTCCGAACTCGGGCATGTGGACCTCGCCGCCGCCTTGGGCGTAGTTGGTGCCCGTCAGCGCCACCTTGCGGGCGCGCTCTGCCGACTCCTCTGGGCTGATCTCCTTGCTCTGGGCCGGCGGGATCAGCGCTCCTTCGGGCGAATACTCGATGTCGACAAACAGCTCGGGGACGAACGGGATGCCAACCTCTTTGGCCACCTCTTCGTGCACCGTGCCGCCGAGGCCGTCTGGCAGAGGAGTAGTTCGGAGGGACGGCGATTGTCAGCGGCGGCGGGCCGTCCAATCGTTCGGCCGTGGGGAGCGTACTCACACACAGGCACGCCCCACGCCTTGATCGCCCTGAAGGCCGCCACGCAGTGAGGACGCGAGTTCTTGAGATAGAAGTAGAGGGCGCCGTGTGGCTGTCGTCGTCATCGCCGCCGTGGTAGCGCCGCAAGAGGCAGCCGGGCTGCGGTCAGTCCCCCCGCTTCCACTCGCAGCGAGGCCGAGGAGAGAGACATGCTCACCTTGACATGGTTGAGCGGCACGCCTTCTAGGTCGCAGAATGCCTTGACGGCGCCAATCTTCGTGCGTGTTCGAAGAGCAGAGATGTAAGCCAGCGCAGCCGATCAGCTACGATCCTGCTAGAGCCAGGACCGCGAGCGAGGTTGAGCCTACCTGGTACGTGATGATGTCGGCGACCTCCTCTTCGGTGAGCTCCATCCGTCGACGGCCTGCCGTGGTGAAGGCGATGGCAAGCTCCGTGTCAGCTACAGTAAGCCTGTTCATCGACTCAACGCCGCACATCGCCTCGCTGCTCACCGAAACCGGCGAGATCCGGGAAGCCCGGATGGGCTCCGACGGCGACATTGTGCTTCTTGGCCAGCCGGACCGCTGGTGCGTCGATGGTCGGGTACAATGCATCAGAGCGTCAGCGCAACGGCCCTACCTTTTGAGGATCTGCTCTCGACGCATTCTCTTCTCACTCTTGTGCAAGGTGACGGGGTCCGATGCGTGGAAGCCGCAGGCGACGTTGGCCACATCGATGTGCTTCATGATCTCCTCGTCCGGGCCGAGCTTCCAGCGTCCGAACGCCTCGCCCATCTGCCGGCGTGCGGCAGCCGCGATGAGGACCAGAGGCAAAGCTCGTGACGTTCAGCTTGGTCGGACGAGCCTCGCCTCGCTCTCCCCGCAGCCAGACTGGACTCACATCGGCGTTGATCTGAGGCGTTGTGCAGGTTCACAGCGCACCCGTCCGTATCAGCCTCTGGCGCTCCCAACGCAGCGGGGAAGGGCTTATGCCTGGGCACTCACCTCGATCTTCTTTGGCAAGCTCCTGGCTGTCATGGCGGTAGCGTGCTGGGGTGGTGGTGAGGCAGAAGGAGCCTCGTCGAGACTCCGTGGTCCAACTCTGTGGGTCGGGCAGAAGGCCGGCCTCTTCAGAAGAGGCGCCGATGTCGTCGGTGACCTGCCGCCGTCACAATGCCTCCACATTTGCGGGGAAGGGGCGGAGCCAGCATGCGGATGCCGTACCCACCCACGGGCGTGCGTCAGTCACCAGACGGTACGATGAGGGCTGGCGGCGCTCGACGGACGTAAGAGTAGGGTGACCATCTGGCCGCGATCGGGCAGCTGCCGCTCTCCGGGAGACACGGAGCTCGACAGATTCGGGAGGAGATGCCGAGCGGGGTAGTGGGCGATATGGTCACGAGCGCGGACGGCCTCGCTTGCACCGCTGAGAGGCGGGCGGTGCCTTGAAGGTGTCGGTACAGGTACCAAGCCGCCTGACGAGGGCAGGCATGCTCCGCTATGTCCCTACGTCGCCGCCCTGCTACCGGCCTGTGACGAGGGCCTCCTGTGGCTTGCCGTGGCGATGGGTATGGTCGAGGGGCATGACGAGGATCTCGCTCGGTATCCGAGCCACGAGGCTGCTGCTGCTGCTCGCGCGGTACGGTGCTTCATGCCGTCTGCGGTTGCTTGTCCAGCTGTCGTCGTGGTGCCGCAAGGGCCACCCGAAGGCTCCCCTCGGCCTCTGACGTCCCCTCCCTCGGACTTCGTCCCTCGTCCCTCGTCCCTCGTCCCTCGTCCCTCGTCCCTTCTCCCGACGACTCGGCCCGGCCCGACCTCCCACTTTTCTGGCCACGCTCCTCGACTCGACTCTTACATATACGTGCCTGAACGGTGGCATAGACCGCAACGGAAGGCATCCCCACAAGGCCGTACGGATAGATCTTCACCTGCCCTTTCGCGCTCCTCTCCGGCGACCTGCAACTCGGCCCTCTCTTGACTGACGCCTCCGACGCTGCACTCGACTCAACACCATCTTGAAAGACACCGTACTTCATCGTCACTGCAATGACCGGCGACAGCTCGGGCCTCACCGGCAGCCAGCCCAAGGTGTCGCTGCGGGCCATCCGCAAGGTGCTGATCGCCAACCGCGGAGAGATTGCCCTCAGGCTGGTGAGCAGACGAGCTGCGGAAGCGTTCCGAGAGCGTGGGCTCGGGGCTGCCGTCTGACAAGCCTTTGCCTCTGGCCATACCCTTTCCGCAACATGCCGCGCGTCGGCCCAGATCCGCACCTCAAAGGCACTCGGCCTGCAGACAGTGGCCATCTACACCCACGACGATGCCGGGGCGCCCCACGTCACGGCCGCCGACGAGGCCTTCCTGCTCGAGGGTAGGGAGTCGGAGGGCAAGGGCTATCTCGACCAGGCGGCCATCGTCGACCTCTGCGAGCGGACCGGCGCCACCTGCATCCTGCCCGGGTACGGCTTCCTCTCGGAGAACCCCAAGTTTGCCGCTCTGGTCGAGTCCAAGCCCGGCCTGATCTTTGCCGGACCGCGCGCCGAGACCATCGAGTCGTTTGGCCTCAAGCATAGGGCTCGGCAGATGGCCGAGGAAGCGGGCGTGCCGTGCGTGCCCGGATCGGACCTGCTCCGCGACGCTACCGACGCCCTCTCGGAGGCGGAGCGGATCGGATACCCCGTGATGCTCAAGAGCACCGCGGGCGGCGGCGGCCTGGGACTCCAGGTCTGTCGCGACCGCGCCGAGCTCGAGGGCGCGTATGCCAAGATTGCCAGCAGAGGCCAGGCCCTCTTCGGCGACGCCTCCGTCTTTATGGAGCGTTACGTCGATTCGGCGCGCCACGTCGAGGTGCAGATCTTTGGCAACGGCCAGGGAGATGCCATCCACTTTGGCGAGCGAGAGTGCAGCATCCAGAGGAGGCACCAGAAGGTGAGAGGCATGTGCCGGATGCAGTCGAGACGATGGGATCCGCCGCTGACTCGACTGAGCATCACTCGCTCCACGACGACGCAAACAAGGTCATCGAGGAGTGTCCCTCGCCCTTTGTCCAGCGCACGCCCGGGCTGCGGAAGCGAATCACCGAATGCGCAGTGTCGCTGGCCAAGCTGGCAAAATACCGTGGTGCCGGCACGGTGGAGATGCTCGTCGACGAGTGAGTAGGCTGCCAAGTCGAGGGTTCTGAACCTGCCTCCGGGCCAACGTCCGCTGACCTGTGGAGCTGCGATCTCGCCTGCTTGACCTCGACGCCGCCGCCGTCTGCAGCGCCGATGCGAGCTTCTACTTCCTCGAGGTCAACGCGCGCCTTCAGGTCGAGCACTGCGTCACAGAGCTCTGCTACGACACCGACCTCGTTGCGCTGATGTTGATGCAGGCCGACGAGGAGCTGTCGGGCAAGGGTGGCATCGACTCGTCGACCCTGCTCTCGCTCCAGAAGGACGCCCCCCAAGGCGCCGCCATCGAGCACCGCCTATACGCTGAGAACCCGATCCGCGATTATGCGCCGACTCCGGGCCTGCTCCAGGTAATCGAGTTCGCCGCCGACTCGGTGTCCAAGGCGCGCATCGACGGGTGGGTCTCGAGCGGCACGACCGTCTCGGCTTCGTACGATCCGCTGCTGGCCAAGATCTGCGTGTGGGCCAAGAGCCGCGAGGCCGCCATAGACGACGCCCGCACGCTGCTCCGAGCGTCCAAGGTCCAGGGCACGCCGACCAACCTCGGTCTGCTCCAGGCCATCGTCGAGTCGGACAGCTTCGCGCGCGGGGACACGCTGACGTCGTTCCTGACGCCGAAGTCGAGCTTCCGCTACGCTCCCTGCGCCCTCGAGGTCATCAGCGGCGGCATCAGCACCACCGTCCAGGACTACCCGGGAAGGCGCGGCTTCGGTCACGGCGTGCCCGAGGCCGGCGCCATGGACCCGCTCTCGCTGCGCATCGCCAACTGCCTGGTCGGGAACAAGGACGGCGCCGAGGCGCTCGAGATCACCCTGGCTGGGCCTGAGCTCCTTTTCCACGCGCCGGCCATCGTCGCACTTGCCGGTGCTGAGATGGACATGTCGCTGGACGGCAAGGAGGTGGCGCCCTACTCGCGCATCGTCGTACAGGTAGGTTCCCGCCTCAAGATCGGCAAGGTGCCCGCTGACAAGGCCGGCTGCCGTGCCTACCTTGCCATCCGCGGCGGCTTGCCGCAGGTGCCCATTTACCTGGGGTCCAAGTCTACCAGCCCGTCCCTCGCGGCAGGCGGCTTCCAGGGGCGTGGCCTGTTGGCCGGTGACACCCTTGACCTCGATAAGGCCTCGAGCGAGTTGGCCGCATCGGGCAAGGTGGCGCCCTTCAGCTTGCCACAAAAGCTGTGGCTGTCAAGGAGCTTCGACCAGTCGCGCTCCGAGCGTGGCTGGCAGATCCTCTGCATCACTGGTCCATTCGACGACGACTCCTTTATGACGGCCAATGACCGCAAGAAGCTGTACGGCGCCACCTGGAAGGTGACCCACCAGGCGAGTCGGACCGGCATCCGCCTCGGTGGCGACCGTTTCGAATGGGCTCGCTCCGACGGCGGCGAGGGCGGCTCTCACCCTTCCAACGTGCTCGAGTTTGGCTACTCGGCGCGCGGGATCAACATGAACGGAGACGTGCCCGTAATCCTGGGCAAGGATGGCCCGGACCTCGGCGGTCTGCTGATTTGCAACACCATCATCTCCGCCGAGTGGCGCGACGGCCAGCTCAAGCCCAACGACTCGTTGCACTTTGTGCCGGTCACATTTGACCAGGCCAAGGAGCTGTCGGACCGGATCGAGCGCTTCCTCGAAGGCGTCAAGGCGGCTGCAGAGTCGGGCGAGGCGGGAAGAGTCAGCTCCCTCGAGATGCAGGTCGAGGGCAGCTCTCTCTACGGCGATGGCGGCGATTTTGCCACGTCCTACTCAATCCTCGACGAAGTGGCCGAGGTGGAAGGCCTGCGTCCCAAGGTAACGATCCGCTCGGCGGGCGATCGCTTTGTGCTGGCCGAGTACGGCGACATGACGGCCGACATCCTGCACCGGTGCCGTATCGAGCTGCTGGTGCGCGAACTGATCAAGCAAAAGGACGAGGCGGGCATCGTCGACCTCAACCCGAACCTGCGCAGCCTGACGGTGCAATTTGACCCGAACCGGACCAGCATGAAGGCGCTGGTCGAGCGCCTCAAGGGCATCGAGGAGACGCTGCCGAGCGCCACCGAAGTCAAGATCCCCACGCGCGAATTTACGCTGCCCGTGACGTTCGACGACCCAGAGATCAAGCTCTCGGTGCAAAAGTACATGGAGACGGTGCGCTCCAAGGCCGTCTACTTGCCTGACAATAAGGCGTACCTGGCCGAGGCCAACGGCTTCAGCTCGGCCGCCGAGGTCGAGGAGGCCATTGTCGGATGCTCGCAGCTGGCAGTGGCCGTCGGCTTCTACTTTGTGAGTGCGCGAATAGGGGCATCAGGCGTCGGAAGCGGCCCGGAAGACGGCCGTCGTGGCGAGGCTGCGTTGAGAGGATGCGCGCCTGCGCCTCGGCCAACATCGCTGAGACTCCTCTTTTGCCCTCTGCAATCGGATCCACTAGGGCACGCCAATCCTGCTTCCACTGGATCCGAGCAAGAGGCTGCGATGCCAAAAGTATAACCCAACCCGCCTGTCGACGCCAGCAGGCGCGCTTGGCCACGGCGGCAGCTGCTACGCCATCTACCCGTGCACTGCTCCCGGCGGCTACCCGCTCCTCGGCCGGACGCTGCCGTGCTGGGCGGGCTTCGGCGACAAGCCCGGGTTCTCTCCCGGGAAGCCCTACCTCTTTGAGAACTTCGACACCATCCGCTTCGAAAAGGTCGACCAGGCCACCGTGAGTTGCAGCTGCAGAGGGTCATTTGGCATCGGATTGGCCGGCTGACATGTCATCCTCTGCTGCCCTCTATCCGCCATCCCATGCGCCAAATCCGGGGCAGTACGACAAGGCGCTGCGAGACTTTGACGCGGGAAGCTACAAGTGGAAGGTGCGCGAGACGGTGTTCGACGTGGCCAAGCAGTCGGCGTTCCTCGAGACGGTGGCGGACAAGGCCAAGCAGTTCCGGCAGCAGCAGGAGGCGGCGCTGGAGAAGACCAAGCAGAAGGAGGACAGGCTTTACGCCGAGTGGACGAAGGAGGTCGAGGAGGCGGCTGCCAAGAAGGCGGCGGGGTCGGGCACTTCTTCGAGCGGTGCGTCGATCGAAGACTTTGACGACGGTGAGTTTTAACCCCGGCAGTGGCGTTGCCTGCGTCCCTTCGTTCTCGGAGCCAGTCGCTGACGGTCCACTCTGCGCTCCCCTCCCATTTCTGTGACCGTGACTGCGATCGCAGATCCCGACGCCATCCCGATTCCATCGAGCCTGGCCGCCAACGTGTGGAAGGTGCTGGTGAAGCCGGGCGAGCGCGTCGAGGCGGGCCAGAAGGTGGCCATCCTGGAAGCCATGAAGATGGAGATTGACGTCGTCGCGCCCGAAGGGTGCACGTCGATCAAGGCCATCATCAAGCCGCCGGGCAGCAGCGTCGCGCCTGGCGATGCCGTCCTCGTCGGCGGCCGCGGATAGCACCATCCACGGGCGGATCGTAGTCGCTCGCGCGCGCGCGCCCTGCTCGATCTGTGGAGATCCCGAAAGACATGCGTAGGACAGGGCTCGGGTGGTTCTCGTTGGTTCTTGCTCTGTATCCTTCCAAATTGGAACTGGTCCCCGATGCCGCTGCGATGTGATACAGGAGACGGTGATGAGTCGGAAGGACCCGCTTAGGCTCACGGCCGCCCACACGCGGTCGACCCGCCCGGAGCCGCTCGTTTCACCCTTGGCCTTGAGATCAGGCGAGGCACAGACCACCAGCGTTGTTGAACGTGTGCGGGCCCTTCGACGGCATTCATGAAAGGCTGCTTCGGCGTCCTAGCCTGTTTGATTGATAGAGAGCTCGCCCCTCTGCTCCAAGGGCGAGCTAGAGGCCTAGGAGAAGACGACATGAGGGGAGGGAGGGAGGGGACGACATGCTGCCGACGCCTGGTTTGGTTCCAGCACCATGGCGTCGACCTGGTGCCCTTCTGCACCGCCTGGCTCGTCTGCATCGACATCGTTCCGCGCGGGGTATCTCTTCTCTCGATGAGTGGCCTCCATTCCTCCTTCCCGGTCATCCTTGCATGTTCCTCTGTGCCTCTACCCGTCATACAGCTCCGTTCCTTTCGTCGACGCTGTTGGATCGGTGTTCCAAGCCTCGACATCCGTGCTTTGCCTCGCCTTGCCCCTTCCTACTCGGTGTCGGCGATGAGCGCGACAATCATGCGGTAGAGGTAGTAGAAGAAGCTGACGAGGTAGAATCCGAGCTTGATGAAGCACTCCTTTTTGTGCTGCGACAGCGTCCGGAAGATTTCTGTTGCGTCGAGCATGTGGTTCTTTTGCATCACTCTGCAGGGCGGCCGAGGACGAGTCCGAGGACGAGTCCGAGGAGGAGTAGAAAGCGAGAAGAGCGGCGGCGGCGTCAGCGTCGCGGCACGGTCACGAGGTATGGGGGAACAAAGGTCGGGGGGTAACGGCAACGCACTTGTTGACGTTGAATGCCACCAATGGCGCGTTGAGCAGGAAGGCGAGCCATTGGCCGCTCAGGAGGAAGAGGAGGGTGAGGACGGCGTGGGCGGCCATTTCCGGGAGCGTGAACTGTGGCCAGCAAGGCGAGGCGGGGAGTCCAAGGGGTTCGTGCTGCGTCAGTGCGAAGGCAAGCGAGCGGGGCCGAGCAGGCAGGTCTTCTTTGCGAGGAAGTCTGGCCGTTTGCCGCGGCACGCACCTGGTTGAGCTTGTTGCAGAGGTCGATGGGGTTGATGTAGTCGCACTCGAGGTCGGAGAACATGATGATCTGCAGCGTTGGCAGGGGACGAGGGACGAGGGTCGAGGTCAGCGTGGGCTGGGTTGCCGTTGCCACGGCGTGCGACACGGGAACCACCCCCTGGCTCCGGCGGTACGCACAAAGAAGACCATGGTGAACAGCAGCACTGCCGAGAGCAGCACCGACAAGAGGAAGAGCCAGCCTACATCGAAAGGAGAAGCACGAGGGGTTCCAAGAGTCTAGGGTCAGCGGAGCTGCTAGGCGTGGAGAAGAGGAGGCGCAAGGCGCTCGAGGATGGGCTCACCTTCACCCGACATCTTGAGCTGGAGGAGCACCGAAGCGGTCCGAGAAGGAGGTGGTCGTTGGGAGACGCAAGAGCGGCCAGGCAAGGCGGTAAAGATGAGCGTGGGTCAGCTGGGTCGGCGAAGCCTCCCGAGAGAACACCGTGAAGGCGACAGTAGAGCCTGATCGGGATGCGTACAGTGGCGGGTTGTTCGAAGTGGAAAAGGTGTTGGTTTCCGTGCGAGGTCGAAGAAAGAAGCTGGGTATCAGCGGGAGGAGGAGATGATGTACGAGGATGCTGTCGTGGACAGGCAGGAGGGTGTTGCGAGGTGGCGTGTGGACGGTTTGGTTGGAGGATGGCGGTGATGACGAAGGTGAAGTGGTGACGACGGCGACCAGCGTCCGAGCGAACGAAGTTCCGAGCCGCTGCCCGCACCGCGCTTCTGGCCCTGGCCCTGGCCCTGGCCGAGGCTGAGGCTGAAGCTGAGGCCTTCGCCTGCCTTGGCCGCGGGCGAATGGGGGTGGAGTTTCAGCGGCCATCCAGAGAGGCCAGCCTGGGCCACCCTCACCTGCCAGGCACCACCAGCCTTTCATCCGTCTCCGGCGGCGGCGGCGGCGGCAGCAGCGAGGAGGGGCGGCGGCTGCCCGGCGTGCTGCGTGTTCTTCCGTGCGAGCCAGGCGCAGCCCTGGCCACCCACGCGGCGCGCCTGTGACGTCGCTGGCTCCCCAAGCAAAAGCCTGGGCTCGGGGCGGATCCGGCGTCGCTCGTCTGGCTGTGATCGCCGCCCGCAGTCGAGAGGCCAGGCCAGGTCGGCCAAGCAAGCCGACAACGAGGGCCGGGGCGAAAATCAGGAAAAAGCAAAAATTGCAAAATTGGCGAGGGCCCGCCCAGCGCGAAGAAGTCGCCTCAAAAGGCGTCAGGCCCAGCTTCGTCCACACCCGCCGCCTTTCCCCCCACCATCTTCGTCCCCCACCCTCCCTCGTCCCAAAGGTGAGCATCGTCAGAGTGTCTCGACTTCGACTTCTCTCCCTTGGCCGTCGGCAACTGCGGCCCACTCGCCGACGCGCGCGAGCGAACGAGCGCGGCCTCGCTGCACGCATGATGATCCAACACTAGATGACGAGGCTGAGGGTTCCTCGACAATGCGAGAGGCACGCTTCGGGCTCGGCGGGCTCCCTCGGGGGTCCAACGTCTCGAAGCGCTCGCGAGGCCCCATGCTTACAACCCGTGGCTACCTATTCCTGACACAAGATTTGGTCCGGGATCCTCGCTTCCATCGGCGTTGACTCGGATCGAGCGGGCAGAGGGGGCCGTGGCCGTCCTCCGCGGTGGTCCATTCCCGGTCGACTAAGAGAAAGAGAGGGATGGACAGCAGAATCTAACCCCACCAGCTCTCCTTGGTCCCACCTCTTGCAGATGCCCCGTCCGGTCGACGACGACGACTACGACTCCGACTCGGGTTCCGAGTTCTCGGTCACGGATGTCCAGCTCGGGCTCGCAGACGGCCCGCTCGAGGGCGACGACGAGGCCAACCCGCTCGTCTCGAGGATCGGTGGTCGGGCGGTGAGTAGTGAGTCTCTCTTGGATCGTGTGCCTCCGTGTCTCCCTGCTCTTTCCCCCCGGCGCGCCGTCTCACCATTACCTTCCTCGCCCTGCCCCTTCTTCCCCGACTCGCAGGCCTGGCTGCCCATGACCTCGACGCCCCCTCGTGAAGTGGCGCAGTGCAACCACTGTCAACGACCCATGCAACTGATCGTGCAGATTTTTGCCCCGCTCGAGGGCTCGGCATACGATCGCTGCCTCATGGTCTGGGGCTGCGGCCGCGCAGAATGCCAGAGGACGGATGCTTCTAGGTGAGTCTACTTGGACGATCGATCAACTTTGCCGAGCAGCAGCGCAGCCAGCACCACGACACCCGTCCGAGAACCATCGACCCTCCGCCGCGACGACGCACCGCAAAGGATTACCACAATTTCTTCACTTGAGCCGTTGCCTCCGGGCGACGGCATGAAAAAAGACAATCTTTGACAATCGAGCTTTTTAACCATGATGCAACGCTCGTCACGGACGTTGGTCATCGGTCGTCGGGTATTAGGATCGCTGGTCGCTGCCGTTGCTTGCTGCTGTTCGGCATTTGTCGCAACGTCGCCGTCTCCGCCGTTGTGGCTCTATTCTGACCTCACCGACCCGTCCTGTCGCTCACCTGAACACAGCCTCAAGGTCATCCGCGTGCTGAAGCACAATCCGCGCTGGGCAGCCAAGCTCGAAAAGCAGAAGCAGCGCCGCGAGGCGCGCGAAGCCCGAGCTCGCGAGCGCGCCGAGCAAGAGGCTGCCCGCAAGGCCGAGCAAGAGCGTCTTTCCAAGATCAACCCCTTCGCGTCCAACGCCTCGACACAGGCCGGCGGAGCAGGCGGCCTGGGCGACATGCTCTTCGGTGGTGGCTCTGCAGGCGCCGGCGCCGCGAACGCCAATCCCTTCGCCGCTGCTGCCCCAGAGCCTGCACCAACCTCGACTCCAACGGCCGCTTACGGCAAGGGCGACGACGATCAAGGCGGCGACGGGTCTTCTTCGGAAGATGATGACGACGAGGACGAAGAAGAGGAGCGCCTCGCCGAAGAGCTTCAGATCAAGGCCGACCTCGAGCGCAAGACGAGCAAGGACTCGGCGTGGGTCAAGCAGGTACCCAAGTACCCCGCCCTCTACCTCAACACAGTCCCCGAGCCCTCGTCGTCGTCCAAGGCGGCCGACAAGAAGCTGACGTCGTCGCAGGCCAAGACGCTCAAGCGCGACGAGAACTACGACGAGGAGGAGCTCAAGGCGTGGGGCAAGGAAGGCTACGAGAAGATGATGCTCGACGGCATCGACGACGTGTTTGAGCGCTTTGCTAAGCGCGTCGGCGCCGAAGGGCGGCAGGCGGTCCGCTACGAGTTTGGCGGGCAGCCGTTGCCCTTCCACGGCCGGGGCCAGCTGTACACGAAGCTGTGGCCCAAGCAGTCGGACAGCTCCGCCAAGCCGGGCCAGCCCATCGCCGTGACGCGCGGAGCGTTTGCGGCGGGCGCCGGCGCGGCGACGGCCGAGGGCGGCGTCTATGACGCCTCGTGCATCCCGCCTTGCCCCACGTGCGGCTCTGCGCGGACGTTTGAGGCGCAGCTGATGCCCAACCTCATCAACCTGCTACGTCCGCAGGCGATCCAGCGGGGCGAGGAGCAGACGTCGTCGGACGACGACGAAGACGGCGACGACGACGACGCCGAACTCTCGCACCTCAGCGGCGAGGAGCGCAGGCGGGCCGAGATCGAGCGTGAGCTCGGCCGTGCCATCCCCGCCCCACCCAAGGCCAACGACGAGGCCAAAGGTGCGGCGACCGAGGGCGCCGAGGCCAAGAAGCCGCGGATGCCCAGGCGTACGGGCCTGACGTGGAGCACGGCCATGATCTACGTTTGTGAGAAGGACTGCTGCATTCCGGTCGACGGCAGCGCCGAAGAGGGCGAGACGTGGAGGGAGGAGTGGGTCGGCGTCCAGTTTGAGGACGAGGCCTGATGCCATTGCTCTCCATAGCCTTGTCCAGCCAGCCCCCCCATTGGTTACTCGCTCCCGGCCTGTACTTCTACCGTTCCCACCCGCGCGCCGTCAACCTGTACTTGTACCATACCCGCAATCTCCTATCATATCCTCGTCGCCCCCGGCGTCACGCATCACACGACCCTGCCTCTCTCTGCCAACATGATCCCAAGCGAGCCGTCTCGTCTGGTCTGGTCTGATCGTGAGTAGGCCTCGGAGCATCCGCCGTCGAGGTCGAGGTCGAGGTTGAGAAGAGGAGCCCGAGGTCGCTTAGTCAGCCTTACCTACGCCGAGTCCCGTCGCCCGAGAAGAAACCTAGCCTGCTGGCTCGGCGGCGAGGAAGAGAAAAAAAGTTGGCGGTCGGTGGACGGACGCTGCGCTGCGCCAGAAAATTTTGCCCGCTGGCTGCTGGTGGTGCTGCTCGCCATCGTCGACTAGCTGCCACCTCGCCGCCATCTTCGCCGGATCACCATCAACGCCATCACCTCCGACGCGGTACACCCTCCTCCCTGCGCTTCGACTTTCCGCGCAAACCACGCTGCATGGGCTTCACCGTCTAGCTCACCTCGGACCTGGGCCTGCGACTTTTCTCCTACCCACCGACGGTCGAGACGCGCAGCCCTGCCCCTTCCAAGGCCGGGATCGTCAGAGGCCAAAGGGCGCGCGCACGAGGCCGCTTCCTTCATCGTCCGTCTCTATCCCACCAACAGCCTCGCCGCTCGCTGCTCGCTAGACTCGGTGTAGCTTCGACAGCTTAGAACCACCTTCCGTCCACCACCACCGTCGCCACCGCCGCCGCCGCCTGCGCGAGCCAATCCGCCACCATGGACGTCACGCGGCCGATCACGTCCAACATCAGCTCGACCTCGTTCTCCTTCCTCTCGGCGGAGGAGATCCGTAGGATATCCGTCACGCAGATCTACAACCCCGAGCTGCTCGACATCACCAACAATGCCTCGGCCGGCGGTCTCTACGACCTCCACCTCGGTCCCATGAAGCATGCCGAGATGTGAGTGGTGGCCACATCTCTATGCCCGGCGCCTTTTCGTCGTCTGCTGCTCAGCGCTCGTCTGACATGCTCGTCTCGCTGGCTTGCCGTCTCCCCTCTCTCTTGCCCCGCTCAGCTGCAAGACGTGCCACATGGACGGCTTCCGATGCCCAGGCCACTTTGGTCACATCGAGCTGCCAGCACCCGTCTACCACCCGCTCTTCCTGCTGCGGATGTACTCGGTGCTCCAGTCCATGTGCCTCTTCTGCCACAAGTTCCGAATGACCGAATTCCAGGTGCGTGCGACGCCCGCTCCCCTTTTGACCCGCTGAAACGCCGTGCTGACGTCTCGCTCGTTCTTTGCCTCGACCTTGGCTCGCCCTTCCGTTCGCCCTCTCTGCAGGCTATCAAGTTTGCGGCGCGCTTCCGCCTGCTCGAGTACGGCCTGGTGCAAGAGGCCGAGGACGTCGGCAACATGGAGCTTCGGCGCTCCCACCGCTTCACGTTCGCCGACGCCCGGTCCGACGGCAAGGCCAATGAGAAGAAGAAGGCCAAGAAAGGCGAGCAGCAGTCCGACGACGACGAGGAAGAGGACGAGGATGCCGAAAACGACGAGGACGCTGGGAAAAAGTTCCGCCTCGTGCAGGACGACAGCAAGCCGTCGGAGTCGGTGGCCGAATTCAAGGTGCGCGTCGACGCCCACGTCGAGCAGCTGATCCAGCAGGCCATCAAGGAGGGCAAGTCGAACACCTCCGAGCTGCTCGAGGCGCCCTACGTGGCTCGCAACAAGCTCATCGCCGAAGTCTTCAAGCCCAAGACCAACGCGCGCTGCGAGCGGTGCAGCGCGTTCCGCACCAAGCTGCGCCGGGACGGCCACCTCAAGATCATGGAAAAGTCGAGCGGCGCGGCGGCGGCGGCGGCGAGACAGGCGATCGAGGAGATCGAGAGCGGCGTCGACGGGTCAAAGAAGAGCAAGGCCAAGTCCAAGGCGGACGACGCCAACGGCATGGACGTCGACGACGACGACGACGATGACGAGGACAGCGACGCCACGCCCGCGCCAACCGCTGCATCGGACAAGGCGGCGCTCAACAAGGCGATGAGTGCCGGCGCCAGCGAGCACGACGGCCTGTGGCGGATCGTGCCGCCGGCCGAGATCCGCTCGCACATGCGGTTGCTCTTCAAGAACGAGTCGGAGCTTTGCTCGCTCATCTTTGGCCGCCACGGCGCCTTCCAGAACCTGGCCGATCCGGGCAAGCCGCGCCGCAGCATGAAGGGCGAAGCGCTGTGGGAGACGCCCAACGGCGCCAGCGCCGACAACTTCTTCGTCGAGGCGCTGGCCGTGCCGCCCACACGCTTCAGGCCAGCCAGCGTCATGGGTGACCAGACTTTCGAGAATCCGCAGAACGAGCTGCTCACAAAGATCCTCAAAACGAGCTTCCGGCTGCGAGACCTCAACCAGGAGCTCACCTCGATCGCTTTCGACAAGTCCTATGGCGACCTCGGGCCCGCGGCGACGCGCGACGAGCAGCTGCAGGCGCAGCAGAAGTGGCAGCGGCAGCGCGACGAGGCGTACCAGAAGGTGCTCGAGGCCATGGTCCAGCTCCAGGTGGACGTCAACTCGTACATGGACTCGAGCAAGAACCCCACGCTGACGCGCGCCGGCCAGGCCCCCACGCCCGGTGTCAAGCAGGGGCTAGAGAAGAAGGAGGGCCTCTTCCGCAAGCACATGATGGGCAAGCGAGTCAACTTTGCCGCCCGCTCTGTCATCTCGCCCGACGTCAACATCGAGACCAACGAGATCGGCGTGCCGCCCGTGTTTGCGCAGAAGCTCACCTTCCCGGAGCCCGTGACGGTGCACAACGTCGAGCTGATGCGCCAGCTGGTCATCAACGGCCCGAAAAAGTACCCGGGCGCGGCGGCGATCCGGATGGAGGACGGGTACGAGGTGCTGCTCGAGAAGAAGACGCTCGAGGAGCGCACGGCGATCGCCAACCAGCTGCTGACGCCGCAGGGCAACACGTCGCGCCACAACAAGGGCAGCTTCGGCGGGCTGGGCAGCTCGGCGCGCACGCCGACGGCCAACAAGCAGGTGCTGCGCCACCTGCGCGACGGCGACATCCTGCTCCTCAACCGCCAGCCGACGCTGCACAAGGCCTCGATGATGGCGCACAAGGCGCGCGTGCTGACCGGCGAGCGGACGATCCGCATGCACTACGCCAACTGCAACTCGTACAACGCCGATTTCGATGGCGACGAGATGAACATGCACTTCCCGCAGTCGCAAGCGGCGCGCTCCGAGCTCTACAACATCGCCTTCACCGACAAGCAGTACCTGGTGCCGACGAGCGGAGAGCCGCTGCGTGGCCTGATCCAGGACCACGTCGTCGCCGGCGTGTGGATGACGAGCAAGAACACGCTCTACACGCGCGAAGAGTACCAGCAGATGCTCTACGGCGCGCTGCGGCCCGAGAATGGCTACACGGGCGGCGGGCGCGTGCTGACGGTGCCGCCGGCGGTCGTCAAGCCGCAGCCGCTGTGGACGGGCAAGCAGGTCATCTCGACGGTGCTGCTCAACCTCAAGCCGGCCAAGGCGCACGGCATCAACCTGGTGTCCAAGGCCAAGGTGGGCGGCCGCAACTGGGGCAAGGACCACGCCAGCGAGGCCGAGGTCATTGTCGAGGACGGCGAGCTGCTGTGCGGCGTGCTCGACAAGTCGCAGTTCGGCGCCGTCTCCAAGGGTCTCGTCCACTCGGTGTACGAGGTCTACGGCCCCGAGTACGCCGGCAAGCTGCTCAGCATCTTTTCGCGCCTCTTTACCAAGTTCCTCCAGGCCAACGCCTTCTCGTGCAGGATGGACGACCTCATGCTGACGCCCGAGGGCGACGCCCAGCGGCGCAGGATCCTCGACGAGCGACGCGCCGAGGGGCGCACCGTGGCGCTCAAGACGGTTGGCCTCGAAAACGAGGACCCGACCCGCCCAGAGACGGACCGCAACCTGCGCATCCGCCTCGAGGAGGTGCTGCGCGACCGCAACAAGCAGGCGATGCTCGACTCGGACATGATGGGCTCCGTCAACACGATCACGTCGAGCCTCATCGACCAGTGCATCCCCGACTTCCTCTACAAGAAGTTCCCGCACAACAACATGCAGATGATGACCGTGTCCGGCGCCAAGGGCTCGATGGTCAACGTGTCGCAGATCTCGTGCCTGCTCGGCCAGCAGGCGCTCGAGGGCCGCCGCGTGCCCGTCATGATTAGCGGCAAGACCCTGCCGTCATTCAAGCCGTTTGACACGTCGGCGCGCGCCGGTGGCTTCATCGGCGGCCGATTCCTCAGCGGCATCCGCCCGCAGGAGTACTACTTCCACTGCATGGCGGGTCGCGAGGGTCTCATCGACACGGCCGTCAAGACGTCGCGCTCCGGCTACCTCCAGCGATGCCTGATCAAGCACCTCGAGGGCGCCCACGTCCAGTACGACCACACCGTGCGCAACTCGGACGGCGCCGTGCTCCAGTTCGCCTACGGAGAGGACGCGCTCGACACGACCAAGAGCGCCTTCCTCAACCAGTTCGACTTTATGGCGCAGAACTTCGACAACTTCTGCAAGCGCTACGACCCGGCCCAGCTGGCCGACGTCATGGAGGCCGAAAGGGCGCCAAAACACATGAAGAAGGCGCTCAAGAAGCCGGACCAGTACCCGCCCGTGCTGAGCGTCTACTCGCCCGCGACGCACTTTGGCTCGATGTCCGAGGCGTTTGCGGCCAAGGTGGAGAAGTACATCGAGGAGAACCCGCGCAAGCTGCTGGGCGAGAAGCGCAAGAAGAAGAAGCAGCGCAAGTCCGAGGGCGGCAAGGGCGGCGGCGCAGACGACGAGCCGGTCGAGAAGCTGCGCTCGGTGCGCGACAAGCTGGGCGTCGAGGCGTTCCGCGCCATGGCCAAGGTCCTCTACCACCGCGGCCTGGTCGAGCCGGGCGAGGCCGTCGGACTGCTGGCGGCGCAGGGTGTCGGAGAGCCCTCGACGCAGATGACGCTCAACACGTTCCACTTCGCCGGCCACGGCGCTGCCAACGTGACGCTGGGTATCCCGCGTCTGCGAGAGATTGTCATGACGGCGTCGCAGAACATCCAGACGCCCATCATGCACCTGCCCGTGCTCGATGGCATCACGGCCGAGCAGATGAAGACGTTCTGCAAGGACGGCAGCCGCCTGACGCTGAGCCAGGTCGTCGACGAGGCCGTCATCACCGAGATTATCTCGGGCAAGACGGCCGACAACGGCTTCAGCCGCCAGAGGACCTACACGCTCCGCCTCAACTTCTACCCGCTCGCCGAGTGCCGCGAGGAGTACAACATGACGCTCGAGCAGCTCTTCTCGGGCCTCGAAAAGACCTTCATCGCCACCCTCGAGCGCGAGATCACCAAGGAGCTCGCCAGGATGAAGCGCGACCGACAGGCGCAGGCGGCCGCCATCGGCAAGGCCCACTCGGCGTCGAGCAACCACGACGACGACACGGCCGGTCCGAGCGCGGGCAGGGCCGCTGCTGCCGCGTCGTCGTCGTCGTCGGGCGCGGACGCCAAGTCGCGCAGCCAGAACGCCGACATGGACGACAGCGACGACGACGGTGCCGACTCGGACGGCGGCGACGGCGATGCCGACGACGCCAAACGCTCGTCGCGACGCAAGGGCAAGGTCTCGTACGACGACGACGACGACGATGACGCGCAGCGTGTGCCGGACACCGACGAGGGCATCGAGGCCGCCTTCCGGGACGACGACGACGACGAGGCGCTGCGCGACGCCGGCAAGGATGGCGACGACGACGACGACCGCGATCAGCACCGCGACGACCTTGCATCGCGCGCCGACATCGCTGAGCGGGCGGGCAAGCTCGACGACGAGTGCAGCACGTTCACCAAGTTCATCTCGGGCTTCCGCTTCGACAGCAGGCGCGGCCAGTACGCCGAGATCGACCTGCAGCTGCCGACGACGGAAAAGGTGCTCCTCATCAGCGCCGTCGAGCGCGCGTGCCAGACGAGCGTGGTGCGCGAGATCCCCTTCATCACGCGCGTGCTGCGCCCCGTGGCGTCCAAGAAGGACGACTCGCGGCCCAGGCTGACGGCCGAGGGCATCAACTTCCGCGACCTGTGGACGTTTGCCTACGGCGTCGTCGACCTCGACCGCATCGAGACCAACGACATTGGCGCGCTGCTCCACACCTACGGCGTCGAGGCCGCCCGCCAGGCCATTGTCAACGAGATGAAGGCCATCTTCGACACCTACGGCATCGGCGTCTCGATGCGCCACCTCTACCTGATTGCCGACTATCAGACGGCCGCCGGCGGCTTCAGGCCCTTCAGCCGTGGCGGTATCGCCCAGTCGGCCTCGGTTTTCCTCAAGGCGAGCTACGAGACGACCATGAACTTCATCGGCAATGCCGCCTTGCACGGCGAGTACGAGAGCCTCACGGGCCCCTCGGCCAACATTGTCGTCGGCAAGCCCGTCAAGAGCGGTACGGGCGTGCCCGAGATCAGGGTGGCGCTGCCCCGGCCCAACCTCGTCGACGCGGCGGCGGCATGAGGCGCGGACGCTCTCGCTGTCCTCGTGCCTACCAAGCTCGGTCCGGTCTTGTCCCGCCTTTGATTCTGGCTTCGTCGCGCCCCGCCTGTGGCCGTTGTATTGTAGACGTCGAGCTTGCCCCGCTCATCGTCATCCCCTCCTGCCCCCTCGCAGCTTTCCCGTGCCCCCCTCATCCCTGCCTAGGCTCCCTCTGGACCGGTCCGAGTGACCCTGTACATACAAGATCATAGCCATTTCCTCATGCTTCCCCCCTACCCCCAAAATGCCGGCGCGTCCATTGTACGTAGCCAGCCCGGTTCCACCCATGCATCCTAGAAAGAAAGGCCAAAGCCGTATTCCAGACAAACACGCGAGCCCTCGGTGTCGGCGTCGGTGCATCGGCGTCGGGCCGACTACTTTGCATCCCAGAAGCGCTGCTCGTACCAGAGCACGGTCCTCCAGACCTTTTCGAGCCTGGCGAGGTTGTCGCCCTCCCTCTCGTGTTGGGGCAGACGTTCGACGATGGCCTTGCAGTCGCGCACGAACGCCTGGAACTCGTCCGAGGTCCAGTTGTGGATGAAGGTGCGGAGGGACAGCTCGACCGACTCTGACCCGGCCTCGTCTGCCGCGCCCGGGTTAGGTTGGATCTGGCCCGCTTCCTGTTCGGCGGTCGAGGGAGAGGGAAGGTGTGTGCGGGCGTAGGTCCAGGCGCGCAGGTAGAGCTCTTCCATGGCCCACAGGAGCACGGCGCACTCGGCGTGCGAGCCGTGCGACGAGAGCGAGGCCATGTAGTCGATGTAGCCTCGCGTGATCGGGTTGAGGAGGTCCAGCGATTCCGACGACGAAGAGGGTCGGCGCGAGACCGAGAGGCCGTACCGCGCCGCCGTCGTCTCGAAGAAGTTGATCTCGCTGCGGCGTCGCGGCGAGCGAGGTCGGGCGGAAGGCATGCGGGGATCGTGTCAGTCACAACACATGCTCTCGTTCCAACAACACGGCGCACTCAGAGAGAGAGAGACACGGGCACGGTCCGCTCACCGATGGATGTTGCTTAAGGCGCCGCTGAGGGTGGTAAAGGTCTGCTTCCACTCTCGACACGCGGCCGAGTCGGGATCCTGCTCCGGTACGTGCATGCGCGCGATCATGTTGCCCATCAGGCGCGTGTAGCCGCACATGGCGTACAGGCGATCCTGCGTCAGCCACGCCGAGAGCGCGTCGTTGGAAATGGTCAGCGAGCCCGCCGACCAGAGGAAGGGATGCTGCGTCGCCTGCTTCACCCCGGCCTCGTCCAGGGAGAGGAGGTGCGCTGTCAGCGACGACGTCGGCGAGGCGGACATGATTCGGTCGGCGGCAAAAGTGGGAGAGGTATGGGGGACGGTGTGACAGGATGAGGAGGAGCTCAACAGGACAAGAATACGGGTCGTCTGCGACGGCCGGCCTGGCCGAGCAAGGCGAGGAGGCGTGGGTCGGCAATCGATGGGCGAGGCTGGCGCCAGTTCTTCCACAGATGGCCTGTGCTGCTGCTCGCTGACTCTGCTTGGGCCTCGGCGCCGGACCGAGCCGCCAGAGAAAAGTCGGAAGCAGCCGCGCGCTCCTTCACAGCTTCCAGAGAGCTGTCAAACACGGACACCTTGGCTGGTAGCCAGGACGATTGCCACCTTCGGCAGAGCCGTGGCCCGGCATGATGCCGAAGTCGACACGCCGGCAGCCCAGACTGAGGAGCCAGGACAATGGCAGGCTTGGCCTGGCCGGGCCACGCCGGTGGCTGCGCCCCTCGTCTACGCGGCGCGCTTCCGAGGGCCTGCAGGCGCGAGCGAGAAAGGCCCGAGGGCCCGGAAAAAGTCGTCGGGGGGCCAAACACACCAACACTCGCTGGGCGGTCCTCGACGTCCCGCCTCGACCCTCGATCCAACCTTGTTCTTGCTTCGTCTTTGGCTTAACCGCAATGCCTGTCTTGGGCTCCGGACACCACCGACGACCAGCTCCACCCACGTCCCACCGCCACAGCCGTTCGCCTTGTAGATGGTCCACGAGCTAGAGCTTGCATCTCGGATTGGACCCGCCGCTACCGCTGCCATCGTCATCGAGGTCGAGGTCGAGCAAAATGGTCTCTCATCCTCGTCGACCTGGCCCCTCCCATCATCGTCCTCCTCGGATCGCTCTCGAAACGCTACTACTCCACATTTGAGCGCACCATGTCGACGCTCGTCACGACCACCGCCACGGCTGCTACGCTCGAAGTGATGGCCACATCGGAGGCGACCGACGGCCAGCGACGTGCGCGCCTCGTGGACCGGATGAAGTTCCGCCCTCCCGCCTCTGCCCTCACATCCAGCCGCGCTCTGATGGCGCGGAAACGTGCCGCACCTCCGTCACTGAGCACACGCCCGGTGGAAGCCGATGAGCGACGACCGCACTCGCCCCCGCCTCGGCCATCGGAGCCCGCCACGCCCCCGAAACGAGCACCGCCACGGCAGCGACGTCGCAAAGTCCCCGTCAAGTTTCGTCGGCTCGCTCCGTCGCCCTCGCCCACTCCAGATCGTAGGAACACGCGCTCGGGCGACGCCGCCTCTGCAGCTGGTCCCTCTCGTCTTGCTGGAAGGGGAAGCGACGACGACGACGACGAAGAGAGCAGTGATCAGCACAGCTCGCCCATCGGGACCTTTGGCGCGCCTCCGATCGGCCTAGGGAAGCGCAAGCATGCCGCGGCTGCCGGTCCTTCCAAGCCGGCGCGGTCGACCAAACGATCCCGTGTTCAGCTCGTGTCCGCACAATGTGACGTCGAGGAAGCACGGCACGATACGAGCGGAGACATCGACGTCTCGGACATTTCTTGCTTCCCAACCTTGGCCCCGCGTTCCGCCTCGCGAGGGCAGAGCGAGGCCCGTCGTGAGGACGAAGAGAGGGATGAGAACGGGAACATCGACGAGCCTGGATCTCGGCCCGAGTACGACCAGGATCTCCAGCAAAGTCTGGCGCACGACCTCGGGGACGACACCGGGGCAGCCGCAGTCACGACAGCGATGCGGACGCCATCCCTAGCGGCCGACGAAGCCACTTTCTCGAGATCGATGGCAAGTGTGAGCGCCAATCTTGCGCCGGACAGTCACGAAGATGCAGCGGGATCGTCAGCCTCTCGACCTGCCCCTGCAAAGCGCGCCCGTACGGCCCGAGTCGACTATCTCGCCGCTACAAACGAACCGACGGCTTCAATTCAGGCCGCCCGGCAAGCAGGTTGCCTGCTGCAGTCTCACGTCGAAGCCGGACGATGGACTCGTCCACAGGCCCCCGCCTTGCATCGCCAGAGCCAGGCGCATCGCAGCAAACGAGTGCCGGATCACAAGAAGCAATTGGTGTTTCGCCACGCGGCGCCTGCAACCGCTTCGGTGCGGCAGGACTTCACGCTGTCGAACTCGGCTGCGTCCTACCGCGACGCCCTGCCAGACTGGGCCAGCTCAGCTTCTCTGATCCTCGCTGATGAGGCAGCGGACTTGCTCGAGTTCCAGCCATCGGGCCTACCTTGCTCGGCTTCATTTGCCGGATATGCTGCGATCGCCGACGCCCGGTCCGACGAGCCAATTGCGGTCTCGCCAGGAAGCTGCCTCAATAGTGCCAACCTCCTCATAGAGCAGTCGACCTGGGAAGCCCGGCTATGCAGCCCGAGGGCTCGCTACGAGATCGTCAAGCTGGTCGTGCCCATCTCGATCCCGGCCAGCCATGCCGCGGCGAGCGATGCGATCTGGCTCGATGCAAACTCGACGCCCGCTCCTCACATACAGAGCGAAGGTCCGAGGAAGCTGGCCTGGCTTCCCGGCACATTTGCCAGCTTCGCGACATCACTCGCTGATCTCTTCGCATCAGCGTCGAGGAAAGGCAGGACCGAGAGCATCATGCTGGGCTACACGGCCCTTCGGCATCGCAGCGGCACGCCACGCCAAGTCACTATCTACACCAACCTCGATCGTCTCGCTGAGCTGCGCGTCTGGCTGGCGCGGCTCGAGGTCGATGCGCACGGCACCAGACCGTTCCGCCTCGACGGCCACGGGGCCAGACTGGTCGTCATCGATGCCAAGCGTCGCCCGCTGCTGGTCTTCTGAGCCGCTGTCGCAATCAGGTGACCGCCTCGTTCCGTGTCAGTAGAGAGATCTGCTTCCGTCTAGGTCTCGCTCGCACCGTATTTATATCGAGCTCCGTCTGTATTTCTAGCATGACACTATCCTACTACCGCCGCACGGCTACCGTCGTCGTTTTCAGCGTCTAATCGAGGTACGTCCATTCTGATATCAACCTTCGACCCGGAGCGACTCGAAGCCAAAGTGAGTAAAGCTCTTGGACCACGATGCGTCCGCTCCGTCCTCTTGTTGCTCAGTCTGCTTTGGTCCGCGCCCTCTCTCGCCGCCCTCTTCTTCTTTCGCGGAGGTGGTGGCAGCGCTGGCCGGAGGTGCGTCTGCCAAGAGCAAGCTTTGCAGCGCCGTAACGACCCTGTCCGCCGCCTCCCTCATCCCGCCCAGGTTGAAGGCGGCGGGACCGATCTGGAGAGCCGAGTAGGCTCCCACGACAAACAGGGGCAAGCCGCTGGCGTACTGCAGATCCTGCGTCAGGACCGGCAGACCGCCGTGGTGCGCGATCGGCCGGCTTGAGGTGAGCTCGCGCATGAAGGGTAGCGCGGAAAAGTCGAGCGAGGGACCCGTGGCGCTGAGAATGTAGTCGACCTCGAAGGTGCTTTGGCGGGGCGATGCGGGCGTCGAGGAAGCGGTGGCGGTGGTGCTGGTGGTGGTGTCGGAATCGAAACGGGCGCTGGTCGGCGACGAGGGTGGCGCTACGTCGTCCTGCGATGAAGACGAGGAAGAAGTGGAAGGCGAATCGAGGACGTCGCGATGCTCTGCCTTTATGCGGAGCCACTCCTCCTTTGACCGCCTCTTGTCCTCGTCAGCCATGGCCTCCCATTCTTCCCTCGCGGTTCTCTCTTCCTGCTTCGCCTTCGTCCTCTTCGAAACTTCGCCACACCACTCTGTCGTGACTGTCCACCGCTTTCCCTCTTCATCCCACTGCGTCTCGCGGCACTCTTCAAACGTCCTGATCTCGACCCTGCCCCTCTTCTCCAGCTCCCTCAGCAGTCGGGCGTACGGCGGGGTGACGCTCCCGCCGTTCCTCGCCTGCCTCAACATGCGCAGTCTCTCAGCGCCGTCTTCCGTCTGCCAGAAGTGCATCTTGGCCAAGTTGCTGTAGCGGCCCATCCACTCGAGACCGATGTCGAACGGCCGCACCTTGAGGTGGCCACGGAGGAGAAGGATTACCTTTTCCACGCCCCGATGCAGGGCAAGCGACGCCAGCTGCGCAGAGGTGAGTCCGCCGCCGATGAGCAGGAGCGTTGTTGGTCGGCCTGCTGCGATCCGGTGCGAGAGGTAAGCAGGCGGAAAGGTGAAGCTGGGCTGCGCAAAGGCCGATGAGTGCGCCCAACCCTCACTGAACGGCGGCGGGGGCGGCAGCTGAGGCGCCTCGGGTCGCGCGGCTGCATCAGCTTGTGGCCTTGCTGCCTCGAGGAAGGAGGGTATGTTGGGTCGACCTCCCGGCCCGACGGCGCTCACGACCGCCCGGGCTCCAAAGGTGGTGCCATCCGCAAGGCTCAGGTGGAATCCCGCCGTCTCGCCGGCGATGCCATTATGGACTGCATCAAGCCATTCCAGATGGACCACCTCTCCCTTGAGCATGGTGACCGGCGCCTCATTTCGGACGGAGTCTTCATGATGAGACTCGGTCCAATCGACCGCATCTGGCCATCTACCTGCGTCACAGGTACCTCGAAGGCCATAGCGCTTCACGACGCCGTCCTGGATAAAGTCGCGGAAGAGGTCGGTGCTGGGCGTGAAGTAGTCTTTGCGATCGCGCTCGTTGACGGCAGGGCCGTAGATCTTGAGAAGGCGGGCGTAGTGACGGTCGTTTCGCTGGGCTTTGCACTTGTGCTTCGACACCTCGCGTCCCACGACGCCTGGGATCTCGACCAAGTCCGGCGGTGCCGCTGTTTCGCTCGACGAGACTGCTTCGAACGAACGGCGCTTTGTCCTACCTCTCGTCTTGGGACGATGGGAACGCTGCTGTGGCGAGCAGACATCGTCGTGGGCGGCCAGAACACTTTGCCAGACGAAGTCGGAGCTGCCCTGCCTCGACTTGCCTTCCCTCTGGGCGAATGCGAGGAGCGCATCGAGGTCCGAGGGATCCGGGTGGAAGAACAGCGGCGAACGGAGGTGTCGAATCTCGTAGGCGGCAAAGAGACGATGCCAGAGAGCCATCCACCCTTCGCCGATCTTGTCAATGACGAGGATGCGTATCCTCCCATCGCAGTCGCAGGCTCCTTGGCCGCCGTCTCCGAGGCTCTTCGGGTCGGCGCGCCGGTGTCGCGTCGATCTCGATCCGTCCTTGCGCGTCCGGACGAGCGGCGTCGTCGGGCGGCGCGCGGACCGATTGAGCCAGTGCAGATGGCGGTGCTCATCTTCGGTGTACAGCGCCGCGGGTCGCGATTCGAGGATCCGGCAGACGAGGGCGAGGGCTGCTGGGCCGGATCCGATGACGACCAGGTCGAAGAAGGCCGACGGTTCCGGCGCGGGTGTGCGGGTGACCTTGACCGCGCTCGATGCGGCCTCTGTCTGTATTGCCTGGTCGAGCGAGGGAGTGATGCGGTGCGGAGCGAGGCCTTTCATCGTCGAGCAGGTATGGTCTTGGGGCAGCGTGTTGTCGTCCTGGAGATGTGGGTGAGTGGGCCATCATCGAGGCTCTCGTATCCTGCTCCTTTATCACCGGGCGTGCGAGGGCGCTACCTTCTTCGATACTCGAAGGCAACCGACCGCTTTCCGACCCGGAGAGGAGCTCTCGGGTACCCTTGTGGCCATCATGGTCTCCATTCGGCAGCAGTGAGACGTGATGCTGCAGGATGTACCGTTTAATCGTGGCCACGACCCAGACGACGACGGTCGCGGTCATGACTGGCAAGGTACTCCCACTTAAGGCCCTCCCTACCTTTCGAGCCGCCGACTTCTCTGATCAGCCCTCTAGCTTTACGCAGTGTTCCAGACGACGAGCTTGGCATCCTCGCTGAGCGGATGTATGGGTTGAGCGAGTCGGTGGTGCTCAGAGCGGCATGAGTTAGGATGGCAGCGAGGAGTGAGGAGGATCGGCTCACCGTCGTGGCCCAACCTGACAGGTCCACATCCATGCTGCGACCCCTCTGCCGTACGAGTCAGTCTAGCCAGCCTGGGAACGTACGTAGCATCACGGCACCACGGCGGAGGGTGGTGTGATGCGTTGGGCCTGCGAGGGCTGTCAAACGTGCGCAGCCCGGCTGTCAAAGGAAAGTGACCTGGCGGTGCCGTCTGCAACACCACCTTCCAAGACTTCCGTCGCCATCATCCCGGCTCGCCATCACACCATTCAATCTCATATCCCCTCAGATCCCGTCGCGCGAGTCGCGACCCTCATCGAATAGGCAGCTCCCTGGTGGCGCCTTTGGATGCGCCGAGCGTTGCCTGTGAAACGACAGGGTGCACTCTGCCTCTGTGCGTCGCTGATCCTGGATCTTCTTCGGGAGGGGCCAAGGATCGCCCTCTCTTCATATTCTCACGGCAGCTCGCGCGCCAGCGGCATTGCGTGATGGCCCCGCCGTCCTGACCCACGGTAGCCTCCTTATCTATCCGCCGCCGTCCAAACGTCTACCCCACTGACAATCCTCGCACAGAGCTCATCTTCTTGACCTTGCCGAAAGCATGAAGTGCTGCGTCTCCTCCATTGAGCCTTCGTCCTCCTAGCAGGTTCAAAGCTCCCTCCTCGCCCTCCAAGCTTCGCGCTCGGTTCCCCTTTTGGGTCGATTTCAATCTATCGAGAAGATGGCAACATACCGACCAACCCAATGGCACCATCGACATTATGCTGCCCCCGCTCCGTCAGCACCAGATCTAGCTCGATAGCCGCCGCCGGTGGCATGCAGGCACGGTACACATGGCAAGCTGGTCTTCAAGGCAATCACGAGCGTTGGTCACAGAGTCCCGACGCAGCGTCGAGATCATGCAAGGAAGGAGGAGGCGGTCGCTGCCCCGCACCGGTCGAACGCGATGAAGCCTACAGTATCTCTGACTCGAGGTGCTGACGGGCAGGCCGGGCTGGTACAGTAGCCGCTGCGGGTCAAAGATGATGGCTCGTGGACGCAGAGCTTGCTGCCCATTCACGTCGGCCCCACATGCTACATAAGAACCAGCGCTCGACGTCCTGTTGCGCAGCTTGAAGGGCAAGTCTCGCCCCTCTTCTTGCTACCGCACCTCGCTCAAAGGTCGCTCCAACCAGTCCCTCGCCTTCGTCACCCCTTCGCATCTGCCACGATGCCATCGACGCCGCCCCTGTCGCAGGGCGTTGGCTATGGCGTTGTCATCGGCCTCGGGGCGCTCTTCGCCATCGTCGTCGTCGGCATCTCGCGCTCGTTGACGCGCTTCGCCGGCCTCTCCAAGGACGCCGAGGAGTTCTCCGTGGCGCGCCGTTCGCTCGGCACGGGCCTGACCGCGGCCGCCGTCATCTCGTCGTGGACGTGGTCGACGACGCTGCTGTCGAGCGTGTCGACGGCGTACAACTACGGCGTGGCGGGCGCCATGCTCTACGCCTCGGGCAACTGCACCCAGATCGTCCTCTTTTCGACACTGGCCATCCAGCTCAAGCGGCGCGCCCCCTCGGTCCACACCTACCTCGAGCTGGTCCGGCTGCGCTTCGGCCTGCTGCCGCACCTCACCTACATCTTCTTTGCGCTCGCCACCAACATTCTCGTCTGCAGCTCCGTCCTCCTCGGCGGCGCGGCCGCCATCAACGCCATCACGGGCGTCAACGTATATGCCTCCCTCTTCCTCCTGCCCGCCTCGGTCGTCGCCTACACCCTCCGCGGCGGCCTCCGCTCCACCATCCTCGCAGACTACCTCCACACCGTCGTCATCTTCATCATCCTCTTTGTCTTCTTCCTCCGGACCTACGCCACCTTCCCGCAGCTCGGTTCGCCAGCCGCCGTCTACCAGAAGCTGGTCGAAGCCAGCGTCCCTGGCCCGGTCGAGGGCAACTACGAGGGCTCCTACCTCACCCTGAAGACCAGCGGCGGTGTCCAGTTTGCCTGGCTGAGGTGAGTGCCCGGGCCTGCTGCCGGCCATCTTTGCTGGCACGGAAGCCCCCACTTCGGCCATTGTCCGCGGCAAGAAAATCGCCTCGACGCGTGTCCTGACCGTCCTTCTTCTTCCACCACAACCATCCCTACCCATCCATCCCTCCTCTCTCGCAACACAACCACCTACATCGCCTCGTTCTCATGCCGTCTGCACCGCCAGCTTCATGGAATACACGGGCGTCGTATTCCTAGACGCCAGCTTTCACCAAAAGGGCGTCGCGGCGACGCCAGAGGCAGCGCTGCCAGGCTATTTGATCGGCGGCCTGGCATGGTTCTCGATCCCGTTCTGCCTGGCAACGACGGCGGGCCTAGCGGCGCTCGCGCTCGAGACGACGTCACCCTCTTTTCCGACCTACCCAAACCGCATCCCGCCCGCGGACGTCAGCGCCGGACTCGTGCTGCCCTACGCGGCGCAGGCCATCCTGGGCAAGGGCGGATCCGCGGCGGTGCTGCTGCTCATGTTCATGAGCTGCACCTCGGCCATCTCGGCGCAGATGGTCGGCGTGTCGACGGTGGTGTCGTACGACATCTTCAAGACCTACTTCCGGCCCAGCATCCGCTCCGACTCGCTGCTGCGCGTCAACCAGGTCGTCGTGGTCGGCTTCGGCCTGTTTGCCGCGGCGTTCGGCTCGCTGCTACACGGCATCGGCCTTGACCTCGGCATCATCTACAACCTCACCGGCATCTTCACGGGCGCCGGGCTGAGCCCGCTCATCTTTATCTTCTTTGACCACCGCCTGCATCCGCTCGCCGTCTTCCCGGGCATCTGGGTCAACTTTATCGCGGGCGTCGCCGTGTGGCTCGGCGTGGCGTACAAGGAGTACGGCGTCATCAACCTCTCGTCGGTCGGCGGCCTCACCCCGTGCCTCTCGGGCTGCGCGACGGGCATCGGCGTCGGTCTGGTGGTGTCGACGCTCAGCGTCCTCTTCTTCCCGCGTCCCTTTGACTGGTCCACCATCCCGCACCTCCTCAAACAGCAGCAGCAGCAGGCCAAGGCCCTCGGCGGCGACAGCGACGATGCAAGCGACGACGAGGTCGAGATTGTCGAAAACGACCCTCGGTACAGCAAGGTGCGGCTGGACCGGAGCCTCCGCATCGCGCTAGCTGCGGGCGCCACCGTCTTCCTCGTCATCACCATCATCTGGCCCTTTTCCCTCTACCGCGACTACATCTTCGGCAATGGCTTCTTCACCGGCTGGGTCATTGCCAGCTTCATCTGGGCCTGGCTCGCCTTTTTCGGCGTGGGCATCTACCCGCTCTACGAGGGCCTGCCCGTCTTCAAGCAGATCTGGCACGGTCTCGCCGCGCACCTCGCCGGGCGACGCCTCGACGGCCAGAGAGCGAGGTCGTCGACGACGACGACGACCAGGTCGGGCAGCCAAGACGATGGTCGCATCCCGACGCTCGAAAAGTCTGCACGGGGAGCTCCGGCAGACGGAAGCGGGGCGAGGAGCACCGCGAGCGACCAAGGGTCCGACGAGATTGCCAAAGGCCCTCGCACCTCGCCCGGGAGCGAGAACGAAAAGGTCATCGCCCTCGCCTAAACGGCCCACCGAGCCCGCTCCTCTCGTGCCTCGTCCCTCTCCCCTCTTCCGCCTCTCCGCCCTAGCTTCCCGATCGCCGCCTCGCCTCCTTTATACCAGACCTCATCCTTCTGACCCCGCGCCTCACGCTCCTGTCCCCTGATAGCCTCGCTGCGGCGCAACGAGATGAATGACGTGGTATTGAATGCGCTTGGTGGTGCTGGCTGAGCTGGGCTGGGCTGGGCTGCTACAGAGAATGGCCCATGTCGCGACGACGGCGCCGCATGTGCTGTGCTGAACGGGGGAAAACGTGGTGCGTGTGGTGTGTAGGTGCTGGGGCGCGACAATGCTAGGATGGGAAAAGAGGATGCCTCTGACGGTCGGGACTCGTCGACCGATCCTCGTACGAAATCCGGCGCAACCAGTTGCGGAATGAGTGAGTGTCCTCGGACGATCCGCCGCGGACTTGACGCCGTGCGGGGTATGTACAGAATGAACGTCGAGAGGGAAGGGCGGCGCTGAGGGCCCGCGCCCCGGCCCTTCAGTACTTCCACGAGCCGCGGAAGAGGTGGACGAGCCGCGAGGTCGGCTGGATCCTGTCGGCCGGGTTGAAGCCAGACGAGGGGAGGATGACAATGTCGCGGATCTGGACGGGCTGCGTGAGGCCAACGAGATCCTCGGGCCGGACGCCGGCGGCGGCGTAGAGGTACGAGACGACCGCGTCCGTCCAGACGGCGGGGCCCGTCCACTCCTCGACGCTGTTGGTGTGCCAGCCCCAGCGCCACGCGCCCGCCTGCCACTTCCACTGGTAGTGAATCGTCTGCCAAGGCTCCGAGGTGCGCTCCCGGCGCGCCTGGGCCTGCTCGGTGCGGTGGTGCGGGTCCCGCTCGCCCCATCCCCATCCGTCGGCGAAGCCGTCGCGCTCCTTTTCGGCCTCGTTGGCGCGGTAGATTTCCGACGCCTGCAGCACGCGGCGCAGCACGTCGAGCAGGATCGGGTGGTTGGGCGCCAGGTGCATCGTCCACTGCACAAACTGCAGCGAGCGGTGGCGGTTCATGGGCAGGATCCTCGCGCGCTCAAACCAGGCGCGGATGCTGGCGTTTTCCGTCGGGTCCGACTCGATGCCGATAATGGCGCGGATCGGCTCCCGCTCCCGCTCCACGGCGGAATTGACCCCAGCAGCGTCCTTGCCATCGGCCAGCCTGGCCTTGACCGCCGCCGCTGCCGTCTTCTTCCACTGCAGCGACGGGCTGCCGACCATGTTGGTGAAGAGGACATCGCCGTGGTCGGGGAGCAAGGTCGAGAGCGGGACGGCGTCCTTGGCCCAGTCCGACAGCGGCATCAGGGGCACCGTGTCCATGTCGCTCCAGGTGCCTCCTTCGAGCAGCAGCAGGAGGTACCGCAGCAGGTCCGCCTTGAGGATGAAGCGGGGCATCTCGTCCCAGATCCGCTTGATTTCGGTGCCATGCCAGTGCTTCTCTACCCACGCCTCGGCCGCCGCGTCGTCGAGGAACTTGGGGTCCGCGCCCATTTGCGTCCACTTCGATGCCCAGACGTTGGGCGCGGGCTTGCCGTCGGAGGACCAGATGGTCTTGGGCACGACGCTCCAGGGCTTCTTGGGGTCGGACGGCTCCTGTCCAGCTTCGAGAATCGATGGTGGCGGGTATCGAATCTGGTCAAGGTGGCGTGAGAGGGCGCTGCGGGCATGCTCGGTGGGGATCTGGGTGGCGAGGGTTTGATTGAGGTATTTGAGGTACAGCTCGGGCGGCAGGTTGATGTAGTTTGGCGGACGGAAGAAGGTGTAGGCGCAGATGTAGAGGGTCGACGCGATCGCGAGAGCGACGGCGAAGAAGAGACATCTCCGTGACGGCCGCTTCCTCGATAGGCGCGGGATGATGGTCGTGTAGCGCGAGGGCGGACGGTAGCCTGGGGGCGGAGAGGTGATGCGCTCTGCTCCGTCTATCGAGTAGATCGAGTCGGAATGGACGCGATCCGTGGACCCTCCGGCGATGTTGCCGTCGTCGTGGCCGTGGTAGAGGGGCGAGTAGGCTTGTCGCTCCTTGAACGAGAGCGAGACCTCCTTTGTGGGGGAGCGGTAGGGCTGCAGGCCGATGCCGCGGTCCGCCGAGGAGCCCTTTGCGCCGAGACCCAGGATGTTGAACATTGCAAATGGCGGAAAGGAGCGTATTTGATGCCGAGGGGGCTGGGAAAGGGCGCTGGGCCTGTCCGCCGAGGTCCTCGTCTCTACCTTGTACCTGCGAACCGACGCGTCGAACGAGGCTGGGGAGAGCTCTGATGGCGTACGGCGGCTGCGAGGAGCCGGGAGAGCTGTTTGAGGGTCACGTTCGTCGGCGGAGCCCGGGCGGTGCTGTTGCAGGTGGGTCGAGGTCGGCGCTGCTAAGGAACGGAGTTGAGAAGTGGGCAAGACCCTGAAAGGAGCGGAAGGGGCGCCGAAGACCGAGACCGTGAGTGGCGGTGCCTAGGCAGCGATTTTGTGTCGGGCCACGCCGCGGGAAGACGAAGGCAGCTGGCGGAAGCGGTGTTGCGATGGTGGCGGAGGTAGTGGTGGTGGAAGTGAAGGATTGTGGGCCCATGTACAGGACGGCCGGTGGGGTCGAGGCGTCGAGGGAGAGGCCCAAACGGCGGCAGGGGGTGCGGCGCTGCGTCGGCGTGTCAAAAGGAAAAGCTGCTTGCAAGAAGGCCAGCAAGAAGGCGAGGAGCCCGGCCGCCCCGCCTCATTCCCGAGCAAGCGCAGGCAGCCGCCGCCTCTCTGTGGGGGAGCTGTGGCCAGCCTAGCCAGCCCGGCCTCGCCCTGGTGTGGCACGGATCGCCCCGCAACCGGTTCAGAAGCAGCCCCCCGGTGCTCCTTTGCAAGGTCTCGAGGGCGAAGCACGGTTCGACGAACCGATACGACAGATCGATGACTGCCGCCAAACAAAGCGCCGCCCCCTGGCCCCTCGGTCGGCCGTTTGCTTCGCAGCGCCATGCTCAGCCCAGCCCGTCCCGAACATTCAAGCGGGCGCAGAACAGGCAGGTTCGTTCGTCAGAATGCAAGGCAAGCTTACTCGCAAGCCGGCTCGACCTGCTCCCATCCTCGAGACGCCTAGGTTAGGGCTGTGCCCCTCGCTCCGATGTTTGCTTTCTTCTCACCCTTCTTGCCCCTAGCTAAGCCGGCTCGCCCTCGATGTCCGAGCCTGGCAACGCCGCTTCAGATGTCGCCCTGGCCCTCGAGCTCGTTCGTCGGTCGCGCGTTCTGCCCCCTTCCCCTCGACGACCTCGAAGAAGGCTTCCGGACTTGGCCTGCGATAAGGAGGCGGCGTGGCCCTGCCCTGCCGGGCAGCTGCAATTGGACGACGGCGTCCGTCCTTGACCGTGCGCAGAGGCCGGGCCCATCTACGTACTGGACGGTCGTATTTCGTTTGCAGTCAGGCGAGCCTGCTGGCCCCTCAATTGTTCGCGCTGCAAATCGTGAGCCGCCCCTCTGCCTCTCCCTCCTTCCGAAGCATCCAGGCAAGCTCGCGAAACCGAATCACCCAAAGGCAGGCACTCCGCCGACGAGCGTCTTCGCCTTCGCTTTCGATATGGCGAATGCCTGCACCGCCCCGCGGACCAGCCGAGACGGGCCAGGGCAAGCCCAGGCCAGGATTCGGCCTGTCTGCTGCTCCCATCGGCCCAAGCCGAACTCTGCGACAGCAGCATCAGGTAGGCCGGCCTCCCTTTGGTCGAGGATCTCGATGCCGGTCGACGACGATTCGGCACGACCAGGATGCCGAGATCCCAAGCCACCATGATCGAGAGGGGGCAAGGGAGCGAACGGCCGGCAGGCTGGTGGGTAGGGCAGGGCTCGTCTGCGTGTGTGTGTACGTGGGCCTCGCTGCGTCGTCGGGAAAGCGGAACGTGGACACCCACCGAGCAAGAAGCGCACGAGCAGCAGGCCAGTCGGGCAGCCGGCAGCTGCCTGCCTACCTGCTGCTTCTTTTTCGCTGCGCACAACTGGAGCCTTCGCTTCGACTTTTGGCCTCGGCATGCACTTTCATGGGCGCCTAGACCGCAGCGGCCAACTGGCCAGCAAGCAGGGCAGCACAGGGCAGCACAGGGCAGCCTGATCCCAAGCGAGCCGCCGCCTGCGCATGCAGCTGAAACCCCGCCGGTTGGGCTCAACGTTTCCGGCCTCTCGCCAGCTGCTGCTGTAAAAACAGACCGCCGCCCGCCTCGAGAACCGGTACCGCCGCCTCGACGGTGCAGGCTCGGCCGCCCGCTACACTATGCTGAGGTACCTGCGCATGCTTGCAGGCTCTCTCGCAAACTTCGGACCTAGGTTGCGTCTACGGCATCGCATCATGGAGCAAGAAGCAGACAGAGCAGGTCTGCGGAAGTCAGCGTACCGGCCGAAGCAGGCGTCGACATCGCCGTGCGGGCAGGACGCGAGGGGGGTCCGTTGATGGTCGCTGCGCTGAAATCCTCGGCATCGTCAGACGGCATCGAGTGACGAGCGAGGCCTGCCGGTCGCACCGCCGAGGCACGAGAGGAGGCGAGCTGGTCAGGCCGGCCACGCCGAGCTGAGCGGGGCGAATGGTTGATCTCGAATACAAAGAAGCGGGACAGGCAGCGATTACAACCTCTTTGAAACACGCCTGCCGAAGAATTGAAATCGAGCGGCAGCGTCCGTGCCTCGCCGGCTGCACCTCTTTCCCGGCCGGTAGAAAATGAGACACGCACATGTCGACGAGCCAACACACTTCTGGCAGCCATCTCAACGACCTTCCCGGCGGTGCCGGGGAGGGGCATCAAGCAGGCGAAAGCGCCGATACGAGAAGCGACCCCTTGCTCTTCACTGCCAACCTTTGCAGCCCTAGTTATGGGGAACTGCCGGCCGAAGGGATGTGTTCGCGGAGCGTATGCTTACGACCGCGCAATGATAAATAGGAAGCACCTCCCGGCTGGAAGGCTGGGCTAGAGGTACAGTAGTAAAGCGGAAGAGAACGAAGGGGACAGGCGACTACACTGGGCTCACCACGAGGCGAGGCGAGCCTCGCGCTCGAGGTCGACGGTGCCGAAGCCGGCCGCCTGGGCCTCGCGGGCAATGTCGGCCCAGAGGCCCTTGTGCGGGTGGCCCTTGGGCTTGATGAAGCTGTCGATGGCGTGGAAGACACCGTTGGCGGCGGGCAGGTCCTGCACAATGACGGGGACGCCCTGGACGACGACGCGCGTCTGCAGGGGTCCCTTGCCGCCGGGGACGAGGTGGTAGCGGTAGACGTCGACGTCGACCTGCTCGTACTCGCCCTTGCCCGTGCCGTTGATGGCCGGCAGGACCGAGTCAAAGGTGTACGACGTCTTCTGCGAGTCGTCGTCGACGCTGATCTCACGTGGGGTGGCGGGGCCGCGGTGCTTCTTGCTGCGCTCGACGTGGTGCACAAAGTCGGCGTAGACGATGTCGCTGGGCAACGAGTGGAGCATAAAGACCTTCTGCAGCAGGTGGTAACCCCACGGGCTGAAGAGGTAGGCGCGGAAGGTGAACGGCAGCTTGCTCCAGGCCAGGTTGGTGGGCGCGAAGAAAGTCTCGGCGGCGACACCGGGGAACGAGTCCTTGTCGTCGCCGTCCTTGCCGTCGTGGTGGCCGTGGCCGTGACCGTGACCGTGGAAGGGGCGGTAGGCGAGGTACTTGGCGGCGTGCACCTTCTGGAGCGCCGACGTCGTGGTCGAGAAGGTCGTCTGGCCGAAGAAGAGGCTCTGCAGCACGTCCGGGGGCAGCAGCAGCGGGTACTTGATGGCGTGGATCAGGCCGTTCTGCGCCTTGAGGTCGGGCTTGACGACGCGCGAGTAGGTGTTGAGGTAGATGCCGGGGATGGGCAGCAGGCTCTTGCCGACACGGATGCGCCAGTCGGTGCCGTCGTTGTACCTGTGCTCTGTGCCCGTGTTGAGCTGGCTGGCTACGGTGCTGTTTTCGGCCAGCGTCTTGCTGTCGATGGGCTCGTCGGAGCGCACCAGGTGGTAGTAGGCCTCGGCATCGATAAGGTGCTGGATGATCTCACGCCTACGCTTCTTGTTGTCGTCGTCGTCGTCGTGGCCGCCGCCGTGGCTGGCGACGCCGTAGTCTTGCTCGAAGAGGGCAATATGGTGCTCGATAAAGTTCCAGTGCTGTGTGGCTGCGTGGCGGTGGGCGAGCGCCTGGTGGTCGCCGTCGTGGTCGTCGCCGTCGCCGCCGTGGTGCTCGCCGTGCCAGTTGACGGGGGCGAAGAAGGTGAGCTTCTTGTCCTTGCTGTCGAGGAGCTGCTTGGTCGAGTCGCTCGAGTAGTTGAGGACGTGGGCGAGCTGACGGAAGTCGTCGTTGCCGTTGATGATGTCGAGAATCGACTTGCCCTCGTCGCCGTCGGCTAGGCTGCCAGCGCTACCGCCCAAGCCAAGCGAGTGGGTGATGGCATCGGCGGCCTTGGTGGCCCAGTTGAGCGTGGCCGACTGCAACGAGCTGCTCAGGGCGACCTGGTTGGCCGAGGCGACCGGGTCGACGTAGAAGAGCGAGGGGGCGGCCTGGACGGCGGCGCCCTGGAGCACGAGCGCTCCCGCAAAGAGACTGAGGCCTCTCATATGGACCAGTAGTGGTGGTGGACCTCGGTGGCGGTGTATGTGTCTGGATGGGGGCGCGGTGCACGGAGAGAGACTGGGCGCCAGAGGAGAGGTTGAGGGTGTCCAGGAGGAGAAAGTGGCAACCTCGAGGCGGGCTATATACCTCGACGAGGGCTGTCCGGCCGGCTGACTGAGGGCAAATGCATGCTTCGGAAGCCCTGCCCGGCGAGGTTGAGCGCCGAGTCTCGAGAGAGGGAGAGAGGGAGGGGTGCCAGCAGAGGAGTGTGCCCACCAAGGCGGAAGGCTCCAGGCGGCCAGAGGGTGGACGATGCGGTGACGAAGGCAGGGTCAGAACAGAGGCAGGGGGCGGCCGGGCCGAAGCCACGATGCTCGGGGTCGACTCAAAGGCAGGCAGGCGTTACGTAGGCCAGCGACCCTGGTTGGCCGCGGGGCTCTTCCCCGCACCCGTACACGAGCCAACCCCAAGGGCTTGACTTGGCTTGCCTGCTTGCTGGCCTGCCTGCCTGTTGCGCGCGCCCACCAGCAAAAAAAAAAAAAAAAAAAAAAAGGTCGAGCTCAAAAGACCGACGGAGAAGCACGACAGACGTCTCCCTCTCTCTGTCAAAGAAAAAAAAAATGTGGAGGCTTGCCTTGCCTAGCTGCTCTTGTCCGCCTCACAGCCAGCCAGCCAGCCAGCCAGGAGGATCGAGCCCAATTGTCAGCAAACACGCGTACGATGCCAAGGCAACCCCAAGCGCGGCCTCGGCCCGGACGCAACGTGGTGGGGGCGGGGGTAGCGCATGCTGTAGCCTTTGGACGACTGCTTGCTTGCTGGGTTGCTTCTGTACGCTAAAGGGGATGAGCTTATTCGTCATGACCTCGACCCTCGACCCTCGACCCTCGACCCTCGACCATCGACCATCGAACGCGGCTGCTGACGATCTTCCGTTCCGGCGGACCTGCCTGCAAGCGGGTCGGTTGCTCCGGCCTGGACCCTCCGACACCAGCCCCCTTCGCTGTCTCCTTCCCTGCTACCGCTGGCGCTGCTGGTGCTGCTGCTCTCGCTGCTGCTGCGGTGATGAGAAGGTCAGTCGCCCCTCGCGCCCCTGGTGTTGGACGTGACGCCCTGCTGTCCGCCCGCGCTCCCGCCCTGCTCGACCTCGGCCTGCATCTCGGCGCCTCGCGTGATGTCGTCCAGCAGGTCGTCCATCTGCTCCTCGAGCGTGCGCAGCCGCTTGCACAGGCTCTCGTACCGCTCCTCGTTCTTGGCCGCGTTGTCGTGCAACAGCTGCACCAGCTGCATGTGACGCTGCTGCGCCAGCAGCTCGCGCTTGCGGTTCTCCTTGTCGAGCAGGTTGAAGATCTCGCTGATCGAGGGCAGCACCATGTTCAGCGGGCCGTTGATCGCCGCCATCTGCGCCGGCGTCGACGCCATCGAGCTACCGCCAGCCGCCGGCGCGTGGTGGTGCACCACCTTGTTGGGACGCTGTGACGCAGCCGCACTGCCCGGGACTGTGGTCGAAGGGACCGTTGGGGTGCGGTGCGCCGGGATCGCCACAGACGCTGCAACCGACGGCAGGTTGGCCGGCGCAGCCTGCCTACCGTTGGCCGGTGTCGTGGGCAGCGACACGGTCGATGGTCCCGGAACCCCCGGGCCGTTGCCGTTCAGTCGAGCCGGCGTGGTGTCGGGAGCCTGCGACACAGTCGGAAGCGGCGAGAACTGTCAGCATGGACACACAGGCGGCCACCTTCCTGGCCAACTCGCGCTCCGACTCACCACCTGCCGGGGACCCGGGCTAGACTTGCGCGGACGCTTGAGGGCGCTGCCCATGGCCGGGCTCGAACCAAGCTCCTGCTGCCGCTTGTTCAGCTGCCGGAGCCTGGCGGCCTCGCCTCCCAGTGGCGGCGGCGGCAACGTTCCCGACGTCTGCGGGATCGCGCGAGTCGGACAGACGGCGAGCGATGAATGAGCGTCAGCGGCAGCAGTCAGTGAGCCGATCCTCGTCGGGGGCGCTGCTGCGCGACCTGCACTCACGCCGTTGGGGTACTCGTCGGTCTGGTCGAGGAATCCGAGCCGACAGCCCTCGACGATGGGCTTGCACCGGAGGTTGGTGAGGGCGGCTTCGATCAGGTCAAAGTTGACCCTCGCCTCGACACGGTAGCTGTCTGGGTCCGCCTTCCACTCGTCGTAGTCCTGCTTGCTGGGGCCCTTGTGGTACTCGTGGAAGCGCTCGGGGTTGTTTTGGGCCAGCGCATAGACCGGGTGAATGTAGAAGCGAAAGAGGAGGCAGCCGAAGCAGTACGAGGCGTGGCAGGGGCGGCACTTGTAGCGGCTCGTGTTGTTGAGCACCGCCTTGCAGATCCGGCACGTGGCGAAGGCCACATCCGGGCTCTCTCGCAGCTTGCGAAGCTTGCAGGCCGCCGTGTAGCTGCGCGGGAAGCTCGACTCGATCAGGTCGCGCTCCTCGATCACCCTCGGTACTTCTCCAAGCTGTTGGTGGTGCGGCGGAACCGCCTGGAGCCAGTTCCTGACGGCCTGATTGCGGATCTCGAGGCGGTAGGTGAACGGGTGCAGCTGGCTCGGCTTGAGCGCCAGCGGGTCGCTGCACGGGCACAGCCGGCCCTGGCAGTAGCACATCGGGCATAGCGTGTTGCCCTCGGGGCACTCGAAGAAGCTCTGCAGCACATGCGCCCCGCAGAAGTCGCACTCGACGTAGGCGTCGGGCGAGCCGATGACGGTGTGCGTCTGCCAGTCCGGGCTGTACTCGTCGACCAGGATCTGATCGTAGAGCATGATCAGCGTGCGCACCTCTTCGGCCGTGCGGCCGTCGTGTTCCGGGATCCAGCCCTCGCCTTCGCCCGGCAGCGTCATCGACCTCTTCTTGAGGTTGGCTTCGATCACGGCCCTAACGCGGAAGATCTCCTTCTTGCAGAAGCGCTGGTAGAGCGGCAGGTCCTCGTGCAGGGTCGTCTCGAGGCTCGGGACGGTGAGGCGGGACCAGGCCACCTTGAGTGTGCGGCCGCCCTTGTTGATGTTCTGATACATCGACCGCGACGGCAGCAGCACCAGATCGCCGACGGTCTGCTCGGCCACGTGGATGGGGAACGGCGCGGCACGGAGCTCTTCGAGCGTGAGGCAGTAGCCCTCGGGCTGCTTGTCGCGGCCGAGTTGCGCCAGGTACCGCTCCGCCGCCTTGGAATGCTCGCTGGTCGTGGCGAACCAGATCGACGACGAGCCGGCGTCGCCGTAGACCATCATGTTCTGCCCGAGGCTGGAGCAGGCGTCGCGGCCGAACGGCGTCCACGTGTCCCCGGGGCCAAAGTGGCACTGCATCGTGTCGGGCCGCTGGTGCACCTGAAGCATTGCCACGGCGTCGCCGAGATCGTGCAGGCTGGCCCCCTTGTTCGTCATGCCGTTGACCTTGTCGCGCCACAGCCGTGGGCATTTCAGCTCCTTGCAGTAGAGGCGTGAGGTGTCGTGCGACAGGATATGCGGCTTGGCCACCTTGGCGTAGTTGAACAGCTCCTCTATTCGGAGTGGCATGTCCTGGCCCGTCAGCAGGTTGCGCACCGGGACCTGCGTCGCGCCGCCAGAGAGCTGCCGGAAGTGGTCGAGCTCGAAGTGAGCGCTGTCCCAGAAACCGGACTCGACGTGATGGTTGTAGATCACCAGCGGCTCGCCCCTCTCCTCGACGATGGTCCGGATGATGATCTCGAGCTCGTCCGTCAGGACCTTTGCATCGACGCGCTGCATCTGGACAAAGGGTCCTCGGCCGCTAGAGGCTTCGGCAGCAATGTCGGCAAAGTTGAGGTCCATGGCCCTCGACTTGGATCCGCTGTCGGGGCGGTGCATTGGACTGGACTGGCCCGTCAGTGCATTGCCTGCAGGGACAGGAGACTGGGACGGATGGCCGACGTGCGCCGGCAAGGACTTTTGCGGCACCGATGCCGCTGGTGGGTGTGGCAGCGTGGCCATAGGGGGCGTCGCATAACCGACGCGTGGGGCGGCAGAAACGCCCGGGGTTGTGGCTGCCGCAGCAAGGGGGTGTGCAGGCGTGTTGCTTCCCGGAGCTGTGACGGCGGCGGCAGCTGCAGTCGCGGGCGCCGGCGTAGGCGCTGACACTGGCGCAGCACCGGCAGGAGCGCCCGGCACAGATGCAGATACCGAGGCGGATGTGGTAGGAGCAGTATCGCGCGCAGCGGCTGGCAGAGCAGGGGCTGGCGCAGCACTGGACGCAGTGGCAGGCGCAGTGGCTGACGCGGTGGCGGGCACCTGTGCGGACACAGTGGGAGGTGCGACGGCGGTCGCAGGCGCAGGCGCAGGCGCAGAGGCAGGCGCAAGCGCAGGAGCGACGACGGATGGGCCGGCACTCGCCGCTGCCTGATCGTCACCGGCGGGCGTCGGGGACATTCGGGGCGCCGACATGCTGAACAGCGATCACGGGCGGTGACGAAGCCGGCAGAGCGGTGGCGATGGTGATGGTGATGTGATCGCACGAAGACGGCCAAGGAAGCCGAGGGATGGCACTAGAGTGATCGATGGCCTGCGTGCTGCGCTGTGCGCAGTCGCGGCTTGTGCTGCGGCGCGCACGGTTGTGCGGAGTCGTGGAGGGAGCTGCTCCGAATTTATTTTTTTGACCGGCGTCGGAGAGAAGCGGGCTGGTTGCGGATGGGGATTGCGATGACGAGCTCTCGAAGGCGCGGAGTGCCGATCCCCTTGCGCGTTGGTGGGCGCCCTTTTTTTCGGCCGCGGTCCGAGGGCGCGAATCCGAGATGGGTGGAGCGGCGCGGTCGATGTCGGGCCAACAGCAGCGACAGCCAGGTAGGCGAGATCAGGCTGGTGGCGGTGGAGAGGATGGGCCAGGTCAGCTCGCGCGCCAAGTCGAGGCCGAGTCGCGATCAGGTCGAGGAGATTGGAGCGAGGCAGGCGGGCAGGCGAACCGAGGTCAAAGGGCCCTAGCCTGGCTTGCGTAGCGGGTCCAAGGGGCGGCTCAGCTGCGCTGTCGATGCGCAGTCCGAGAGAGCTTGGCCTTTGAGGTGAACGCTGGCGGGCGATGTGCCGAGAGGTGAGCAGGGACGAGAGAACGAAGAGACGAGGAGGGGTCCGATAGCGAGGCCCTCGAGGTTCCAACCGGCCTTGGGCTCTGCACGATCGATCGCTGGCGCTGACGGGCGGGCGAGCTCGCGTGGATGCGACGTCGGTGTGCGCTCCAAAAAAAGGGGGAAAAGAGTCGAGCGAGGGCCTGGATGCGCCCTGGACTTGGCGATGCGACGCTGGACAGCCAACCGGGGCCGGCTTGAAGGCTGCACGATAGGATGGAGGAGAGATGGATGGGTCTCCGCCGGCGACGAGAGGGCGAGCGGGACGTTGGACGTGGACTTGATGGCGAGGAGACAAGGAGCAAAGAGCAGGCTGCCAGCCGCAGAAGTCTGATCAGATCGAGAGAAAGAGGTCGCGCGGGCCTAGGTTGCGAGAGCGTGTGCGAGCTGCGACAAGCAACGCAACGCAAGGCAAGCTTCTTGACGCCCTCGCCGCCCTTCGCCTGGCCTTGGCCCCGAGACCCTGATTGGGATGCCCTCGCTCGGTGGCTTCGGCGGGCATCGGCGGCGGGCGAGGCAAAAGGCTGAGGGAGTCAGGCAGGCTGAGGGAGCCAGGCCGCGGCCTGCATGCGCGCGCGCGCGAGGCTGGCCCCTGCCCACCTCGCTCTCTGGCTCCTCATCTCTGAGTCAACGCCCCGCGCCGCCCGCCAGCAGCCTCGCTCGCTCGATGATCCGAGGGCCAGGCAGTCTGGGGCTGGCTGGCCTGGCCCGACCCGGCCTCAGGCAGGTGGCCTCGGACTGCGCGCGGATCCACCGCCCGACCGATCAAAATTTAAAATCTCGTCCTGGCCCGCGGGTCAGCGGGGCGACCGTGCAGGCAGGCATGCACAGCCCCACATCTCTCTTGCTGGCTGGCCAGCCTGGCTGCTGCGGCACAAGCAACGACCATGGCCAGGGCCACACCGCTCGCCCGTCGCGATCCAAACCTCAGCCCTCTGCCTGCTCTTGAGACCGCAGAACAGCTGCCTGCATAGATCTCCTGCCACCATCGCACTGCCCTCCTATCACGCTGCTGCGACACGAGTGCGATGTCGGAATCGCCTCCGAAGCTGGTCTGGCCTCACCGTGAGCCTTTGGACGCGCGCCCGAGAGTTCTTCAGGCGAGGGCGACCTCGTCGCTGCGGAAGCCCTCCGTTGGCGCGTTTCGGCACGTCCCGAACCCGAGCCTCGCACCTCATCGGAACCATCCAAGCAGCGGCCACCGCTGGCGATGGAGTGGGAACGGGCCTGCCAGGGCCACCCCAAGCGGACACTCTTTCTGGCGGCGCGGCGCCGACGTGTGGCCGCCACCGTGTCCGTCCAATGCGACTCCTTGGCTTGCTGTCCATCGACCGCCAGTACAGGTCCATTTCGCAGCTATCGCCGCCGCTCTGCTGTACGCACGCGACCATGCTCCAACGACCACGATGGCGGCCAGCAACGATGCCGCCGCCGCTGTTCAAGGGGGCCACCCGACCATGTCGTCCGTCTCTGGCCTCACGCAGACACAGCCTTTCCTCTTCGACCACGTCCACTGCTGCGTCTGCTACCTCGACTACCACCCAACTGCCGCCAGGCAGGCCCAGACCGCCACCGGCCTGAGGTCCGCGAGCACCAGCCTGCCCTTCTACGTGACCGAGGTGCGGCGAGGTCCGGGTCAATGCTGCCGTGACGAGCTAGACTGCTACTGACCGCTGGCCGCCCTCTTCCAACAGTGCGCGCACATCCTCTGCCGCAACGACTTCCAGCACGGTGAGGGCCTGCGGCGTGGCCTCCCTCATACAGGTAACACGGGCGCGCTGCACCGGGAACGAGGCGCTCACCCAGCGTCTCTTCTCTCCGCCAATTCGCCGTCGTACGCAGCGGCACAAGGGCATGCGGATGCCACCTCGCTCGCCACCTGCCCCGTCTGTCGAGCGACCGGAGTCAATGTGACACCACTCGACGAGGACAATGTGAGGTCGTCTACCAGTGCAGACCGCTTGCGGTGGAACAGGGCGGTCCAGAGGCTGACACGATGGGACACTGACTGCGTCTTCCCCTCCTCCGGCCAGCTTCCGGCCTCGATCCGGCCTTACTTTCGAAGGATCCCTGACTCGTTGGGCGACCTGCTGGCAGCTTACCAGGCAAGTTGCTGAGCAATCGGGCATACGGAGCATGTGGTTTGCCATGCAGAGGGTGCTGTCGCTGATCGCATCTCGTTTGCGCCCTTCAGTTTCAGGTACGATGGCTGGCATCCGATCTCACTCACGGAGGGCCGCAGCGGCCATTGACGCTCTGTTGCGTTCCTCGATCGCCTCGCTTTGCTGCTCAGCATGCTCACATGTCGAGGCTGATAGAGTGAGAAGGCTCCTCTCGCGACCTCGGTCTGGTAAGGGCCCCCCGGCCGACTGACGATTCGAGGTTCCTGCCGATCAGCTTCCTCAAGGCGCAGTCGCTCAAGCAGAAGCAAGTGCTTCAAAGAGCCTCGCACGAACTCACGGCGGCCAAGGAGCTGAGAGCGTGAGCATCAGCCCATGAGGTGGCGTCGGGCCGACTTGCCTATTTCACGGCCATCCAGCTGACTCCGCGCCCCTCCGAAGACTCCAACAGAGAGCTCGAAGGTGTGAAGCGAGAGAATGCCCTCTTGAAGGAGCGCCTCAAAGAAGCAGAGGATGGCAGGGGTCGACCTCCAACGTTCCGCTTCCAGCTCGGGCAGCGGCAAGAGGGGTGAGTTGAGGTGTCGGCTTTCGCCTCTTCGAGCCGCAGGTGCACGCAGCATGGCTGACGCCGCGAGCTCGAGCCTGTCACTCACCGTCGTCGACGAGCAGGAGGCGTTCGGCCTCTCCGCCCGACGCCAGGCCGGCTCGAGGACAGAGTGGAGTGCTGCACCACCCGAGGACATCGGAACATGCTCGCGCCTTGGCTCAGCAAGCACCAACGACCGCACACAGCGAGATGCCGGGCAGTGCACGCTCTTCTCGGATACAGTAGGTCGTCCTCATCTTGCCGCCGCGGTCCTGGTACGCTCCACGTCCGCACCCGGCTGACAATCGCGCCCTTCCGACGAAAACGACAGGGACTACGCCTTCCAAAGCGCTTCGGTCGCCAGTGTCGATCGACCTTACTCGAGGTCGGTCGTGGGTACTGCGGCCGGCTCGTCGGGCCAAGCGACGGGCACGCTGCGGCGGCCGGCGCCGCAGAAGGGTGAGTGCGGCCTGACAGCCTCTTTCCTGTCCCCTCTTCGCTCTCCCTTTCCTGATCGAGTCGGGAGCCCAATCTCAACCTCACCCATTCACGGCGGCCGGCAGAAACGGGATCGCATCGCTCTGGCGGCCCTCCGAGGAGCTACGGCACATCAAGCAGCGCAGTGCGGGCGATGCCGACAATGCCAGCGCCAGTGCTGCCGTCGTCCTCGTCTCGCAGCCACCGAGACGTCGACGCCGTCTCGGTGCGCTCCGATACGACGGCGCTGCGCCCCCACGCCTCTTCGCACCGGCAGGCGTTCCGACCTTCGACCCTGAGCCGGGAGCCGGTCCCAGGCGCGGCAGGGCCAGCCACCAGTGCTGCGACGCAGGAGTTCCGCCCTTTCAGCGCTCGAGATCCGGCGCAGGTCCGAGGGTATCGGAGGAGCGACCTCTGATGTCGGCGCGGTCGGTGATGGTGTGGTAGGACCAACCTGGGATGCGATGGGGAATAGTGTACAGGATGTCAAGAGATGGGACACTCCAGAGCGGCGCAGAGACATTCGACAAGAGGCGCGGGGCTGCGATCGTCTGCTTGCGCCCATCAGTCGGAATCGAGCTCAATGACTTCTCGCTTCCGGTCGTTGAGGCTCTTGCCTCCGCCACGCGAGCTGGACGGCGTGCTGGTACCGCTGCCGCGAGAGGTCGAGCTCTCTCCGAGCACGCGGCCGCCGCCAAGCGTGTAGGCCTGCGACTGGGCCGGTGTGGCGTTGGCATCGCCGGACCCATCTGCCTTTGGCGGCGGTCTCGGCTTGGGGGCCCGTCCGGACAGCGTCTTGCCGCTGCCCCCGAAGCTGATGGCCGCTGTCGGCTCGCTCGCATCGCTGCCTTCGGGCCCCTTTGGCTCCTTCCCACCGACCGGGATGACGTCGTAGCCGAAAAAGAGCTTGCCAAACGGCAGGTTGAGGGCGGCCGGGATCTTTTTCTCCTCGAGCTGCGTGTCGCTGGTGATGATGCGCGGCTTGTCGGTACGGCGGATCATGCTGAAGTCGTCGAGCTGCTCGATGGGCTTGTCCTTCTTGCCCTTCGTCTTTTTGCCGCTCAGCGTCTGGCCGCCGCCCCGGAAGGGTCCGGCAGGCACGGGCGTCGAGCCTCCGCCTGCCGCTGCACTGCCGCCGGCCCCACCGGCGCCTCGCGAGCTGGAGCCAGGCGTCGAGACGCGGGTCGGCGGGATCGACTCGGTCTTGTTGCTGTCGATCTTGAGCTTGGACGCCATCGTCGGCGGGGGAGCGCGTGGCTGCGGCGTGGGCTCGACGTAGCCTTTGGGCGGTGCAAAGTCGACCTCGAGATCCGTCTCGATGATCGCGATGCCCTCGGCGTCGGGGGTGATTTCCATGATGAGGATCTCGAACGTGAGGCAGTTGTAGCTGATCTCGATGATGTCGCCGGTGGTGAGCGTGGAAAAGTTGCGCAGCGCCTGCTCTAGGACGGCCTTTGGGTCGCTGATCTCGAGAAAGTCGACCGTCTGCGGCTGGATCTTGACCATCTTGCCCTTGGGCAGCGTGGCACCGGTGAGGCGGATGGGGTCTCCCTCGGAAAGGCCGAGCGTGCGCATCATCTGCGGCAGAGGGGGAGGGGGCAAAGGGAGGCATAGCGTCGGGTGGAAGGAGTCAGCTCGGGCTGCATTAAGAGGACCAGCTTTGCCGCGCTTTTCAGCTCGCTGACGCACCCAGGCTGGAAGGTGGACGTTGCCCTCGTCGGCAATGAACTCGAGCACACCCGCATGGGTCGTCTTGACCTCGGCGGCACCGGTGCTGCGAAGCTTGAACAGCCAAGGGGACTCGATCTCGAGGTTGGCTGTGGGGAGCGCGGCGAGGGAGATGGCCATCGCTGCGGTCAGCAAGGCACTCGGGCAGGAGCAGCTCAGTGTAAGCAGTCTCAAAGGCAAGACTCACTGAGGTGGGCCAGCGCTGACGGCGGCATAATGACTGGCGAGAGGAGAAGGGGCAGAGGTGACGGTGAGCAGGTTGAGGTGATACAGCTGTGGTCGTGCGCCAGCCATCACTCACTTTTTCCTCCGTAGCTGACGTTGAGTCTCTCCCTTCCGGGCAGCATTGCCATGCTATAGGCCTTGAAGTACTCGTCGTAGGCGCGGGGCGGTGGCGCAAAGCGGCGATCCATGCCGGGGCCGCCGAAGCCGCCAAAGGGGTTGAAGCCACGGCCGTAGCCGTCGCCGTCGATATGCCCAAACTGTGGCGGCAAGAGGCGTGGCGATGGGAGAAGGGCTAGGGTCAGTGCTGAAGCGGCTGTGGCTGCGGGTTTGGCTTTCGCAGCACGTCGGTGCTGTCCTCGCTGAAGTGGTGCTTACCATCGACATCTTTCCACACGGAGAAGGCTGGCGCGCCGGGGAGCGGGGTGAAGGGTTATGCTACTGGAGCCTCGCGATGGACGGTGCAGACTGGGAGAAGAGCGTCGGAGCCGTGGCCAGTAGATGATGGAGCGAGGTGGTGAGGATGCGTGTGTGTGGGTATGTGCGTCGAAGTTGGAGAGAGGAGGGGGTGGGACCAGCTTGGCCTCAGCCTGGCCTCGGTCTGGCCTGGTCTGCAGTCTGGCCTGCCGTCTGGCTGGCTGGCGTGCCAGCTTGCCAAGTGGAGGAAGGATGGGCGGGCGGGCTTGCGTGTGTGTGTGTGTGTGTTCGAGGCTGGCTTACGTGATGCTGACTGCGTGAGGGTGTTGGCCGTGGGGCGGGTTTGTTCGTCTGCCTTCGCCAGGCCGGCCAGCCAGCCAGGCGCGGCGAGCAGGCTGGTGGGCGGGCGCCAGGGCCAAGCGTACGCCTGCGCCTGCGCCTGCGCCTGCGGTGGTGTTGGTTGGGCGCTGGCTGGCTGGCCTCGCCTTGCCTCGCCCGGCGCTGCCTGCCCCTCTGCCTCGCCCTGGCTTGGCCCGCGCAAAATGGAAGAAAGCGCGCGCCGGGCCTCTTCCAACCAAGGCCAACCTCGACCTCAGCCGCACCTCTCTGCCTCTCCACCGACCCGCAACCAACACCACACCGCACCGTCGCTCCTTTTGGCCCAGTCTCGACCCCACACTGCAGCAGCCCAGCCCCTTTCGCACACACCACCGCCAACATGTCAGCCGCCGGCCCCGTCGCTGGTGCAAGGGCCGCCCCCTCCCAGGGAGCCTTCAAGAATGCCGACAAGCCGGACGAGGTGCGCAGGTCCAACCTCCAGGCCGCCAAGGCCGTCAGCGACGCCATCCGCACCTCGCTCGGCCCCAAGGGCATGGACAAGATGATCCAGACCAGCAACGGCGAGGTCGTCATCACAAACGACGGCGCCACCATCCTCAAGCATATGGCCGTCATGCACCCCGCCGCCAGGATGCTCGTCGAGCTCTCCCAGGCACAGGACGTCGAGGCCGGCGACGGAACCACCTCGGTCGTCGTCATCGCGGGTAGCCTCCTCGGCGCTGCAGAAAAGATGCTCAACAAGGGCATCCACCCCACCATCATCGCAGAGTCGTTCCAGCGCGCAGCCGCAAAGGCCGTCGAGTACCTCACCGACATCTCGACCCCCGTCGAGCTCGACGACAAGGAGAGCCTCCTCCGCGCCGCCAGCACCAGTCTCAACTCCAAGATTGTCTCCCAGTACTCGTCCGTCCTCGCACCCATCGCCGTCGACGCCGTCACCCGCCTGCTCAACAACTCGGCCAGCAAGTCGGTCGCTGACCCGGCTGCCTCCACCGCCCCCGTCTCGGGCTCGGGCCGGAAGGACGTCGAGAGCGTTGACCTCCGCGACATCCGCATCGTCAAAAAGGTCGGCGGCACCATCGACGACACCGAGCTCGTAGAGGGCCTCGTGCTGGGCCAGAACGTCGTCTCGGGCAGCGGCGGTCCCACCCGCATGGAAAAGGCCAAGATTGCCGTGTGCCAGTTCCAGCTCAGCAGCCCCAAGCCCGACGTGAGTGTCGCCGATTTTCCCTGTGTCGTCCCGGATGTCGACGTTTTCCCCCTTGCCCTTGCTGAACCGCTCTGTTGCCTTGCTGCCCCGACCGTCTGCTGCACCCGCAGATGGACAACCAGATCGTCGTCAACGACTACCGGCAGATGGACAAGATCCTCAAGGAGGAGCGCCAGTACCTGCTTAACATGTGCAAGAAGATCAAAAAGACGGGCTGCAATGTGCTCCTCATCCAGAAGTCGATTCTGCGCGACGCCGTCAACGAGCTGGCGCTTCACTTCCTTGCCAAGCTCAAGATCCTCGTCGTCAAGGACGTCGAGCGCGACGAGATCGAGTTTGTCACAAAGACGCTCGGCGCCAGGCCGATCGCCGACATTGAGGCGTTCACCGAGGACAAGCTGGCCAGCGCCGACCTCATCGAAGAGACCGAGCAGAGCGGTGCCCGCGTCGTCCGCGTCTCTGGCATCAAGAACATGGGCAAGACAGTCAGCATCCTCTGCACGGGCGCCAACTCGCTCGTGCTCGAGGAGAGCGAGCGCAGTCTGCACGACGCCCTCTGCGTCGTCCGCTGCCTCGTCAAGAAGCGGTGAGTGGGGGCACCAGGGAATTGCGACGCCGACGAGCTTCTGCCGTCGCAGCGTTGAGTCGGGGCATGGAAAGCGACCGCAGACTGACCTCCCCTGCTCCGCTCGTGCCCTTCGCTTTGTTCTTCGCCTGCTCCTCTGCTCCTCGCAGCGCTCTGATCGCCGGCGGTGGTGCTCCCGAGGTGCACGTGTCGCGGTTGCTCGCCCAGTACGCCCAGACGCTCAAAGGCATGGAGGCCTACTGCTTCCAGGCGTACGCAGAGGCGCTCGAGATCGTGCCCACGACGCTGGCCGAGAATGCGGGCCTCAACCCGATCAGCATCGTCACTGAGCTGCGGAACCGCCACGCGCTGGGCGAGAGGACGGCCGGCATCAACGTCCGCAAAGTGAGTGCCTGCAGGCGGCCGTGGGCGGTGCTTGCCGTTCGGCAAAGGGGTATGGTCTGGAGGCGCTCTGCCCTTCGCTCGCCGGCTGACCTATCCTTGCCCTCCCTTCCATTCTCGCGTCGTTTCTGCTCTCCATTTCGCAGGGGCAAATCACAAACATCCTCGAGGAGAACGTGCTGCAGCCTCTGCTGGTCAACACGAGCGCCATCGAGCTCGCCACCGAGACTGTCTCGCTGTTGCTCAGGATCGACGACTACCACCTGTCCCGTTGAGGTCCGAGGTGTCTGGACTGAGCTCTGGAATCGGACGTCACGCTATTCTGCTGCTTCTTCGTCGTCGTCCGGTCATATTGGCGGTCGCTTATGGCTCGTGTTGGTCTGGCGTTGCGGCCGTCGTGTCGAGCAGTACTGTGCTGTGCGTGCAGTGCTGTGCTGTGCCGCATGTCGAACCCAGGTGTGGGCCCACGGAGGAGCCGCAGAGTATGTCTCCGAGTAGCGGTGGTGGCTGTGTGCAGGGGATCGGAGGCAGTGCTTCGGGCCCGAGCCGGACGAAAGGCGCGGCGCAAAAAGGCGGGCGAAAAACGCGAGCGAAAGACCCCCGCAGCTTAGACCGGAATGGGCGCGCCCAGAACGAAGTCGGATGCAGGCGCCCGCCTCAGACCGACGGGCTGGCGGGAAGACGGTCGGGGTCAACGCGGCCATACGGCTTCGCTCCGAAGACAAGCTGTGCTCGACGGCTCACGACGGTACGAGTCGTGGGCGTGGGGAAGGGACACGCCAGGCGGCCTACGACGCACCGCCTCGGTATCGGAGGCGTATCCGACGTATACCCGACCGCATGGCAGGCACGACCTCTCGTCCTCGTGCGGGCGTTCAATCGATCTCGGACGGCGGATCAAGACCCGGGGACCGGAGAGGAGGACGAAGCGGCATGTGCATACGCCGGCATCGATGACGCTACGGCTCAGCCGCCTCTTCCTCGCACCGTGGGACCCGACCCAGCAAGCTCGAGCGAGAAGAGGCACAGCTCCCAGCCAGCAACCTCGTCTTGCCTGCCTGCCTGCTATGCTGGACCCTGTGCGGAGCGTGCTCACATCCAAACGGGCGATCCGATCCGAACCGATCCGATCAGGCAGGCCGATCCAAGCGAGAAAGGAAGAGACTCTACTGACGGGGGCATTCGTGACGAAGGAAAAGCTTGCAGTTGGCGAGCCAAGATATAGGAGGTTAAAATGCCGGACGCGATCCAGCCTGCCCTGCTGCCTGGCTCAAGCAGGTTTCGAAGTTTTTGCCGACTTGCGGCAGAAAAACGGGACAAAATATCTCAAGTTGTTGTTTTTGCCAGCGTTCTCTAAACCCATCAATTCGGAAAAATCTGAGGTGGACAAAGTTCTCTTCTTGCAGTCGTCAGCTCGGTTGAACTACCCCAGCAGCGGGTCAGCCACTCTTCTCTTCGCCACTCATTCCAAAAAGCGCAACCTGCAGGAAAAGCCACCCTTTGAAAGTTGGCAGAACATTTTTCTTGAAAATTGAAAAGAAAGACAAAAGCCTTCAAAACAACCTCGAGACTTTTCTTCCTGGGCTGCATCAGCAAAAGGCGGGCGAGAGACAGGGGCGTGGCGGCCTCCTTCTCCGCCTCGTCTAGCGCTTCCGGGCCTGTCTCGACCATCGGCGACGACCGGCGACAGCGGACGATGATACGCGGGTCCCTCGCGATGGCCTACATCCAGCTACAAGTGCGGCCTGGCACGGCGCACGCGGCGACGGGTAGAGCCGCTGTACCCATGACACAGAGGTACCGTACCGGTATGTTAGCTGAATTCAGCAGGCCGGCCGGCAGGTCGGGTCCCCGCAGCAGCGTCGCGTTCGTCATCTCTCCACACGTACGTACAGACAGCATGGGCGGATCGACGTTCGGGCATCGTCAATCTCTCTCGAGGCCCGCCAAGGTGTGAGAGTAGTACGTGTGCGTCGACTCCGGGGCAAACCCAGCAGCGATCCGACGTTACACCCGCTCCACAGGATCCTGCTCGCGCCCCGCTGGCGCCTGCTGTCCACCGACGACCGATGCAAGATGGATGGCCCACCTGAAACCATGCCTTCACCCCGCTGCGCCGCCTCGCCACCACCGCCGCCATCGCGTCGCGGACGACCCGAACCCTCGGTTGGTATCGTATACGGTCGCCTTCGCCTTGGTGGCTTTCACGTCCCCGACCGCCGATCGAAGCAGCTTGGGACCACCTGCACTCGCCGTAGCCGGCCCAGAGCAGATCCCGTTCCGGTCAGGGGCTCCCACTACGGTAGCCTCGCTCGTCGATGGTCCGCCTGCCCGTTGGTCTACACAGGCACAGAGGCTAGCGACGCCTAGCCGTGAACACACGCACGCAGCACGAGCCACGCCCGACCTGTCGTCATCGAGGAGGAGACCTGGCCCATGGTACGATACGATGCCTCCTGCCAGCTCATTAAGATCGATTGCTTTGGGACGGTGCTCGAGCCTTGCCATGTCGACGCCCGCAAGCGTAGGCCAGGCCCGTCTTGCACTCTGCATCGTGCCGCCCATCGAAGGCAGGCT